AATTCTTATTCAGTTCATTCGAAAATTTTGTAAGGAGGTCAAAGTTAGTGGTGGAAGCCACTTCTCCTTGTTGCTGTCGGCATCACATTCCAGACAAAACAGAAGTCACAAAATATACTTCACGTAGATACGTTACTGAAAAGTAAGTAGTGGAGAGTTATATAATATACCTTGTTGTGATCAAACTGAAAGTTACTTGTATCGCAAGGAAGCTCATTAGTATTGCCAAGATCATCATATAAGTTTAGGTTCTCTAGTGGAGGAACTTCAAAAGTTGGCTGACTAGTTGCATGGGCATGTGATCGAGTCTTATATGCAGAATTCTCATTGTTTAAGAACGATTGCACCCCATACGAGAAGTGGCTATGTCCTGGTTGATTAGGAGTTAAACTTCCATAGCTGCTCATCATGTTATTGTTGAAATTATTACCATGTTGTCCAAACCCAAGAACTTGAGATGATTGGCCGGTTTTGTTCGCCATCAAACTTGGTTCGAAAAAGGTACTGCCTACGTTTTGAGATGCTTGGTAAGAGAAGTTGAGGTTGGTTTTGATGGGAAGGGTAAAGTTTGATCCAATACTACGTGGTCCGTTGGTGGATGAATGGTTCATGTACTTGTGAGGGATTTGGTTGAACCGGACGGGCTCACGTGTGTTGGATAAGAGTCTAGACTGTCCAAGAAGACCTTGTCCGGGTTTACAATAGAATAATCTATTGTTAAGACTTGTTTCGTACCAAGAAGTAGAGGAGGGTGTGCAATAGTTGTAGTGAGGCTCTCTTATGGGACCATGAGATAAAATCGAGTCTTTTTCCTGTATCGACAAAAGACTCAACAAACCTTGTTCCGCTACTTTCCTCAAGAATTGTCGATATTTCTGCGCATCAAACGATTTTGAGTTAATTGAAAAATAGAATTTCGTTTTTCTTTTTTTCTCCAAAATTGTCGATAATCTATAAAATCAAGAAATATGCACACACCTGTAAATGGCTGGCGACGTTTTCTCTAGTCAAGTATGGTACGTTCATGTGCTCTAAGATTTTCTTTGGCACAGCCTCTTTGGAAGATTCAAACACGCATAGAAAGTTAGTTAATTAGTATATATAAACTTGAAGAGGTAAGAAAATAAATTGTAAATCATGAATTATATACAAATTAAAAAAACATTATAATTAAGAAAATGAAAAACCAAAACACTTACTCTCAAGAGTGAGATGTTTGATAGCTTGTAAGAAAAGGTCCTGAAGCTCATCTGTCCACGTAAGTTTACTCTTCTTCTTGGTGGGCTGCGAAACAGACTCAACATCATCACCAGAACTACCGTTTGATTTTCTTTTTCGTGAACTATCGGCACGAACACAACTTCCATTGGTACTGGTCATGGATCTTGATGAGCACGTCTTCTTCTTGGTGTTCAAGCCATTAGCTTGTTCAGAAAGCAACTGGATTTGCTGAGGAACACTAACATATGTGTCCTTGTGGTTGTTCTCGGTCCATACTACGGACTTACCATTCCTCTTGTAGTTTAAAGCAAGTTGGTAAATCTTGGGTAAGTCAGTTACTTTGATGGGTTTTGGAATGAAACACATCGCTCCACAAGTTAAGCTCTCATGTTCTTTGTTGGTGTCCGATGACATCACTTCCATATTTAAAGAAATGCAGGAAACAAAATAAATGGTTATATTAGCTTAGAGTTATAAGAAAATAGATCATAATTTGCTTTAATTTGTAAGGGAAAAAATGTTACCTATGACCGGTAAATTTCCAAATTCTTGTTCGATTTGTCTTTTGAGTTGTAGACCGTTCATGCCAGGCATGTAGTAATCTGTGACTATGAGATCGATATTGTTTCTTTCAGTTTTAAGAGTAGACAATGCTTCTCCCGAGTCTTTTACAGCTATGACTGTGATCTCTATATTCGATGGATCTAAAACCATTTAAACCAAAAAAAAAGTCATCAACTAAAAGAATAAGATGTGAAAATTGAGGGCTTCTATACGTAAGATAAATTTACCATTCTAGTTATATTGGTAAATTTTACATATTGTATATATTGGTTGGAAGTTTAAATCAACCAATACTAGTTTGCAAAAAAAACAACAAATTCAAAGCAAGAATAGCTTAATGGAAGTTTTAGTTTTATGCATGTAATTGGAAATTCAAGTCCGGATCAAATAACTTAGAGAGACAATTGTTAAATTTATAAGTAATACAACTTTCGAAAAGTATTCAAGTTTTTGTTTTTTACGAAAAGTATTCAAATTTTGTTTTTTATTTAGCTAATTCTTGCTTCCTACTCAAAACTAATATATAGAAAAATACGAAGAAGCGTATAGTATTTGATAATAGGATCTTACCTCTGTATTTAGTTTTTTCAATCATTTGTGAAATAACTTGAAGGTCAACAGGATTATCGTCCACAACCATAACATTGATTTTCAAGACAGAGCTTTGGTTGTAGACAGATTGAGCATAAGCCATTTTTCTAGTATTTCTATAAAGTTTTTTTTCTTTGAAGTATTTAGGTTGCAAAAACCTCAATATTTATAGGCCATAAAGTAAACACGCAAATATAACATTTGGCAATGTTGTAGTGGTCCATATGTAAGCACTATTTGTAGAAAGAAATAATAATGATATAAGATAAATACAAACTTAAATTTATTTTCTAATTTAATAATTATATTGAAAAGTAAGAAAAGTTCAGAAAAATTATATAGGAAAGGGAGACACAACAAAAGCATACCATTGTTTGGAAATACCTTGTGCTAATTTATGTAAAATATCTAGACTAAAGTAACAAAAATTAAATGCTATTTAACAATATTATTTTTGTAATATAAAATAAATGAACTTGTTTTTATATCTTTTAATTTTCTTTTTCTGGTTAAGGATTGATTTTCAAATAGTCTTTTTACATCTTTGCTGGATTTGTGCTATAATGGGAAAATATTCTACAATATTGTATGTAAAAATGAAACAAAAAAATGTTAGTTTTTTTTAATATTATGTTGAATACATAAGTATGAAAAGCCATAAAAGTAATCTTTTGTCATATCAAAATGGAAAGATTTAGGTTTTCAAAATACAAATAAAATGTTTGAAACCAATGATTGTAAAGTGTTTTGGAGTCGTTCGGTGATACTCTGTATTCGTATTTGAAAATGTGTATTCTACATTGATAGTGATACTCTCAAATGTTCTCTTAAATTTTTAATATATAAAATTATATTGTTCGACTATTATTATGTTTTGTAAATCCAAACGAATCATTATTCCAATATATATATATATAACCACTTAAAATTATATCACAATACCAACAAACAATTTTTTTTTAATATATATATATATTAGCATTTACATAGTGTAGTAAAATTAAGATTTGCCATTTAAGATGTTCATAAAAATCCAACATAATCGAAATGGTGCTAAAAACCTAAAACACCATAATTTCCAATATAGATATTCTTTTAATCAATGATTTTTTCTGTTATGTTAGTCATTCTTATAACTCAAAATATTTAAATATTCGAAATCGAAATGAAGTGAGAAATTTAACGTTAAAATTATATTGAGGCATGCAATTCTTTTTTAAAGTTAATACTGTTTTTAACAGAAACATTAAAAAAAGAAAACAGATTTAAAGAGTTTTAAAGAATTTAAGGTTCTTATATAAAAAGTTATCAAGATTTTAGTTGACAAAAATAAAATTATAAAGATGTTACTATTAATGTAGACAAAAATAAAATTATTAAGATGTATTTATTCATTAGGCGACAAATCATAGTTATAACTCGCAATTAATTACTCCCTTTGTTTCATAATAAGCTTGATTTTATAAGATTACTTTTGTTACAAAATAAGTGTAATTCTGTGATTTCAATGCAGTTATTATTATTAATTTATCTATTTTGCCACTAATTAAATAAGAGAAAACATTAAACACTACTCCCTCCGTTTCAAATTAGTTGTCGTTTTGACAAAATGTATCTGCAAATATTTGGACGTATCTGGACGTATTTTGCATTGCAGATACGTCCAAATATTTGCAGGTACATTTTGCCAAAACGACAACTAATTTGAAACGGAGGAAGTATATAAATTTAATAGTCAAACAAAGAAAATATTGAATATTAAACTATTTTCTTAATTTGTGTGAAAAGTGTCAAAGTCACACTTAATATGAAACAATAGAGTATTATTTTATGTCGGCAATTAGCAATGAATTAAGATGGTTTATTTCAATCATCTTTAATTGTCATCAAAACTAAAGTAAAAATCAGTTTTATTTGACTGTGACCAAAATAATTATCCTAAAAATTATAGGATTTATTTTATTTTTCCAAAACTTTAAGTATTATTATAATTATGTTTTATCTAAAAATATACCACTAGTTTTTTTTCTCAAATATATCAAAAATGGAATATTCTTTCCCAAAAATACAAAAACATTAAAAATAAGGTTTAAAGGTTTAAAATTTAAATATTTAAGTTTGGATTTGGTATTTTTGGTTTATTATTTAGTTTTAGGTTTCATTTTTGAGGATTTTGGATTTGTTTTGGCTCTGAGGGTTTAAAGATTAGTTTTAGTTTTGTGGAGTAAAATTTAATTTCTTTGGTATTTTTGAAAATAAAAAATAAAGAAAATTAGTTTGGAACAATTTGTATTAGTGTTTGGTCCCATGAAAAAAAAAAAATCTGAATCAAAATTGTCTAATTTGTAAAAGAAAAGTAAATGTTGTTTTCCACTATACAAATGTTTTCTTTCTTGAATTTAAAATGGCTTCTTCAAATGCCTGAACTCAATGGAAGAATCCGAACGATCTACAAAACCAATCATCTTCATCTGTTTATTCATCATCTTCAACAACTCTGTAACTTTCTCCTTCGTACCATCTCCACATCCGACTTGTAACACCACAACAAGCTTCTTAAACGCACCTAACCGCAACGCATCTTCAACCTCAGACCCATCTCCAGTTTTACAAACCTTCCACATCACAGAAACTAAACTCTTCTTTGCAGATTCCGAAATCTTCAGAATCTTCTTGACCAAAATCGGCATCACCAATTCGTTTCCTCTCACTTCTCTTCTCCCTTCTTCGCGTTCGCAAATCGCGTCTAGCACCAATAACGCTTTCTCGCAAACGCTATTCTCCGAATCCACAAGCATCTCCACCGTTAAATTAACCAAACCCAGTTCGAGAAATCTTGAGATAGTCTCTGGTTTTACAGAGATCATGCGGTAGATCGAAGTCAGCGATACAGAATCGCGAATCGATTTCACAAACGCTTCTTCCACGCCGTTAATCGCGACCAACGCGTGAACGTTTGCTTCGTCGAACGACAAAAGCTCCTTAACCAAAAATGCAGCGTTTTGATCTCCACGTCTCAAAAAACTCAACAAGCATTTAAACGATGCCGTAGTAGTTAATTTCCCTTGACTCTCTAACCCAATCGGAAACATCCACGTCAGCAAAAGCAAAACATCCTCCAACAACACTGTCGTCACGTTTGACGCGTTTTCCGAAAACGCGTCGAAGCAAACGCAGAGCACAAATCCGACGCCGTTTTCGCTCAAACATTTCTTATTCCTCTCACTCTCTTTCCCTAATCTCTTCATCTTCTTCACCATCTCCACACACGAAACGTGGTCCCCACGCCGCGTCGCAGACGATAACTTCTCGCGAATCTCCACCACCTGATGGCTCGTGATGGGGACACGTGGCGTCGGAATACGATCCAACGATGATGATCCCTTGTTCGCCACGCACCAGCCTTGGATCATTCTCCGAATCGCGTGGTTCGGAATCTGCTCTGAAGTGGTTAGGACCGTGTTTGTGACCGGACACGTTCGGTTGCCTGACTCGAACCATGTATCGATGCTTTCACGGTCGTAAGTTATCCCGGAGGCGATGATCACCGGATCTTTCATTAGCTCGTAAGAGATCGGACATTGAAACTGCGACGGGATTGTTATCTCTTCCTCCTCCTCCGACGTACCCATCACCGGAATTAGCTCCTTCTTGCTTCCTCCTCGCCGTCTCATTCTCAATGAAAGTCCCATTTTTTTTGTGTGGTTATAACATTTTTTTTTTTGAGAATTTCTTTGACTCTTACTAACGAAGGAGACAAGTAGGGAAGAGATTTTATATGTTTTGTAATGTAAACATAAAAGCTTCTAGGTGATAATAAATGGCTTAGTCGTATGTTTTTGGTCAAAGATAAATTTTGGGTAAAAGAATAGAAAAATCACGAGAAAATAAATAATGATGGAGGAGGTTTATGTCATATTATTCGCAAGCTGGTTAGGAGGAATCGGAAATTTTGACCGTTGAATGTTTGAAAAAAATTGATGACGAATTGACAACTAATGCAGAAAAGAGGAAAGATAAAAAGCAGAATTGGTTTTGAGGTTTAAAGTTTAATCTTACACTTTGGTCTTAGGATTGGTTATCAATAATATTCTGAAGTGTGAGAATATACACCAATATACAATGCAGAATTTTCAATACAATGGTTTTGATCCTTTATTCGTGTTATTTCTCAGTTCATAAGTTTGTATATTTATAAATTTACCTTAGAAAAACAAATATTAAGATGTAATATACCAATAAAAACAACGTAGAATCGAATATCTATTAGACTATCCAACTAATATTAAGGTGGATTTAAATCGATTAACCAATTAGTAAAAAAATGAAGTGTTTCGCATACATCTTTTTTTTTTTAAAAATGAGGATATCAATTCCACGTCCAATTTACGTAACGATACAGTATTTTTGATTTCACAATTAAGAAAAGAAAGCTAATATTAACATTGAGAGCAAAAAGAAAAAGGGAAATTAATATTTAAAGTGAAGAATAATGTGAAATCGGCTGGTGATTGACTAAGTCAGTGGTCAATAATCGGTGCATGGAAAACGCGACCATGCGCTTATCTACATTACGTTACGTTCTTACCTGTTTTTGATCTTTTCTCTTGAGATATCAGTCTGTCCATATTCCTCCCACTACGATAATCTTCATTTTTTCTTATATATAAAATCAGAAACACCAAACTCCAACGCACTATTTGAAATACCACTTTCTGTTTTCCAGCAAATATATCCGTGTTTCCTAAGTACTTCATCTGTTTCAAATTAGTTGTCGTTTTGGGAAAATGTATCTGCAATTATTTGGATATATTAAACTTAAAATACATCCAGATACATCTAAATTTTTGCAGATACATTTTGCCAAAATGACAACTAATTTAAAACGGAAGGAATATATGTTAATGTATGTATAGAGGTTTGCCGTAGATAGGTTAATCATATATTAGAGGTTGTGTTATATCAACTCTCCATATATATGTGGTAGATACTACACTCATCTCGCGTTTTAAGCACGTAAAACTTAAATGATACTGAGATATCTGAAACAAACAAAACAATGGAGATATAGATAAGAAATGATAATTTATTTGTACATATTTGTTAATGGTGGGCCCAACACAAACAACACCTACACTACAAGAAAAGTTCACATTAGTAGCGTAAAAAAGACGCTATAATACCTATTAAATAGCGTTTCAGTAAACGTTATGACATCGAGAGCTATGGTAGGGCACCCTATATTATAGCGTTTTTTTTCACCATGCTATAGTAAGTGATCCTTCTATCATATCATTTTTTTGTTAATGCTATGTTAGGTGATCACCATATTATAGCGAATTTTATGGATTGCTATTATTGTGGGTCGTTGTATTATAGCGTCATTTTGCTTTGCTATAATTGAAGTAAAACACATTATAGCATTTTTTGTGTAGCTATAAAATTAGTTAATCATAGCAGCTTATGTATGCTGTAATTTCTAGTCTTACAGCTTATTTTCGACGCTATAGTAAATGGTTATTAATCGCTTCATTACGCTATGAAATGTATACTGAACTTGTTTCTCAAAACCGAGAGCTCCATAGAAATATTCCCAAACAAAGCCAAACATCCATAATCATTAGAACATGTCTCAAAACAAACTGCATAAAGAATTCTAAAACAAGAATACATAGTTCAAGTCTCAATTCAACCATAAAGTAATAGGCCAAACCTATTTAACTCTAACACAAGATTACATTGTCCTCTGGCCATGCAATGGATGTACCAATTGCATCTTCCATGGCCTCTATTTCGGAACATGGCCTCCAAACTGCTGCATCCTTGACATTGACTATGTCAATCCAAACTCTAACAGTATTGTTACCTAAGGGAACGAAATGGACATTTTTCTCTGGGTTGTTTGAAGCCCAACGCCCTTCAGCAACAACACACTTCTTTCCAGAAATGTCCATCAACTTCACCTTCTGATTTTCCCGGCCAACTGCAACCTGCTTGTGATGCAGCGAAGTATAGAAGATAAATCATTCAATTATATTGAAAGGTAAACAAAGAAAGAGGCAAACAACTGTACTTACAAAATTACCAAAGATCCTTGAATATTAGATTCAGAAGGAGGTTGAGGCTTCTTCAGAGAAGCTTGTGGACTTGTTTGTTGAGATTTCGTACTTGCTGGTGAGGCAGTTCTCGTACTTGTTGATGCAGATTTTGAAGTTGCCACCTTATCATATGGTGTAAGCTTCCGTGATGGAGATATGTGATATTCTCCATCTGTACTATCTTCATATACAACTCTACCTGCTGTCCAGGCTACAAAAGACATCAAAGAGTCCTCAAGATATGTCTTTTCAGCTGTAGGCCTCCAAAGAAATGTTTCAGGTGCATGTACGACATCCACATAAACTTTAACTGCATTAGGTCCGAGAGGGAGACCGTTGACCAATGCTTTTGGTTCCTTAGACTGCCAGCGGCCTTCTCCAACAACTTCATCGTTTGTTGACCAGTCCAACAGTTTGCATTTGTTTATAGAATTCGCCGAAGCAGCCTATAAGAATATAACAGACTCATTCAGAACAATAACACCATGAATTCTAGAGTAATGCATCACATGTAAAACTCTCAAACCAAATCAAAACCTACCCTAGGCGCAATGTCTTCTGGTTCCAGGTCCTGATCTGAAATAACACAGTTGTTTGAAGGCCATGCAATTATATGCCCAACAGCTTCCCCAATTGTAAACATTGCAGGGGCAGGTCTCCAAAGAAAACCATCTTCTTTTTTTGCAGTCTCAACCAGAATCTTAACAGCAACAGGGCCAAGTGGGATGTCATTCACAAAGTCTGCAGGATCAAATGAAAGAATGCGTCTAGTAGCAACGTCTTCATTACTTCCATACCAATCAACCAACACAAATCTGGGTTGTGATTTTTTATTCACGCTCTACAAAAGGTTGATTACCAGGAAAAATGTTAGACATTTAGGTTGTGGTAAAGCGAATATAACTGAACATATATTTATAACTCACTTTAGCAGCTGCTGAGTTTTCACCAACTTCAGGTTCTTGTCTCTGAATCATAAAAATAAAGTCAACATCACATATGTTAATTTACTAACACAAGGGAAGCTCCTAACTAATCAAAAAATTCACAACTGTTGCTAACCTGATTCTTGATTCTTGCAAGTTCATCTTGCAACTCATTACCTTATGTATCAGATGAAATTGCTTCTCTTGCATTTCATCCATAAGCTTACTTTTCACTTGGAAACAAGCTAACTTACTCATACTCATGCTTCTACCCATTGCCCTCAGCCGACCAGGATTATCAGGTCCTAACACTTGAGAAAGGAGATCTCCTCTTGGATTCATTGATATTGGAGGACCAGCATTATCAACTAGATCAGTGGCTTTCTTCTTGTGTACATAAGATAAACGCCAAAAAAAGAACAACAAATTGCTTTATAATTTCCCCAGTAGGTAATTAAGTGGAAAAAAATCAAAATCAAATTTACGAAATTCTTACAAATTTCTCGGCTGCATTGGTATTTACCGGTGTTCCATCCTTTCTAGTCCGTGACTTTACCCAGACTTTCAGCCTAGTCACTTCAGTTGGCTCTGCACTTACTTTTTTTCTGTGCAAATACAACAAATCAATCGAAAAAGTGATGAAAGAAACATCAAATATTGCATGTTTAAGTGTCAATGTATCGTAGAATATGACATACCATATCATCTGCCAGCCTCACCATCCCTTTACGGCAACAAGTATGTGGAATCTGCTTACTCCTTCTCTCCTTGTATTGATCACTCACAGCCTTAAATTAAAATGTCATTACCAACATGTATGACCACTGCGAAGATTTTGTAAATTACAGAGTAATTCTTCATACCTTAAAGGCTGAGCTAGTTTTGAGCTTCACAAATTTACGCCATCATTTGGTGGCACATTACTTGGTCGGAGGTGATGCGGAGTCAGGTTTTACCAAACTCCTAGACCTCTGCAAGTGCACAGATCGCGGAAGTATGGGTATCGAACACAAGGACTGGCTATTGAGTACACTTTGAAACTATGGATTTTGGATCAAGCTAAAACAAAAGTATGATTGAGGTTGTAATGGTGAACCGAACTAGCAAGTATAACGAGGTTGTAAACAATAAGGAAAAGCGCTAGGTCATAGGGGCTATCGCAGAGAAGCAAGCAATGATCAATGAAACAATGATAGATGAATTGATTAGGGATGTTGGGATATTAAGAACCGTCTAGAACACAGATCACGAATATAAAACCATTCCACTTTCGAGGCTCCGGCTCCTTTGTTAATCTACCTAGTCGCTAAACTTTTGGTATGTCCCTAGGTGATTAAATCAAGCTTTAGAATGAATAGGTTCTGATACAGTTCACTAGATTATAGTAGATCAACTTTCGCAGTCTAAGAAACCTAGCTTGTCAAAGAATATGTCCGGCGAATGATACAACACTGTCGAGGCTCAAATCAACCTAAGATCGGATTACTAGATGCGCGGTAAAGCAATCAGCATTAGTTAAGTGCACAAGACGAGACAAAGACTCTATATAATCCCTAGCTAATCATCGAAATCAAAGATCATGCAAGCAACTCATTGAATAGTAACCCTAGCAACCTAACTAGTGGATTACTCAGACATGATCAAAGCAAACACACATAGAGATGAAGAAAACATGATTGCAATAAAACTTAGAGTAGGAAATCGAAATACAAGGGCGGCTCTCTTTTCACAAGAGGCTAAAAAGCATATATATAGTGCTAGGTCTTTAGAGGCGGCTTAGGGTTAAGCCGGGCCTTGAAAATATGTGAAACGGGCTTCAAAACGGGCTTCGGGTCGACCGCGGCGTTCGGACGGTCGGTCGGGACGATCGGCCGGATGATCGGGTCATGGCCGCTCGTACGATCGGAACGGTCGTGGCCGGATGGATTCGTGGTCGGCCGCTGTGGTCGGACGGATGAAGATTGGCCGATGAATTCTCGGCCGGACGCGGGACGTAGTTTCCCGGCTCGGACGGCGCCATCGGCCGTGGTACGCGAGACAGGTTGCGCGGCCGCGAGGCTTTGTTTCCCGGCTCGCGCGGCATGGTCGTGCGCGGTTGTGGCGTGAGTGGTTGTGGCGTGGCCGACCGCGGGACATGTTTCCCGGGTCGTGATGCGTGATCGGCCGACGGTTTTGAACTTTGGCCGAGACTTCAGACGGACGGATGTGATTCTCGGCCAGCCGGTCTGCGCGGTTTGGGCGCTGATTCTCGATAGAGCCGTCTGGACAGTCTTCACTCTTTTGGTTGTAACTCCTTTTCTACTCATCCAAATGAGGCCATTCCAGTTGCGTTGGAAAGTTAACTCAATCAGAGCACGCAGGGAACTGGTCTTGATGAAATCCATTGAGTAGATCTTTTTCTGGGCCCTCTTAAAGTTGGTGCTTGTGCATGGAGCGGCTTGAAGTGCAAATCCTATGGTTTTGCTCCAAAATGCATCATTTCACCTGTTTAGACTCTAGACACTATAAACACAGTAAAACTACCTTTTTAGATAGAAAACCTGCCAAAAACCATTAGAAAACAATACTAAAACAGTATAAAAAGCATGTAAAATAGAGGTATATTAGGAGGTTCATCCTCTGTTGATTGGTAGCACTATCTCTGATCTGCGTAACTAACCGCGACTTGGATGCCCTCCACAAACATCCCATCTGCTTTAGGACGAGATTCTTTTGGTAGTCTTCATCAAGCTCAAACCTTGCTTGTTTCCAATAGCAAGAACAAAGTGTCAACAGAATATGAGATTACTGTACATAGTGAAATACTGTCTTTCCAAAGAAAGTGTACCTGAACTGATTTCCTAAGAACTGTCTTTAGTTCTTCACTGATTTTTCTCCAGCCATCAATTATCACAGGAACGTGTTCCCTCACTAAAGGACCTAAGTATGATGACAACTTCACAGAACCCGAACCAATAGGTTCTCCTAGGTCAGTAAAATCAACCTTTTCACGACAATTTGGATCTTTCGCAATGTATTTCATCTTTGTTGGTCCTCGCTGTTTCTTACGCTTAGGTTCAGTCTCTGTTAAATTGCATTGAACCTCATCTTCTATACCAGCTTCATCCAGACCAGCCTCTTGCATATCTTCCTCAACATGTGACTCCTCAGGGATTCTATCTTCATTCAAAACATCTTCTGTATCATTTACTCCTTTTTCATAACCCACATACACTGGCTCCTCAGTGGCCTGTTGAGACTTCGTTTTCCTTCTCTGTGTACCACCCTTGGGACGACCCATGTTAATTGACCTGAAACCCAATTTTTAGTTTCTGACCAAGACATGGAAACTTATGCAATTCAGACTCACAATTCAGACTTATGCATCACACAAGAAAAAAAAGCAACGATCACTTATACATCACACAAAAGAACATAAGGATGCAGTTTCACACATATATGCCTTCACAATCCGCACGGGCGTTTGGAGATTCATCAATGTCAGTATCCATATCTAGAGTGGACGGCAATGGCCCAATATCTGCCATAGATTCTTCAACATCCTTGTCACTATATCTTCTCGAAGGACCTCTCAAAGCAACATACCAACTTGAAGAATCATCCTCTCTAGAATAAAAAACTTGCTTGGCTTGGGAAGTTAATATGTAAGGATCATTCAAGAATGTCACTTGGCTCTGATTCAGGTTGACAAGTGTGAAGCCGTCTTCTATCTTAACCCCATTACCTCTTACTGCCCACTGACACCGGAATAGAGGAACATAGAAAACATTATAGTCCAGTAGTATAATGTCAATAACTCGGCCATAGTATGAGACAAGATCAGCCACTTGCGAAGTGTCTCTAGCGCTAGACCTACACATAGCCATTGCCTCGTAGTAGACACCACTATTCTGACTTTGTCTGTCAACCGAGATTGTTTGAAACCGCTGCCCATTGACTATGTATCCAGTATATGACCTTGCAGTAGTACGTGGGCCATATGCGACCCATTTCAGTATTTCTTCATGTGTTTCTGAAGTAATAGGTATCTACAAAGGTAAAGGACAGTCAGACTTATATATAAATATGTATTTATTTGTAGACCTAAGAAAGAGTATTTTGAACTTGCCTGTTCTTTTAACCAAAGTGCAAAATTTTTGGTATGCGTACTCCACAAAGTCGTGGCATCACGTCTACATTTTGCATTTGTGTCCTGTAGATGCTGCAAGTGCATACTAGATACAAGAAGAAGGGAATTAGCTACTATATTTTAGATAATAACACATCATATATGAAAATCACAAAAGATAGTAACTTACTCCACAAAAGGGTCTATGACAGCCATATTCTGAATAACAGCAAGATGAGCTATTTTCAGCTCCGTTTCTGAAAGTGTAATTGATTTGGCCGCAGAAATTGGACGACCTTCCAGTATAGACTTGTTCTCATACTCAGTATTTCTTTCTTGTTTATCCTCTACACTAGTTGTCTTCTTCAGAAAATCAGAACAAAATTGCATGCATTCTTCTGCTAAATATGATTCAGCTATACAACCTTCTGGTCTTGCAGGGTTTCTCACGAAGTCTTTTAGTACCTTCATATACCTATATAGACACAGAAAATAAAATCAGTGATAAAAATACATCTTCAATGAAATAAAGTTTAGAACAGAAGAAGCTTTACCTCTCAAATGGATACATCCAACGAAAATGGACTGGTCCACCAAGTCTGGCTTCTCTCCCTAGATGAACTGTCAAGTGCACCATTATGTCGAAGAAGCTTGGAGGAAAATATCTTTCAAACATGCATAGAGTCTCGACAACTTCATTTTCCATTTCTGAAATCTTATCCCTGTCAATAACTCGCTGGCACATGTAGTTGAAGAACACACATAACCGAGTAATCGCAATTCTAGGACCCTTCGGCATTAATCCTCTAAGTGCAACCGGGAGTAGTTGCTGCATTAGGACATGGTAATAATGTGATTTCAGTCCGGTTACCTTAGAGTCTTCCAATGATACGCCTCTTGATATATTGGAGCAGTATCCATCCGGACCCTTGAAATCAAAAAGGCGTTTACAGAAGATTTTTTGCTCTGCCTTGGATAAGGACCAAGGTGCTGCTGGCAGGTAAGTTCTTTTGCCTTGTGTATTAGTATGTAAATCATTTCGTATCCCAAGCAGCTCCAGATCTTTACGAATATTGAGCCCATCTTTAGATTTTCCACAATGTAGTAATGTAGAAACAATACTTGCAGCAACATTTCTCTCTACATGCATTACATCCAATTTATGCCTCACAGGCATTTCCTAATGTATAAAAACAGAAAGTTCAGTTACAGAAATCTTAATAGAAATTTTAAATCACAATTCATCATAATTCATCTTTAGATTATAAGCGTACCTCCTAATATGGCAGTTTGTAGAAAATAGACATTTTCTTCCATTTTGACAACTCCTCCTCGTCTACTTCTACTTCTTCCTCTTCATCTGATTCACTGGATTCATCATCGTTATCAGAACCTGATCCAACACATTCTCTCTGCTTTCTCTTTCTTCCAGATTCTTTGACAATACGAAAATTGTTCTTAAAATTCTTCAGGTTTTGAGATAAGTCACGTCCGGTTAATATCCTAGCCTTTCTCCCATACTCAGCTTTCCCATCAAACCATGACTTCTTCCCTCGATAACGATGTGTTGGGGATAAACCCTTCCTATGCGACATGTAAACGTGTTTCCTACTGAACTTCAGCCACATACTATCTGTGTTTTTGCCGCAAAGAGGACAGCCCATTTTACCTTTCACTTTACAGCCAGCAAGGTTTCCATACGCAGGGAAATCACTGATAGTCCACAGGAGCATTGCCTTAAGTGTAAATGTATTCTGACTTAATGCATCGTATGTTAACTCTCCTTCATTCCACAAGTGATTTAGATCCTCTATCAGGGGTTCCAAGTAGATGTCGATATTATTACCAGGTTGTTGTGGACCAGGAATGAGCAAAGTGAGCATGATATTTTCCTTCTTCATACATTCATCAGGAGGCAGATTGTAGTTTACCAACAGAACAGGCCAGAAGCTATACCTTGTATTCTTCATATTAAACGGATTAAAGCCATCAGTTGAAAGTCCTAGTCTGACGTTCCGTTCTTCTGAAGCAAATGTAGGATATTTGTGGTTCATTTGATCCCATGTGACAGAGTCAACTGGATGACGTAGTCGCCCGTCACTGCTCTTGTTATTGAAATGCCATCTTAATAGCTTTGCCATATCCGTGGACCTAAACATCCTCTTGAGACGTGGGATTATTGGGAAGTACCTCAATACTTTTTGTGCGACACCTTTCTTGACCTCACCAGTGTGCAGGTTAGTTTTCCATCGTGAAGCCTTGCATTTGGGACAGTTGTCTAGCTTCTTGTACTTCATCCTGAATAAGCAACAGTCGTTTACGCAAGCATGAATCTTCTGATATCCCATATCAAAAGATTTTAGAAACTTCTTCACTTCATACAATGATGAATGGAGAACATTATCTTCAGGTAGCATCTCCGGCAATGTCTCAAGAAGGTCGTTGAAGCTCTTATCAGACCACCCATTATGTGTCTTCACACGAAATAGTGAAACAATTGCTGATAACTTGCAATGGTTCACACAGCTTGGATAAAGCGGTGTTTCAGCATCTGCTAGCTTAGCAAGGAACTCATCTTCTTTCTTGTCTTCTCCCTCTGTAATCTCACCTAAAAAATCTTGTCTTGCAAACCCTTCATCTGAATATCCATCAGCTTTGTATATCCCAACGAACTCTTCATTCCACTGATTTTCATTGCTTAAACCTTTAGCCCCAGAATTCAGTTCTCCATGATGGTACCAATCACTGCTTCGCTTGTATGCCTCTTCCATTCCTCTTGTTACTAGATGAGCAACTACATCACTCCTAGACTGACGAGCGACATTAAGACAATCTATGCATGGGCATATTACCATTTCAGTGTCTCCTGGCATCACGGCTACAGAACGTACAAACTGCCAAGCACCTCTCTCATATGCAGGATCAGCTCTTCAATGCAAACCGGAAAAAAACTCTTAAACTCTACACTTCGCAACTGAGACCTTATCTAGATAAGTGATTTTATACCTGCAAAGGTGCACCCATCTCTTGTCCAGCATTATATGTTCTAAACCTTAACTAAAACAGTCTATATATACGTCAGTACCAAACAGTCAAAAGGATTCAGACAATAACTCATTATCCTAACAGTTAATAGCAATTCTAATCACATAACACAAAAGAAGAGCATACATGATAATCTACAGACATATGGATTCAATGCAAGAATGATGAAGACAATAATGTACCAGATAAACAAAAAGATAACTACTAATCTGATGGATAGATGAGACTAACCTGTTGTGAGATTGAGACTAAATGAGACTTTGAGTACTCCAAGATTCCAATCACCGACCCTTGCAAAACAAAAATGAGAGATCTTTAGTTTACTTATTACTCACATTTTTTAAAATACTGTGTCGAACCAGATGAAAGAGATGCATGCAAAAACTGAGAAACTTAAAATCGGACAGATTGCTGCGAATGAACCCTAAAATCAGCTATCTCTACTTCCGCATTCACAGAGAAATAGGTCGATTACCTCCGATTACAGAGTTGGTAATGTAAGAAGAAGAATTGATAAGAAGGAACTACCTTGATTTTTGGACAGAGATTCAGAACTTTGCTATCGATGGAAGCGGAAATTGTGGTCGGTGATAGTGTTAATGGATGTTGAGAGCTTCCGGGCGCAGAGATGTTGGTGAAATTTGTCTGTGTTTGGACGAGATTAGGGATCCAATTCGAGTTTCCAAGGTTTAGATTTAGTTTTGGTGAAAAGGGGAAACACGAGAAATGGCGGAAATAACAAAAAAAATACTTAAGTGTGGCGGTATTAGTGATGAGCAGTGGCGGATATAACAAAAAAAACCGCTAAGTGTGGCGGTATTAGTGATTTTAACTTCCCGCTTATTGAATTTCTAGATTAGCATTAGTTAAACGCTATTATAGTGTAACCAAAATCTCAAATTGATATATCATAGCAGTTGCGAAAACCGTGCTATGATATTGTGCTATTAATGACCATAATTTTTGTAGTGCTAGGCCCAACTCAACTAAAAAAAGACTAAAGGAAGAAGACTAAAGATGAAGGGAGGAGATTGAGCCACATCACCATCAGATCATTGAAGATGCCCTAAAGTTTGAGACTATAAATAGAGATTGTAATATTAGTTGATGGGACATGAAATCCTTGGATTAGAGAGCTAAATACTAGTTTAATGTACTCTCTAGTTCGACAGGTCAGTTTGTAGTTCGACTCGCAGTTCTGAGTCGGGATAAGCAATCTTCCCGACCTCCTTCTCTTGTAAAACTGTAGTTCGACTCTTTTTCCTACCTCAAATACGAAATATTCCGACCTCGACCTAATAATATCCTTTAGTTCGACAAGTCACCTAGTTCACCATTTACAATATTCACTGAATATGATAGCCAGTGACGTTTTAGAAAGAACAAAGAAATCGTAACTCACATACATGCAGAGTTTAACAAACTGGATGTTGGAGATAATTTAATATATGCAGTGCTCTTTAACATTTATAAGCAGCATATACTAAATTACAGTGTGATTGAAGTGTGAACAGAAACCATCTATAGACATCCATTGTTATTTTTATTTGTTTTCTTTGACCAAAGTAATCTATTAAAAAAAATTAAAGGTGTATTTTTGAAATTCTGCCAAAGTTCATATGGGAATTATGAAAAGTGTGTCTAAAAGAATTTCAATTAAGCCACGTTAGTCTCTAAATGTCTCTCTTCTAAGATGAAATTATGGTTAGAGGTGAAACGCCACTCATATAATGCGTCTCTCTTTGCTTATGACACAAGTATAAACGTATAAACGAGATGACATCATCACTCCTCTCTCTCTCTTTCTGTGTTTGTATTGCATTGTATTTAGATACAAATTTTATTTGATGATAAAAGTAACTATATTACATAGTTATCTTTTAGATCTTCAGTTCAAATGCTTTATAATCTTTATTTCTTAACAAAACAAAAATATAATCTTTCATTATATCGTTAGTCTCATGACCAAAACTTTGTTTATTTCTTGAATTGGTTGAACTGTCGCCATTCGCCAAACGTTGTCAGAAATGATTTTTGTAATTCAAAAATTATACAATTTTGAAATATTGTCATTTTGATCATATCCAAGTTTCAACCATATTAGTTTTTCGTCTCAACGTGTAATCAAAATATAAGTTCGAATATTTGAAATTAAGCTCTCTCACTCAACAAGAATTATCAAACTTATAAATGAGAATCTCTAATTTCATTTCAGCCTACTTGACATCCGTGAAAAAAAAGATAGCATACTAATTATATATGACTTTATGTCACAAGATGCTAACTAGAGACATTATTAAAAATTTATTGTATACCACAATCAATCCAGAATCATATTTACAGATATACATAGTAATCATTTTGGTCAAGATATTTTTAAAAATGAAGAACCAAACAAAAGAGACATGCATGTGAAGATGGATCCAATATTCCAATTCCAACCTCTCTCTACCTCACTGTCATTTACCATTTCCACAGATTCAAAAGAGTACACACGTCACCTTCTCTAAGGTGATGATTGGTTCTCCGCTACCACCCGCAAACGCAGCGTTTGCGGTTCGTAGCGGTTCTTAGTGTTTTATAACAATCACGACAACCGCTTTCAACTGCTCTATACCACTCTGTACCGCTCTATATCGCTGAAACAACACAACAAATAATAATATTAATAAACCCAAAACCCTAAACATTACTTGTGTCACAAGAAGCACCAAAAGAATAGTGACGTGAGAAAGAAAGAAGAGGAAGAACACACACATATACAGAAGAAAAGATAAAAACAAATCTAGGGTTTTGAGGATTAGTTCTCATTTTCATCGTCCATCTACAGAAGTGAAAGACTCTCCAAATCTATAAGGTCTAGTGGGAATACTCATCTGCGTGTTGTCCAAGCTAGGTAAAAGCGATGATGTAGAAGAATGGCAAGCTTATGAAGGAAGAAGTGATCTTGAATCTTCTACTTCATTGCTTTTACCGAAACCGAACCGGATTTTTTTGATTGGGTCCAATTTGGATTTCGGGGAATAATCCCATACCTACTTGGGATAAGTCACTAGGTATGGCTTCTCGGCTCTGGAAATTGCAATCAAAATAAGCCAACAACACTGTTAGTGCCAAAGAAATATCTCCATAACCTAAGAAAGAAAAAACTGGAAACTTCCCTAGTGCCAAGGAAACAGCTAGCCTTAACATAGGATTAATAAGTGAGCATCGTAAATTTGGTTATAGAATCAGAAGTGGATAGCTGAATCTTGAAAAGATGGAAGCCGAACAAAGTAATCAAAAAGATAGAAAATTGAGGGTCGTTGGTGCTTTTACAACTGCAACTGTGCTTATGTGTATGAGTCATTACCGTCTTGTCACATCTGATATCGAGACTCTTACGAGAGGAAGATCTCTTTACATTGAATCTATTTATCAATGGCAGTATATCATTATCTAATCTCATTATTTTATATGTAATGAAACAACAATGTTTTCGGTGAAGTAAAAGAAAGGGACACATATAAGATTAATGGTTTTTGTTCTCTTCTAAAATCGATATATATATGTATTTTTTTTTATTGGAATAAATACTAATTACAATGGCAGATTCTTTTAAATTAAATAAACATAGCAAGGGTTTCACATATTTTCTCTTTTCTCCGAAATTGTGAGCTTTTTTTTTTCAAAAAAATATCTGCCCAGGAATCTTAGATTGTGTGAGAAAAATATATAAGAAAAAAAATCCAAAGAAAAAAAAGAATAGTTCGAGACTTCTCCTTAAAGAGTTAGAAGAAACGAACGTTTGCTACAGAGAAAACAATGTGTAATCATGGCTTTTTCATGATGGCTCCCAATGTCTAGAACCCTAAAGTGAAGTAACTAAGTCAACTTTAAAGGCTTTCAAATTCCCCTTCCACCAACGTGAAAATGTTGCATCCAGTCCCTCAGCCTTTTCTTGTAATCCAAGTTAATGACATCAAAAACGTCTCGAGAGTCGACGAATAACTCTCAACAAGTGAGAAAGATGCTAAGATTATCTGACAAAGACGAACTTGACCTGACTGAGTTTTAAAAACTCCATGAAGGCGCAAAGAAGAGTAATTTCGGTCGAATCTTCCGTTCTTCGTCTCTCTTTGAAGATATGGTAAAATCTATTGTGTTGTGTAACATCACTTGGGATTAAGCTTGGAATTTTGGGTGATCATGTCGGGTTCGGGCAGGTACTGATCGGGTGCGGATCTATCTGGTAGATGAAGCTTATACCCATAGAGGTACCAAATCTATTTCGGTTCGATATTGGGCCGGGTCCAATGGGATTCGAGTATGTGAGGTCCAAAGTCATAGAACTGAATTGTACCCGATATATTTCGGTTATGATTCGGGTTCGGATATAAATTACCTAAATATACCTGAAATGTAATAAAACCGAAAAGTATACAAAACCTGAAATCAAACCGATTAAATCCAATCAAATTGTACTGGTTTAATCAACTCAAATAAAATCAAATCAGATTAATTTAATCGAATGGAAGAAAGGGAAGAGTTGATGTGGATGAGATTGACATAAGGCACATAGGCATGGACAAGGTCATATCCGCCATGACCATAAATATCCAGAGCTAAACAAGTGAAACCGGATCTGGGCAAGGAAGAGGGGAGTTGATTGGAAAAACTAGTTGGTTTGAATTTCAGAACCATGGTTGTGGATGACAGGAACAAGAAGGAAGGCATGAAACAGATGAAGCTTGGACTATAAAGATGAGGACACTTAGAGGAGATAAAGAGGAAGAAAGAAATTTAAAACCTAAAAAAAAGAAGAAGAAGGAAGCCATGAACCAAAAGAGTTCGCCCTAATATTTCTCTCCCAGGCCCAACTCCCAAGACAGCCTCTCAGCTCCTCCCACCACCGCTTCTGCCCGGTTTCAGGATGTCTCTCTTCCGCCTGAGACTCTTCACCTGAAATCGGAGCAACCCATCTTTTTCCCGGACTCCCCTTGGAGCTTCCGATGTCTTTTGCGTCACATTTTCCGCCGGTGATAGGTCTCCGGCGAGATCTTTACAATCTCTCTTGGTCCTTGTTCTCTTGCTTCTCGGCGACTCTCTCTCTCCGGTGAAGGTTTCGATCGGATCTATAAAGCTTTTGAGAACGGAGTTCTCAGCCCCTCGTTCACGGTGCCGGAGTTGCATGACAGTTCACCGATCTTCTCTCACCTCTCGGTGAGCCACCATATGGCTTTGTCGGACCTTCCTCCCAAACCTCCGGACACGCCGGATCTTCTTTGCTCTCGATATACATTATCGGTGCACTTATTCGTTCATCTTCTGCCTGAGATTCTCAGATCTAATCGTTTATCTTCACCGACGAGACTCAGCGGCATCACCTCCACCTTCCTTGCTAGAGACATGGTTTGGCTGCTTAACAGCCATCCTTTATCCTCCTTTGCTTATCATGACCAGCTAACCGGAGATATGGTTCCCACAAATCTTACGAGCGTAGTAGGATGCTTCTCCGAAGATGTTTTCCGAAGGATGGCCGTCACCACTGTTGATTCCGACCCTGACGACAGTTCAATGACATGGGCCGCCTGGCCCATTATGCCAATTAGGGTTAGTTGTTTCATTTCTTTCTTTGGGCTGGGCCCTTTTAGTCTTCTTGGGCTGGGTCTTTGTAAATTTCCTGGGCTTATCCCTTGCACACTTCCTGGGCTGGGCCCTTGTATACTTCATGGGCTTTGCCCTTGTATCACTTATGGGCTTTGCCCTTCTCTTCCTTATTACACTTATTAGACACTGCTGAGAGCGATATCCTTACTGATAAGGCAACATTTGTATCACTTTCCTCCTCTCATTGGGAGAGATTTGTGACAGCATTTACCCTTTATCCTAAAGAGGGCTATTACCCGAGTTTACTGCTGGTTTTAGCGGCCACTTTCCTAACCGTTTTACTTCCTTGAGTTGCGGTTGAGGATAGGCTTTCAAAGTCACATGTCAACTCGACTCTATTTCGATCTTTCGGCATTGCCGTGATGGTCCTATTGACGCAAGCGAGTTACGGCTCCATTTTGCTGTCAAGTTATCTTGAAGACTTATCTGCTCTATCTTTTGCTTTGATGTTTTATTGTAAGTTTCACAGAGGATGGACAATTCCCTTTACTTCTAAAATGACAGTTTAAGTGAAATGAAATCATATGTTGCACAAAAAAAAAAGAAGGAAGCCATGAACGAGTAAAGAGGAATCGATTATTCAAGATGAAGAGAAGAAAGATTTTGAGCAGATTTGAGATTGAAGAAGAAGGAAGCCACATGGAGGAGAGGAAAAGAAGGGAAGCGTGTTTTGTTTTCAGGTGAATCAGGTATCCGATTGGATATTGGGTCCTACCCGAACCGACTCGATACCCACGCGTCTCAGATTATTTACCCATCAGATATATTGGGTTATACCGAATCCGAACCAGGTGTTTTTGGGTTGGGTCTGGTTCGGATTTCGGGGAATAATCCCAGACCTACTTGGGATAAGTCACTAGGTATGGCTTCTCGGCTCTGCAAATTGCAATCAAAATTAACCAACAGCAGTGTTAGTGCCAAGGAATTATCTCCATAACCTAAGAAAGAAAAAATTGGAAACTTCCCTAGTGCCAAGGAAACAGCTAGCCTTAACGTAGGATTAATAAAGTGAGCATTGTAAATTTGGTTATAGAATCAGAAGTGGATAGCTGAATCTTGAAAAGATGGAAAGCGGAGAGATGGAAGTGGAACAAAGTAATCAAAAAGATAGAAAATTGAGGGGCTTTGGTGCTTTTGCAGTTGCAACTCTGCTTATCTCTATTGGTCATTACCGTCTAGTCACATCTGATATCAAGACTCTTACGAGAGGTGATCTCTCTACCATTGAATCTGTTTATCAATGGCAGTATATTGTTATCTAATCTCATTATTTTATATTTAATGAAACGACAATGTTTTCGGTGAAGTAAAAGAAAGGGATCGATTTTTTTTTTTTTTTTTTTTGAAAATACTAATTACAATGGCAGTTTTTATTATTATTAAATAAATAAACATAGCAAGAGTCACATATTTTCTCCTAGATTGTGTGAGAAAAATATATAAGAAAAATAATCCATAGAAATAAAAGAAGAGTTATGGAGTTGAGACTTCCCCTTAAAGGTTTGATATGGAGAAAACCGTGTGTAGTCATGGCTTTTTCATGATGGCTCCAAACGTCAAGAACCCTAAAGTGAAGTCACTAAGTAACCTTTAAAGGTTTCAAATTCCTCTTCCACCAACGTGAAAATCTCTCGTCCAGTCCCTCATCCTTTTCTTGTAATACAAGTTCACAACATCAACAACGCCTCGAGAGTCGACGAATAACTCATCTTTAAACAAGTGAGAAAGATGCTAAGATTATCTGACAAAGACGAACTTGACCTGACTGAGTTTTAAAAACTCCATGAAGGCACAAAGAAGAGTAATTTCGGTCAAATCTTCTGTTCTCCGTCTCTCTTTAAAGATATGGTAAAATCTATTTTGTTGTGTAACATCACTTGGGATTAGGCTTGAAATTTCCAGCGTCGGGTTGAGTTCGGGTAGGTACTAATCGGGTCCGGCTTGAAATCAAACCGATTAAATCCAATCAAATCGTACTGGTTTAATCAAATTAAATCAGATTAATTTAATCGAATGGAAGAAAGGGAAGAGTTGATGTGGATGAGATCGACATAAGGCACATAGGTATGGACAAGGTTTGATTTGCCATGGTCATCAATATCCAGAGCTAAACAAGCGCAACCGGGTCTGGGCAAGGAAGAGGGGAGTTGATTGGAAAAACTAGTTGGTGTGAATTTCATAACCATGGTTGTGGATGACAAGAAAAGAAGGAATACATGAAACAGATGAAGCTTGGACCATAAAGATGAGGACACTAGGAGGAGATAAAACAGAAGAAACAAATTTAAAACCAAAAAAAGAAGAAGAAGAAGGAAGCCAGGAACGAGTGAAGAGGAATCGATTATTCAAGATGAAGAGAAGAAAGATTTTGAGAAGATTTGAGTTGAAGAAGAAGAAAGCCACATGGAGGAGAGGAAAAGAAGGGAAGCATGTTTTGGTTTCAGGTGAATCGGGTATCCGATTGGGTATTGGGTCCTATGCGAACCGACTCTATACCCACGGGTCTAAGATTATTTACCCATTAGATATATTGGGTTATACCGAACCCGAACCAGGTGTTTTTGGGTTGGGTCCGGTTCGGATTTCGGGGAATAATCCAGACCTACTTGGGATAAGTCACTAGGTATGGCTCCTCGGCTTTGCGAATTGCAATCAAAATTAGCCAACAACACTATTAGTGCCAATGAAATATCTCCATAACCTAGGAAAGAAAAAATTGGAAACTTCGCTAGTGCTAAGGAAACAGCTAGCCTTAACATAGGACTAATAAGTGAGCATTGTAAATTTGGTTATAGAATCAGAAGTGGATAGCTGAATCTTGTAAAGATGGAAAGCGGAGAGATGGAAGCAGAACAAAGTAATCAAAAAGATAGAAAATTGAGGGGCTTTGGTGCTTTTGCAACTGCAGCTGTGCTTATGTGTATTGGTCATTACCATCTTGTCACATCTGGTACCGAGACTCTTACGAGAGGTAGATCTCCTTATATTGAATCTGTTTACCAATGGCACAATATCGTTATTTAATCTCATTATTTTATATGTAATGAAACGACAATATTTTCGGTGAAGTAAAAGAAAGGGACACATATACGATTAGGTTTTTTTGTTCTTTTTTTTTTTTTTTTTTTTAATAAAAAATACTAACTACAATGGCGGTTTTTTTTTAAATAAATAAACATAGCAAGAGTTTCACATATTTTCTCCTTTTCTCCGAAATTGTGGCTCTTTTCTCTCAAAAAATTATCTGCCCAGTAATCTTAGATTGTGTGAGAATAATAGATAAGAAAAATAATCCATAGAAATAAAAGAAGAGTTATGGAGCTCAGACTTCCCCTTAAAGTGTTAGAAGAAAGGTTTGATATGGAGAAAACCGTGTGTAATCATGGCTTTTCATAATGGCTCCAAACGTCTAGAACCCTAAGTGAAGTCACTAAGTAACCTTTAAAGGTTTCAAATTCCTCTTCCACCAACGTGAAAATCTCTCATCCAGTCCCTCATCCTTTTTTTGTAATACAAGTTCACGACATCAACAACGTCTCGAGAGTCGACGAATAACTCATCTTTCAACAAGTGATACAGATGTTAAGATTATCTGACAAAGACTAACTTGACCTGACTGAGTTTCAAAAACTCCATGAAAGCGTAAAGAAGAGTAATTTTGGTCAAATCTTCGGTTCTCCGTCTCTCTTTGAAGATATGGTAAAATCTATTTTGTTGTGTAACATCACTTGGGATTAGGCTTTGATTTTTTGTTGATCGAGTTGAGTTCGGGTAGGTACTGAGGGTCCGGGTCTATCGGGTAGATGAAGCTTATGCCCATAGAGGTACCGAATAAATTTCGGTTCGATATTGGGCCGAGTTAAATTGATTCCGGGTATGTTCAGGTACAAGGTCAGAGAACTGAATTGTACCCTATATATTTCAGTTATGATTCGGGTTCGGATCTAAATTACCTGAATATACCTGAAATGTAATAAAAACCGAAAAGTATACAAACCTGAAATAAAACCGATTAAATCCAATCAAATCGTACTGGTTTAATCAAATCAAATCAGATTAATTTAATTGAATGGAAGAGAAGAGTTGATGTGGATGAGATCGACAGAGGGCACATAGGCATGGACAAGGTCAGATCTGACATGACTATCGATATCCATAGCTAAACAAGCGAAACCGGATCTGGGCAAGGAAGAGGGGAGTTGATTGGAAAAAATAGTTGGTGTGAATTGTATAACCATGGTTGTGGATGACAGGAACAAGAAGGAATGCATGAAACAAATGAAGCTCGGACCATAAAGATGAGGACACTTGGAGGAGATAAAGCAGAAGAAAGAAATTTAAAACCAAAAAAAGAAGAAGAAGAAGGAAGCCAGGAACGAGTGAAGAGGAATTGATTCTTTGAGATGAAGAAAAGAAAGATTTTGAGCAGATCTGAGATTGAAGAAGAAGGAAGCCACATGGAAGAGAGGAAAAGAAGGGAAGCGTGCTTTGGTTTCAAGTGAATCGGGTATCCGATTGGGTATTGGGTCCTATGCGAACCGACTCTATACCCACGGGTCTAAGATTATTTACCCATTAGATATATTGGGTTATACCGAATCCGAACCAGGTGTTTTTGGGTTGGGTCCGGTTCGGATTTCGGGGAATAATCCCAGACCTACTTGGGATAAGTCACTAGGTATGAACAAAATACTTATTGGGCGGGATAGGCGATCGTGAAGGCGATAGCCTTTTCTTCAGTCCCTTTCTCCAATCGTGAGGGTTTCTGGTCGAATCCCAGTGATGATTCTATAAAGCCATGGAGATCACATGATGATTCCAATGAAGATTTTGGCCATGGATATGGCTTTTGTTCGACGATATATATATCGTGTTTTTCTGTTTCTCATTCTTGTGGAGGAACTAGTAAAGGAATTGGTCTCAGTGGTGGTGTTGGTTCACAGGAACATGGGTATTCTGTTTTGGTGTCCAATTGAATCAGCGTTTGGGGCCAGTCAGACACATCATCAATCGGTAAGTGACTTCTTCTTTCACGATTGGAAATCTTCCACAGAGATAGAGAATTCCTTCTTAGATGCTGGTATAGGGCAATTATATGATGTTTTCATTCTGGCATCTTCCATCTCCGTGGTGATTAAAGCCCACTGACTTTGGCAAAGCATTGCCAATTTTTTATTTCAACCGTCGCCATTTGTCCTTGTAAATGGTGTCTTGGTCGGCGGATTTGGGATCCTGGGAAATCAATTTCATGGAGGCGGTTACAGAATGAGAAGATTTGGTGATTGATCATCTCTGGCCATTGGAGTATGAAGGACAAGGCTTCAACACCAAAGGTAGAAGATGGCTTTTAACAATTGGAGTATCTACTGAATTTTATATTTTGATACACTATATTTGGTATCAAAATATAAATTATCGCTGGAATCATGGACACCCATGGAAAAAGCGGCGGTTAAAGATGTATTCTCTTTGTTGTGTGGCGACGTTCTTAGAGTCGTTGAAAATTGGATGTCCCAATCTTTATTTCTGATGGAAGAATCAATATATTGGATTCTACACAGATTATCAATAGATCCAGATTAGGATACGGCCAATGTAATACAACAAAGTAAACTGGTATTGAAATGGGACAAGGTGAAAGCTCCCAAGAAAATTAACATAGTTGAAACTCTGTTAATCACTCACCAAGACCTCTCAAGCAAAAACATCTTCAAAGTTTACTTCATTTGATCTATTATTTTTATCTTACCATCTTATTTATGTATGTTTTTTATTCTTATCTCTATTATAAAAGATGGTGAACTCTCTCCATATGAGACACACGTGGCGTGTCTTCCTTCTAATAAAAAAAGTGTGGCGTTTCTTTTCTATATAGATTTTTTACATTTTAGTTTAATGTCCCTAAAACATATTTTTATTACAAAAAACCCCTCAAAATCAAACTGATTTCGTTTTGTCTCCTTACCATTTTGTGTCCCTTGCAGTGAAGCTCACCCCCCCCCCACACCGGAGCGCCACCCAAATGCGCCACATCCGCCTCCTCCAGCCACCCCAATCGTTGCCGCCGGCGATTTCCACATCGTCTCTTTCGCCTATCACCACCAAAACCACCACGCAAACTACTATATTCGCGACGCAGATGAAGGATCCGCCATTGAAGAACGTTACGGCAAGGGAGGCACTTGATTTTTCAATGAAGGATCCGCCATTGAAGAACGTTGCAGCAAGACAGGCAGGCGCTCCTAAATGGATCTCCAATCTCTGCCGTCTCAAACCATCTCTCGGAGGAGCCACCGGTGCTCCTATATGGACAGTCCACCCACTGTCACCATCGACCAATCTCGGCCGTCGCGAGATCCAAGTCACAGATCCGCCACTCAGGGTTGGATTTTCTGCCGCGATGACGTCGTTGATGTTCTCTCTGGTCAAGAATAGCCTGACGGCTCCGGTCTCCACTTTGACTTCCGCCGTCTCCGTACCAACCGTCTCCGGTACCCTAATGGGCTCTCTCTCTTTCTCATTTTCCGTCAGTCCATTAGAGCCCAATAGGTAGTTTGTTTAACATACTCATACACCACCAACGAAATAATATTTATTTTTTCTGCAACGTTTTATCTTATCTTTTTTTTTTTTTTGGTAATCTCATCACATTCCTTTTGGTTTATTCTCTCTCAATTTACTTAATTTGTTCATCAAATTTTCATAGAATTCAAATATCCTTCTTTTTTTTTCCCTAATTGCAAGAGATCATATTTCTAGAGGAAATGCTTCCACTTCCCTTCCATACTTCCATAGATATACTCAGCAGCGGTACTACTCCACTCTCCACTCTCCGTCACCCTGATCAGACCGTGGCCGAAGTCGCTCTCGATACACTCTACAATCGTAGCCCTCTTCGTTGCCATGATATTGGTTAGTTTTACATGCTCATGATCTATTTCAAACACTAATTTGTATAAGTTCATATACACAATAGATTATTCATTTGATGAATACAGCCCAATGTTGGCATCAATCTCTTTCAAAGGTGCGATTGAGAAAGTTCAAAACATTTTGGCACAAGCGATGAGTTTAAGGCGGCTGTATCAGCTGCGAAGCAAGCAGTTTCGTTCATGGAGAAACACACCGATTACTACTCCGCAGCGCGTTATGCTGAAGTTTCAAGAGCTTATACCCAAAAATATGGTGACAAAGATCTACTTGGTTTTAGTTCGTTTTGCTTTTGACATGTTTTTGAGTGAAAGTTTTGATCTTTCTGCAGGACAAACTTGCTATGAACATTACGACCGAGCAAAGGAAGACCTTGAAGGATGCGCATGGTGATATCTTCTGTGGACTAGGTTAGCTTTTATTTGCAGGTTTGATTATATGATTGACAAGGAGAGAAGAACCTTACCCTACTGTTTTTTTGGGTATTTTTCAATCACACAGAGGTTGTGGAGCATGCGTGTGGAATGGCGACACTACAGATGGGTGAATATGTGCCTAATGTATCGAATGGAGTCAATACGTATAGTGTTAGGGAGCCATTTTGTGTTTGTGCTGCCATTTGTCCATTCAACTTCCCAGTTATGAGTCCTTTATGGGTAACATGCTTAAGCCTTTTTACATTAGTTCTCTCTATGGTTTCATTTACGTTCAACATGTATTACATATGTATATCCGTAATTCTTTTTTTATTCTCCTCTGTCAAGTCTTGAGTACTTATTCTGTGTTTGTTAATGCAGATGTTTCCCGCTGCTGTGACATGTGGTAATACCTTCATTCTAAAGCCATCAGAGAAGGATCCTGGTAAGTTTCTCAGTAACTAATGGACGCTCCTGTGATGTTTAGTTGATGTATCGGAAGTTCATTGTATAAAAACTTTCGATCATGTCTTTACATATCATTGATGCCAGTGTGCATAGATCTTACTATCTAGGCCAATGTGATGAGCTGATTGCTCTTAGATCTATCACATTTTTAAAAATGTTATTGGATGACTGTTGATTCACTCAATAAAAGTTCCCTCTGTTGATGTGGTATGCTTTTTGTGAAACCGGCTTGTTGACAGTACTTGCTTTCACCAGGTGCTTCTGTAATGCTTGCTGAGTTGGCAATGGAAGCTGGATTACCTGATGGAGTTCTCAGTATCGTTCACGGCAACAATGTATGTTTTGTTTAAGTTTCTTCTCTTGCTCATGTTAGCTATTTGTAAGGATTTGAACTATTGTAGTTATGGTCCTTAATTTGTAAAGAGTCTGCACTATTACCTTTTCGTTCTTTGTCAGTAATATAACTACATCTATACATTTCAGGATACTGTCAATGCTATCTGTGATCACGAGGATGTAAGGGCTGTTTCTTTTGTTGGCTCTAACACTGTAAGTATTTTTAATTTTGTTTCTACTTTTTTAGTCTGAAAACTTGGTTTTGTGTTTCATTTTCTACATTAAGTTACTTTTCATTTGTTCATATTATACTAACTACCTTTTCATGTTGACTTCGCTAAAGTTCAGTGATTCTTTAGGCTTTTGTGTGAAGCTGGGTGTTCAGAAGAAAGCTTTAGTGGATCATAGTAGTTTCTTTGCTAAGAAACTCGCTGCGAAAGACTCGGTTTTCGCTTGTCTTGAGATTGAGAGCTGTGAAGACGCAGAGATATACGTTGAGACTATTGGTCTTATGTATTATAAAGAAATGAATCAACGTCTCATGAAACAGAACGTAAGCAGAGTCCTTCGTGTCCTCAAGGTATTACATCTAAATTCTCGTCTAATCAATCTCATTTTGGCGTTGATGTATCATAGAAGTGACTAAATTTGGTAACTTTAAGTTGCAGAGGTTCTTGGTTTCAGTTCATGTATTCAATCTTATTTGGATTACTTAGGAGTTATTGGTGTTGTCACCACCACTCCTGTGCTCAAAAGAATTGCTTTCAGTGCTGCTGATCCACCAAAAGAGACGCTCTCTCGCATCATCGAGCTTGTTCTAAGAAGCAAAGAGGAGAAGAGTCGCGAGAGATGAAAACTATCGTCCTGAAGCTTCTTCTCAGGGACCAGAATGGAGCCAATGTATAGCTGATATCTTCAACGAAACAATCTACACCTCTTGCCAAAACTGTTTCAACTCTGTTTCGTCTCTGTTTCGACAAGCAGAGACCGATACCAAACTAATTGCTGTGGAAGCTGATAACTTGACGTCGCTGCTCGATGTTTTAGCGGAGAGACAAGCTGCGGAGGAGTTCTCAGTGACAAAAGGAGCTTTCTTTGCTACACGAGAAGCTTCCTTCGATGTCGCGTTACCATATAAGCCTTGTAACGTCTCGGCTCTTCGTAGGGATCGGAAGAGGAGAGTTGTTGCTTTCGAAAGACACTCAGCTTTTGCTGTTGAGCATGTGGTTGCAACTGTTGTTTAGTGATTACAATTGGTTACAGTATGGTTGCAGATCTTCCGATAACATTAAATACTGGGTTTCTTCAATTTTTAATTACAATTGGCAACTCTCTAATGTGGGAACACATGTTCTCTCTAATGTGGGAACACATGTTCACTCTAATGTGAGGACTTCGAACCCTTCATATAACATTAAATACTTGGTTTCTTCAATTTTTATTATTCACATGTTTAATTATTAAATATCTTTTTTTGGAAAAAAACCACATAATTTTGAAAATTGATTTAGGTCTTTATAGGTGAAGTTTATCTTAAGATTTTTGAACAATTTACAAAAAAAATATTAAACAAAACAGAATTACTTTTAAATGTAATAAAAGAATATTGAAAATCTGATAATTTTTTTTTTAAATAACACAATATATACTTCAGTATAATAAATAGTATGTAATTAATAATTCTATAATAAACATATTTCATTAAGTAATTGAATCTCAACTCCTAATATTTAATTTTTTTAGGATTTCTGACTTTTCATTTTCGAATAATATATGCTATAATATAACGATAATTTTGATTTCGATCAAATTGATTTAGAGTCAAATATTTCTTTTTTTTCTTTAGTATACATGATTTTTTTTTATTCTAAAAATGATGTAAGCACACAATTAGTAGGAAAAAAAAAAGATAGAATAAATTTTAAAGGTTATAGCTTATTATATAGGGTATATTGAGACAAAGAAGACAATTATTTTTTCCTTTTTTCGTAAGAAAATGGAATATTTTTATCTTATAATATAAAACCTGCAAAAATATTTTGTCATTCTTCATTTAGAATGTAGAACCTTTTTTATCTTAAAACATGAAGTATGCAAATGTTTTTTCCTTTTCCGTTAGAATATGGGAAATATAATTTTATTCTTTATCTTGGTAAGATATTGAAAATATTTCTTTTTCCCTTTTCCGTTAGAATTTGGATCTTTTTTCCTTCAAATATAATGTATGCAAAGAAAAAAAAAATCTTTTTTTCTGTTAGAATATGGAACCTGTTCCATTTTGTTTTTCATTTTTTTTTCCAGTTTTTTCCTTTGTTCGTTAAAATATATAGGGTTTTTCCTTTAAAATATAGATTTTCCCCCTTTCTAATACTGCATCTTTTTAATTAGCTTTATTTTTATATTTCTTTTGCAAAATACATGTCACGATCTTAATAAGACTAAAATTAAAATTGACATATGTCGAGATACTATGAATTATAAAAATCCTGCATGTTGCAACCACGTCGGGTGAATGCAGCTTTATATAATAAGATACCTCATAACTCATAAGTAAAGCATGTTATCAGAAAACGCTATATATCTACCGAATTAATCTTATTAAAAATAAAATAAAAATCCTTTAAAATAGAACAATTCCTGACTTTATATAATCTTAAGTTATGAACATAAATCAAGTTTGAAAATCTTCATTTATAATTTTTTATCATAAAGTACCCACTCTATAAACATTTCAAGTAAATAGTACGGTAACTATATAAAAATTAATCAATTTAATTTAATTAAACTGTCATCATTTGACGAAATTCAAGAAAATCAAGAACTCCATTACTATTGATGCAGTAAAACCTTGCTTCACACTCTCCGTAATTTTACTTTCCCAACTTCAAAAGCATCATTTGCAATTATGCAGCCTTTGGAATATAACTATATAAAAGATAAAATTGTCAGAATTCAAATGAAAATTAAAATATAAGTAAGAAAATTTTGTAATAGTCACAACCCGCGCATCGCGTGGGCTAAGCCCTAGTTTTGTGTAATTTTTATGTAATTTTACATTCAGTTCAATATTAATAATATAAGCAGATGTTAAAAAATAAAAGTCACTAGGTATGGCTTCTCGGCTTTGTGAATTGCAATCAAAATTAGCCAACAGCAATGTTAGTGCCAAGGAAATATCTCCATAACCTAGAAAAGAAAAAATTGGAAACTTCCCTAGTGCCAAAGAAACAGCTAGCGTTAACATAGGATTAATAAGTGAGCATTGTAAATTTGGTTATAGAATCAGAAGTGGGTCGTTGAATCTTGAAAAGATGGAAAGCGGAGTGATGGAAGCGCAACAAATTACTCAAAAAGATAGAAAATTGAGGGGCTTTGGTTCTTTTGCAACTGTAACTGTGCTTACGTGTATTGGTCATTATCGTCTTGTCACATCTGATATCAAGACTCTCAGATTCTTACGAGAGGTAGATCTTCTTACATTGAATCCGTTTATCAATGGTAGTATATCGTTATATAATCTCATTATTTTATCTGTAATGTTTGCTGATGCATGGAAATAAGAAGTATTCGAAAGAGACACTAGAAAAAGAAGCACAATCATTCTATTATCTTGGTTGTTGGCTTCTCATATTTTTTAAGTATACAAATTACCACAGTTACTGATAAATATTTTTATTGCTTCTTCTCCTTGCACTGTAGGTTTGATTTAATCCAAAACTATGAAGCAATATTTGGCAAGCCTAGCGGGTTGGATCCGTGTGAGTACGTCAATGCTAGTGGGTGCTCTCACACGCCAAGGGATGATGCTTTTTCTGAATTGAATTATACTGGGACAAAGGTTTGTAAGCAAAAAAAAACTAAAAGAAATAAATTCGTAGTAGCATTGGAGAAAGCGTCTATAAAAAAATAGCCTAAAAAAGATTACACATGTTCTCGATGTCATCATGGTGTTCATAGGCGACATGTTAGCATAGGCGAATTCGTAGGCGATTTAAGGGTTTCCAAAAAATCTCACGCACGTTAGGGTATCAAGAGCCGATGTCGGCGTCAGAAATGGTGGTTCAGCCTCCTTTGGTGACGAGAGGAAGCTCGGATCAACAGAGTTAACAGAGTAACAGAGAAGCAAGTACCCAAAGAGATGGGTAAGAAAGCATAGGAAACAATTGACCGTTCGATAACAAAAGCAGGAAAGGAGGCTCCTCCCTCACAAAACATGGAAGTGGAAGCAAACCAGTTGGTTTTTCCTAACCTCATTTTACAAACGGAAGAAACAGCTACTCATGAAAGTAGAAGAAGCTATAGAGCACGTTTCTCATGAGATCATGGAAAAAAACAGTACACAGCTAAAGGATGAGGATGATAGTTAGATCAAAGAAAAATGATCACTTGGAAAACAGATTACGCTTGAAGAGGCCTCCAATCTCGCTTCTCTCCAACACGGTTTGATATTCTGGGAGAGAAAGAAGAAGAGGATGTAGAGGATCAAAAGGAGGAGAATAGCGAGGAAGGATAGATTGTTCCGGAAAAGGATGAGAGAGTTGAAAGCATAAAGCATGAGAGCTTGCTGCCTGCTACTCTCCCTGGAAGGCACATACAAGTTTTTGTCGGAATCTTTCTCTCTAAACAATAAGGCCTCAAAGTCTAGTGTCTCGAGTAAAGAGAAACCCACAAAAAATAATTATGTCGGGATCCTTTTGGGATGTTTGCGGCCTTAATAAAACATCAAAACATTCCATCATAAGAAGTTGGGTCAACATAAGTTCTTTTCAATTTGGTTGCTAATTGGAGACAAGAGTTAAAGTGTAACATCCCGATTTGTAATAAATGAGAAGAGGTTAAAAGAATTGATTTGGCTACCTATGTCATCAAAGTGCACTTACCTTTTCGGTCAAGGGCCCATAAAGAACTCCAGAGTTAAGCGTGCTTGGGCTGGAGTAGTGGAAGGATGGGTGACCTTTCGGGAAGTCCTCTGCGAAACCGTGTGAGTTAGGAAAAAACACGGGAAAAGGTCGGGTGATGATTGCAGGGATAGTAAATACATTCTCGGAGCCTCCCAAAAATAACGCACCGACCGTCGGACAGGGGTGGGGCCCACGGGCCGAGAGAGGGCATGGTGACTCACCGGGAGGGGCGGCATGGGCGTTACAATTGGTATCAGAGCCGAACCCAGACGTATGTGTGGAGACTAGTGGACTCACACTGTTAACCGTCAGGGGGTGTCGATCTTGGTACGCAATAGGGGACGTTGCGCTCATTGAGTCGGGGTGAATTGTAATATCCCGGTTTGTAATAAATGAGAAGAGGTTAAAAGAATTGATTTGGCTACCTATGTCATCAAAGTGCACTTACCTTTTCGGTCAAGGGCCCATAAAGAACTCCAGAGTTAAGCGTGCTTGGGCTGGAGTAGTGGAAAGGATGGGTGACCTTTCGGGAAGTCCTCTGCGAAACTGTGTGAGTTAGGAAAAAACACGGGAAAAGGTCGGGTGATGATTGCAGGGATAGTAAATACATTCTCCGAGCCTCCAAAAAATAATGCACCGACCGTTGGACAGGGGTGGGGCCCATGGGCCGAGAGAGGGCGTGGGTGACTCACCGGGAGGGGCGGCGGGGGCGTTACATAAAGAGTGCAATGCTCCAAGACTTGTATCTTCGATTGTACGAGACTGTTCGGTTCTGATGAACTATGAGTTCAATCATTTGGGTCGGATTTGGGTGGTGTGGAAGCAAAATACACATATCACTCCTTCTTTCAAGAGTGGGCAACTTATTACCTGCTCAGTAAAGTTGGAGGATCAAGAAGATGGATTTTTCTGCCCTTTTGTTTATGCCTCAAACTCAATGGAAGAGCGGAAATAACTCTGGGGTGATTTGAGAGATCATTATGATTCTCCCATCATCCGTCATAGGTCTTGGATTATTTTTGGTGATTTTAATGAAAATCTTGATGGAGAGGAGCATCTTAGTGAAACTCTTGATGGAGAGGAGCATTCACCACACATAACTATAGGGATGCATGATTTTTAGGATTTGGTATACTACTGTTCTCTCATGGATCTCGCCTCACAAGGTCCATTATTCACATGGTGTAATAAGAGAGAAAATGGCCTATATCAAAAAGTTGGATCGGGTGCATGTTAACGATCATTGGAAAACGGTGTTTCTTCAATCATATAATTTTTTTGAGGTTGGTGGATGCTCGGATCACCTTCGATTTATAATTTACTTGACTGGTGAAGTGATAAGGCCTAACAAACCGTTTAAGTTTGTTAATAAAGTTGCAGATCTTGCGGGATTTCTATCTCTAATGGAGGACTACTGGAGCGAGACTGAGCCAATGCACTTATCTACTTCCTCCATGTATCGTTATGCGAAGAAACTGTTGGGAATGTCCTGAAATCATTTGTATTTCTCTAATTATAGTTATAACGTCAAGGTTGCATAATCGTTTAATATTAGGTGATTATAATGTCTTGCTAGAGGCCACTTATAATCTATGTGTTATGAACTTATTGCTAATATTATACGATTCTATAGGGTCACACACCTAAGCAAATTGGATCAAAGTATATTTGGGTTTTAGAGAATGTTTTATTTATATGATAAATAAAATAAAATGAAATATATACAAATATGATTAAGTATATATTTGCACAAGTAAATATAACGAATAGATGTATTCATTATGCTAATGGACTTTACGTAGTGGACATATTGTATTAAGCCCATAAACTAATGCTAATTAGGTTTGTGTGTTTAATATATAAAAGATTAGATTAGGTCCCGCGTATACGCAGATTTATTTTTAAAATGTTTTAAAAAATTACGGAAGAATATTAAGCAAAATTTGATCACTTTTAAAAATAAGTAAAATAATATTAAAAACCCGATAACAAATCTCTAAATAAAATAAGATATATAATCTTTTTACATTTTTATTTTGAATTCATGATATGAAGTAGAAAGACTTACATGTGTCTAAATCTAATCGACTCATTAATTTATGAAAGTTTGATTATTCCACTGATGAAATCTTTATATTAAATATTGATGAAATCTTTATTTTTAATATTTTTTACCTAACAAAAAGTGGAAAATTACACTATTTAATATTAGAAGATTGGTCCACTATAAAATTTTCTTTTTAATATTATTTAGTTCCTTAATAATTATTTTGTTAGTTTCTATTTATATTGTTTCTTTTTCAATTTTTGTTTTTGCCTCTAACCATTATAAATTTTCATTTTCATTATTACTAAGCTATTTTACAATTACTTTGTTTATTTATTTATGTTATTCTATTTTTCCAATTTTCTTTTGTTGACATATGTCATCACCTGATCAAATATTAGACACATGTAGCGATCTAGAGTTAAGTATTCTTTATTGATATCTTGAACTTTTAAAGACATGATTTTTAATTTCTTAGTGAGAAAGAAACTTAAAAAAATATAACTTGTTATATATATATATATATTTTTTTTTCCTTTTCATAATGGGAATATGTTTTTTATTCTTTTTCTTATTGGATGTAACATTTTTTATTATTTCTTTATGTTTTTCTGATATTCTTTTTTTTTCCTTTTCGTAATAGGATTATATTTTTTCTTTACTTTTCTTAATGGAAGTAATATTTTTTATTTTTTCTTGTGTTTTTTTGTAACATCTGATACTTTATTAAAATGTGAAAGGGAAATACAAATAGTTTGTTTTTTTTTGAATTGTTTGTTTTTTTTTCTGATTTTTCCTAATGTATTAATAGGATTTTATTTATTACATTATTTTTAATTTTAATATGTGTTTGGATAATATAAAGTTGATGAATGGAAAACCTTTTTCTATTAGGATATGACAAATATGATATATTTCTTTTTACTCTAATAGATAATTTTGTTTTTAATTTTCCTGTTTTCTAATATTTTTTAATTATTTTTTTGTTTTTTTTCTCGAGATACGTGTCACGATCTTAATGGACGTAATATTAATATGGCACATGTCGCGATCCTATATTTTATAAAAATCCTACGTATCGCACCCACATCGCGTACATCCAGCTTTATATAATAAGATGTGAATGTCTTCGTTAAAAAACACCACATTATGTGAGCCGCACAGCAACAGAAAACCCTAATATTAGTTTCTTGAGATTTGATCTCGACGGCACTAGCATCCCGTTCCGATCCAGTTTGTGTGTGTGGATACCGATAGAGGCGCTACACTTGGAGTGCTCAAACAACCTTGATTCAATTCTGATCACCCTTCCGCTGCTAAGAAGCAAGGTATGTTCGAGACTCTTAGATCCATATTTATTTCAATATTTTGCTTGAGTTCCTGGAGCTAATTTCATGAGTAGTTCTATAAAGTGTTATAAACCTACATGAGTTTCCAACAGTGGTATTAGAGCAAACTTGCATAATTTTGATTTGAATCTAATATACTGTATATAAGTGATATGCATGTTAATCGTCGTAGTTAAGCTTTGAATTCTCCGAATCATGTGCTTGAATATTTAATTTGATTAAACTGAGACTAATGAATTGAAGTTTCGAAGTACGATTGCTGAAATAAGACATGATCATTCTAGAAGTTATTATAGTATAATTTGATTATAACTAATCACTGTCAAGAATCTATATACTTGTCTGAACCTGTATTGGTGCTATTATAATTTGATTATAGCTAGTTGATATCAAGCGTATAAATATGTTACTACCTTCTTGTCATTTTGGCAAAATGTATCTGCAAATATTTGGATGTATTTGGACGTGTTTTGCATTGCAAATACATCCAAATAATTGCATATACATTTTTCCAAAACGACAACTAATTTGAAACGGAGGGAGTATTATTTATATTAAACGAATGTCTTACGTAACTAAGCTCGCCATGCAATTTGCTTCATGCACGTATTATTGTAATACTTGATTGCTTGACATTTAAAGGATAAATAATATGTGTATCATATGCTTTGTGATATCATGCATGGTATTATATTATTCACGTAAGTCACTTTCATCAAAGTCTTTGACTATGACGAAATACTGTACTACGTTTAACTCAAGTTTTAATATGATTAAAACATATGAATTAAATCAAGATTAATTATTTTAATTAGATTAAAATTAATTAAATTATTTATAATCCAATTAAATCATATAAGATATGTATTAGTTATATTTAATATTATATTAGATATAAAACTTAAATATAAACTAAAATTGGATTAAAATTTAGTTCCTCATAAAATATCAAGTATTTTGATGCCTCTCCAATTTTGTCAACTGTCAAGACTTGTTTCATTGTGTGATGGGCTTGCTCAGCAAGGTGTCTACAATTACATAAGTAAGACAGATGGTAATGGTTACCATATGAAACAAAATTAGTTTGCTTGACTAAGCTATCAAAACGGTTTTGGGCTTAGAGGCATAGGTTGGATTAAACATAAGATGTCATCTAACAACCAAGAATTATATTTGATATAATTAGCAATGTTGTTGCTTACCTAAATAACTAGGCATTCGGGCGATGAGCCAAAGCTCACTTGAATTCTAGTAATATATGGATCTTGGATCATTATATTCATTTTGAGGATATTATTGTTTTGAATATAATGTGAGTTTTCTTAATTGTTGAGATTTTTCAAACTTATGAACATCATATTAACATCTTCTATTCCTTTTGATTCAGCTATGACAACTACTCACAGTTCATTCTCCATTCGATCTGTCCTTGAGAAGGAAAAGTTGAATAGATCGAATTTTCCTTGAATGGTACCAACCCTGAGAATTGTTCTCAAACAGGAGAAAAAAAACTATGTCTTGGAAAAGAAACTTCCTGAAAAACCTAAGACAAATGCTCAACATGCAGAGAGGAATGCTTGGGAGAAACATTCCAATGATACGGTTGATGTGTGTTGTTTTATGTTGGCTACCATGAACTCGGACTTGCAGAAGCAATATGAGAACGTGGATTCGCCAATTGACATGATCACTAGCCTGAAGGGTATGTTTCAGGAGCAAGCACGAACTGAGAGATACCAAACCGTTAAAACTCTCATTGAGTGCAAGCTTCCTAAGAACAGTCCAGTTAGCCCTCATGTCATTAAGATGATGGGTTATATTGATAACCTGGCAAAACTGGACTGCCCAATCAGCCAAGAGTTGGCCACTGACCTCATCCTGCAGTCATTGCCGTCAAGTTTTGATCAGTTTGTTATGAACTATAACATGAACACATGACAAACACTTTGACTGAGCTGCATGGGATGCTTAAATCTGCTGAACCCAACATCCTGAAGGACACCCCTCACGTCCTAATGGTACAAGGGGGTAAGAAGTTTAAGAAACATGGTAAGGACAAGGGAAAGGGCAAGGCAAGCTGGGTTAAGAACCCAAGCAATTCCGAACCTACTTCTAAGACCAAACCTGGTCCTTCTGGTGAAGACAAGTGTCATTATTGTAATGATTCTGGTCATTGGAAAAGAAACTGCAAGAAATACTTGGAAGATCTGAAAAAGAAGAAGAAGACTTTTGAGACTTCATCTTTAGGTATTTATGTTATAGAAGTAAATGTTGCTACTTCCAGTTCTACTTCATGGGTATTGGATACCGGCTGTGGTGCTCATATTTGTGTTAATATGCAGGGCCTAAGCAACAGTAGAACTTTGGAGAAAGGACAAGTGGACCTGCATGTGGGAAATGGAGCAAGAGTTGCTGCATTAGCTGTAGGAACATTTCATTTGTCTTTGCCGTCAGGCTTGGTTTTAGAACTTAAAAATTGCTACTATGTACCTGCTATAAGCAGAAATATTATTTCAATTTCATATTTGGATTTGGAAGGATTTCATTCTACGATTAAAGACAAGTGTTGTTCATTTGGTCGTGATAATATGTTTTATGGTAGTGGTCCATTAGAGAATGAGCTTTATGTTCTAAACCAAAGTGTGCATGTCTATAACATTAGAACCAAAAGATTTAAGTCAAATGACTCGAATCAAACTTTTCTTTGGCATTGTCGTTTGAGCCATATAAATGAGAAGTGCATTCAAAAGCTTCATAGTGATGGACGTCCATGGGAGATTGTTGGGAATGTCCTGAAATCATTTGTATTTCTCTAGTTATAGTTGTAACGTCATGGTTGCATAATCGTTTAATATTAGGTGATTATAATGTCTTGCTAGAGGCCACTTATAATCTATGGGTTATGAACTCATTGCTAATATTATACAATCCTATAGGGTCACACACCTAAGCAAATTGGATCAAAGTATATTTGGGTTTTAGAGAATGTTTTATTTATATGATAAATAAAATAAAGTGAAATATATACAAATATGATTTTAAGTATATATTTGCACAAGTAAATATAATGAATAAATGTATTCATTATGCGAATGGACTTTACGTAGTGGACATATTGTATTAAGCCCATAAACTAATGCTAATTAGGTTTGTGTGTTTAATATATAAAAGATGTGAATGTCTTCGTTAAAAAACACCACATTACGTGAGCCGCACAGCAACAGAAAACCCTAATATTAGTTTCTTGAGATTTGATCTCGATGGCACTAGCATCCCGTTCCGATCCAGTTTGTGTGCGTGTGGATACCGATAGAGACGCTACACTTGGAGTGCTCAAACAATCTTGATTCAATTCTGATCACCCTTCCGCTGCTAAGAAGCAAGGTATGTTCGAGACTCTTAGATCCATATTCATTTCAATATTTTGCTTGAGGTCCTGGAGCTAATTTTATGAGTAGTTCTATAAAGTGTTATAAACCTACATGAATTCCAACAGAAACTCAAACGGCTAAAACCGAGAATTAGAAATTTTGCTAAAGAGAAGATGGGGAATCTGGTCAAGAGAGCGAGAGGGGCTTTTGAGGATCTTTTCATAAAGAAGGAACAAAATTTCAATAATCGAACAACGCAGAATATGTAAGAGGAAAAATGAGCTTTCAAAAGATGGGAAAGAATTGAGGAGAAGTATATTAAAAAAAAAGTCCAAGATGCACTGGCTTAAGGTTGGAGATCGACATAATAAATACTTCTATAATGGAGTTGCGGAGTGAGTATCTCAGAATACCACACGGGAGATCCGATGTGGATATGGAACTGTGGTGAGAAATGGAGTAGATATCAAAAAAAAAGCGGAGAGATTCTTTTAGGAATTCCTCCAACACGAACCAGACGACTATGAGGGTGTATCGGTAGCCTCACTGGAGGAGCTCTTACCTCGCTGCAAGGAAGAAGACCATGGCAACCTTGAACGGGCTGTAAGTGCAGAGGAAATAAAAGATGTTTTTTTTTCATGCCTAATGATAAATCACCGGGACTTGATGATTATACTACATAGTTTTTCAAGAAAGCTTGGTCTGTTATAGGCAGAGAATTCACCATAGCTATTCACGCTTTTTTCGAGAAGGGTTTCTTGCCAAAGGGAGTGGATACAACGATCCTTGCGCTAATACCAATAAAAACTTGGAGCCACTAAGATGATGGGTTATTATAAACTCACTGTGCAAAGTTCTATACAAGGTAATACCAAAAACATTGTGAATCGTTTGAAAGAGATTTTACCCGACCTCATCGCTTTGAATCAGTCAGCTTTCATCAAGGATCGGCTGCTCATTGAGAATTTCCTTCTTGCTACGGAGTTGGTCAAGGATATCCACAAAGACACTATCTCCTCTCGCTGTGCCATTAAGATCGACATATCCAAAGCTTTTGATACAGTTCAATGGGATTTCTTATTGAACACGTTGACTGCCATGAATCTACGGGAAAAGTTTATTCACTTTATCTGTCTCTGTGTGACAACATCATCCTTCTCGGTTCAGGTCAATGGAGAATTGGCCGGATTTTTCAGAAGTAAAAGGGGTCTCCGGCAAGGATACTCTCTCTCACCTTATCTGTTTTTCATATGTATGAACGTCCTCTCCAAGCTACTGGATAAAGTGGGCACAAGAAAGAGTGGATACCATTCAGCCAAAACGTTGGACTAACTCATTGGTGTACTCAACATTTGCATACATTTAGCATCATATTTTCCATACTTTTGCATCTCTTTGAGTCTCACTTCTTGAGGGACTGTGGTCGTTTAGGCCAAGAAAGTTTGAGGCAATAAAAGAGTTGTGATGCCCTTTAATATTCTGGGCTGCACACGCGCTACACTGATGTATTCAACGAGTTCACACCTTGGCCGACAGGCCCAGCTAATCTTTGAAATTTCATTGTAATGGGATAGATCATTGCAATTGTTGGTCTTCAACGAGGAATTCCTAGTAAGCGCGAGCCATCAGCCCACATTGGCTATGTCCCTGCCCTTTGTGGTGGTACTCCTACCGATTGAATGATCCGGTGAAGTGTTCGGATCGCGGCGACGTGGGTGGTTCACCGACTGCGACATCCAAGAAGTCCACTAAACCTTATCATTTAGAGGAAGGAGAAGTCGTAACAAGGTTTTCGTAGGTGAAACCTGCGGAAGAATCATTGTCGATACATGTCCATAACAGAACGACCGGAGAACGATTGATCATCACTCTCGTCGGGCTAGTTTCTTAGTATATTATGTGCCCGCTGATTCCGTGGTTTTGCGAATGGTTCCTATCATGATTTATTTTTATCTTGATTGCGCTATGAGCTTAGTGTAACACCCACGAACCAGAAATCTAGAAAAAGGCCGAGAGAAATGGTGCGGGAAGACAGTTTTGGCCGAGGAAAATGGAAGAATCCGAATGTACTGAGATTTTTGAGCTGAAACGACTAAGTGTCGAAGAAGTTGAGCTGGATCAGTCAGCTGGCCGAGCTAGCTGAACTTGTCCGAATGGATTGGTGGAAATTCGGACATGTCTTGTCGCGTTCGGACAGGATGGTTATTCCTGTCCGGACAGAAATTAACTTGGCCGAGAGTTTATTATCTTTGGCCGAGAGTCTGAACGTGGGAGCGGTTATCGGGAATGTTCGGATGCGCGTAGACGGAAATATACGGGAACAGTTATTTTCCCTTGCGCGAGCGCAAAGTCTGATTTAGGCGGGAACGGTTATGGCCGAGAGCCAAAACGCGCGCGTTTCACTAAATCGACGGTTATCGACTGGATCGGGTTAAATCACGCGAAGAGAAGGATTTTATCATTCATTCAGTCCGCAGAAAAGTTCTAAGTGTTGAGAGAAAACAATTATCCGTGAGAGAAAACGGTTACAGAGAGATTTTGCCTGTTTCCGATTGATTGTCTGACCGAGAGCCGACCGTACCGAGATCTGCGAACGTTCGATGATCCGTCCGAGAGCGTCCGAGTGACCGTTCTGTAGACTGTACGAGCAACCATACGATCTGTTCTGTTTACCGAAGGGATCCGATATCCCGACGATTGACTAAGGTGAGTGCGTGACCGTGTAGTCATAGTGTATGGTCGTTCTCACGGCATAGATAGATTCAATGGTTGATGATTGCTTGTTAATGTGTCTGATTACTTGTTCGTACTGATTCTGATGGCTTATCGGAATGGTCGGTCTATTGGCGAGGGTTACTCGGCCGGGTTAGATAGCCGACCGTTCGCGATAAGTGACTGTGGTTAACGGCATGACTGACTGTTGAACTGTGTGTTTGATTGCGATTCTATGTACTGTGACTTAGTGGGCGGGATGACCGCATTCACTAAGCAAACTTGTTTGCTTATGCCTCATTTCAATGTGGCAGGAACTGAGCCGACCAAGGTGATGGTCGGACTGACTGATCTGGACGCGAGACATGGCCGGGAAGGAAGGATGGATAGGACTGGGTAGACGGACTAGTTAATGATGTAATAGCCTATAGCGAACTCACATTGTTGCTAGAACCGAATTTGTATTTCAAGTTTTATGCATTTCCTAAGTTAAACTAATGTTCATTTTAACAAGGATTTAATTTAAGTAATTCAATGTTCTGTATATTCGTTTGTGCATAAATGACAAAGTGTGAGAACCTCATGCAACTGAAAATGATAAGTAAAACCAGAGCTAAAATTTGACTAAGTTAAATTTATCAGGAAAACTGGCTAGGATGTTTCACTTAGCTTCGGAAATTCACAAAAAGTGATAACAATTATTTAAACCAATGTAAACTCATAAAGTTAATGTCAATATCTAATAAGAATCATTTATTTATTTGACACTTTAGAAGTGATGTTGTCTACGGTCTACTTACCTCATAGCTATTTAGCTAATAGTTAAGTTACATGTTAAAAAGTTTAGAGATCATATTTTGTGTTTAATTTTGCAATAATAATTGTTATAAAACATATAACTAGTTTTTATAATGTATGCAAATAAAATCTTATTCACTATATTGGTAGCATACATTGCTGGCGGAAACAAATTCAGCATAGACAACAAATAACTAAAAGAAAGGGAAACAAGCAAAACAACACTTTCAAACTACAAAACCAAACCAAACTACTTGAAAAAAGGTTGCTTGAGAGACAATCGTTCTCTCTCTAGAAAAAACGCTCTCTCTTCTCTCTACATCTCCGTCGTGCCTCTCTGCCTCTCCGGTGGCCGCTTGTCGGCGCCGTGAGAGGGCTTTCATTTTATTTCCCTTTCTTTTTAGCCAGTTTTTCATTCTCAGTGGTGATATTTCCTAGCCTCTAGGTTGCGGTTCTGCGTCGAGGCGTCAGTGGTTTCTCGGAGGCGGGTTTTGCGGATCTGGATTGATTGAGGACTAGATCTAGTGAAGCTTCCTCAAACTTTACCCTCTGGTTTCCACTTGTTCGTCTTCTCTCCTCGGTGATAGGCTTAATTGCTCCGGCGGTTTGTGGTGGTAAGATCTCTGGTGGTATGGTCTACTCGGTGGTGGTGACGTGGAGTTCTTGGGAGCTTGAACTAAAGGAGGTCTGATGAGTAAGGTCGTTCGTTTGAGGGCGCGGACGGCTCTTGAAAAGGGATCTCTGGCGGCGGCTGACTTACGGCGACGGTGCTTCTCGACGGCTGCTTTCACGGTGGTTCTAGGGTTTGTGCTGGATCGGCTCTTTCCTCTGCAGATCTGTCTCCTCACTTCTTTTTCCGGCGAGATCTTTGAAGATGGCGTGTAGGAGTGTTTGGAGTGGTGGTTCTCGTCGAGGCGGCCTCTTCTTCCCTAGCGGCGGCGGTGGCTCTGTCTCCTCGCTTTAGATCTAGGGTTTTCGAGTTCCGGTTCAATCCTGGCTTGGGGGTTGACCGGTTTAGGATTTAGTCAAAACTGGACCCATTTCGGCTAAGTTGTGGGTTTTTTTTTTGTTGGACCTTCTTTAGTTAGTTTTGTTTGAAGGTCCATAAAAAACCCAAAAATATTTCTGTATTTCTTTTTATTTTAAATTAAAGACAACCTTTATCAAAAAAAAAAAAAAAAAAAAAAAAAAAAAAAAAAAAAAAAAATTAAACTACTTAGTAACTATAAAAGAAAAGGAAATGGACAATTATGGTTTAACACAAAACTGAGGAACAAAACCAACCCAAACTAGAGCACAAACCAAGAGTAAGTGAGTAACTTCTTGAAAACCCTTCCAAAGAAAATTTACCTGAGAAGAACTCAGCCAACAAAGGAAACTGAAACCTCCTTGAAAACACACACAAACTACTTTCCAACTCAAAAGACTACCCTTCATAACCCGGCAACAGACTAACTCTCCCAGGTTCGACAGTTTGGGCCTCGATAGAAGCGCCAATGGACCAAAGATCTCCCGATTAGACAGGATTAGACGGGAAGAAGCGGCAGGGAGCAAACGAACCAAACCGGATATCACCACACCTCCATAGATTGAGAAGGGGATAGATCGAACGGAGAGGAACCAAGCAAGGCGCTCCTCAGAAGCAAAAACGAAGCACAAACGGTTGTGCAAAGGTCAGGCGAAAAGCCAGATCTAGCGCAGAATCTTCACTGAGAAATTGTGGAGAAAGCAGCACAGCCACACCAAAAATCCTATAGATCCGGATCCAACAACCTCAAAAACACCTTGATCTAGCTAGATCTGGAGGAAAACAAGAGGAACTAGATACAAACATAGAAAGGAAGAACAATCATAAGGAAACCGAGCTCCGGGGCTGAAGAAGCCGCCGGAGCCGGCAAGCGAGAAAGCTGCGGCATAAACTCTAGAGAAAAGGCAGAGGAAATTAGGTTAGAGAGAACCTTCGGTGTAGCTTTAGCTCCCTAATCTATCTGTTTCGAGTAGATTTATGTAAAAAAGTCTAGATATAACTATCTAGAAAGCAGTATAGTATGATATAACTTGTTTTCAAACTTTTACCTCATATTACCTTTTAACTGTTGTCCAAAAAACTTTCTAACAATTTATTCGGCCGAAGCTCTCAATCTTAGCCCATATATCAATCGATAAATCAAAGCTTTTGGACAGACAGACATTGGATTTTCAGACATTCAACACCTAAGTATTCACTATTTGCTTGGCTACCATTCGTAACTGTCTACTCACCCGATATCGTATGTTGTTTTGGAATATAGGTGTGAATCCATCGTATATTTTATGGCAAGATCTCATGGAGACAAAAAAAAAAAAAAAAAACCATCTGTTATTCACTTGTGGTTTATCAACTGAAGTGTACAAAGGCCTTCTCAAAGAAAAAAATTCAACGAGTTAGCAGTTGGCACTTGGCACTCTCTCTTCTCGAACTCTCTTTTTAAACTTTTCAAATTTTAAGATGCATTTGAACGTAAATAACTGTTTTTTGGTTTAAAAAAAAAATTACATTCAGTTTCAAACATTTGAACCAAAAGCTGCTTCTTGCTGACGTGCCTTTAGCCAAGAAAAGAAAACGCTTCAAAATTGCTTATTGTATGTAATTTATTTCCAAGGCCAAAACGATAGTGTTTTGAGTCAACACCAGAGGTTAAATAGAAGGATTTTGATTTTTTTTTTTTTTTTTTGCCAACGGATTTTGATCAACTAGCTAGAAAATTTATTTACAAGCTAGCTTGAATGTTTGTTACTGTGAAGATTTTGCATTTTTACTTAATTTGACTTTAACATCATTATTAAAAATTTCTGCCCATCCCGGATGAAATATACATACTCCTCCACTCGTATGAAGTACATATTATTCGACAAATAAGACTAATTAACGCAAATACTAAAATAAAACAAGATTGATACCAACTCATGAAACTCCTAAACAAAACCTAACATTCTCTACATAGTCCGAGAGAAGAATTAATCTTACAAAACGCGTCCCAAACTCATCGTCTGAGTTTACTTCAATCTTAATGTTTCTACAACTATCGCTTTTGGGATCGTAAAAGACAACATAAAACGCATTACTAGCACTGTAAGGTGCCAAAATAAACTCACCCGTCTGAGTAGTGCCTGTTATCTGAAAATATTTTATTTGTAAACTCTTACAATAAGGTTCGACACTGAAACTTTTCTTCAACCATCCATGTTCCTCCATAACCCACACGAGAAACGTGTATACTAAAGCTTTTGTCGCTATGGCTACCTTCCCCTCGTACTTTATCAAAGTATACACATTTCTAAACGCATGTGGAGCTATAAGATCTGCGAATAAATCAGTTAAGAGATCCAACTTTTCAGACCTCACATCAAATCTCATTAGGCTCCTTTGCAACATTCCTTTACCCGTGAAAGCAAGATAATACAAAACACCATCTATGCACAAACCGTTAGACCAAGGACGGTGAGGAATACTACAATCCATCACTCTCCATGATTCTCTTTCTCCGACTGTGAATACTTTATCGTGAGAAAACTGAAAATTCCGATGATTATCATGAATTCTTTCAGTCAAGCACAACACTTTGTACTGATCATTAATCGGATCATATCCTAAATAAGTTTTGACGATCTTTCTCCTCATTACGACTTTAGGTAGAGTTATGGACTTACCAGTAGTGGGATTATATATGATCTGTTCTTCGCCAAATCCAAGGCTTATTAAGCCATTAACAAACTGCGGAAGGTACTCGTTGTGCTCAGGAGCTGAGAACGGACATGTAAAACGTGATATAAATGACGTTTCTGAAGAAGACGACGAGAAGAAGTCCAAATTTTGGCGTCTTTTTCTGTTACTTGATTCACTGAAAGTAATTAGGAGACGAGGCTGGGACGAAGACCCCAACGGAAAAGATGTGATGAAATCTCGACTTCGGATGAACGTTTCCCATGACTTGGATACTATGAGAAACCTTGCTACGGATTTCGAAGGTAATCTACCAACAATCTCGATCACTACGTCAAGAGGGATTTGGAAAAAGTTGTTTTGATCTTCTAACGCTTTTGGGTTGATCTTCTTCACGGTTTTGGTCCTTTTGCTGCGTGTTCTTCTCATGATTGATGGCTCTAAACCCTAATCTCTGTATTCTCTTTGCTATTAAAACTACAAATTTCGTGTTAATGGGCCTTGTGTAACATTGGGCTATGTATTATAATGTTTTTCTTTCTTTTCTTATAAAGGAGGTTGTCCCGCACCTTGTGCGGGTACAATATTTTTTAAATACAATTATTAATTAAAGATTTAAATAATATAAGTAGTACAACTTTTTATTGTATTCATCGTTTTTGTTTTCGCAAACTTCTTATTTTTGTAATCTTGAGGTGTCTTATTTTTATCTTCTCTTTCTTGTTCTTCTACGTAATATTCTTCATTTGTTTTGGAATTTTCTTCACATTCCATTATTTCTTCTTTCCTTTCTTTTTCCTCATGTTCGACTTTTCTTTTTCTTTTCTAAATTTTTCATCTTCTTTTTCACTGTTTTCTTTTCTTTTACTTATGTATCTATTATGTCTTGTTTGTGTCTTGCATATCACCTACCAATTCATTTCGATAGTTAAAATTTTCAATATTTTTGAAATAGATTCTATCTTTATATAGTTGAGGTCTTTTAAAAATTTATTAGTTTTGTTATCTTTCAATTCTGGATTTTCTTTAGTTGTTTTAGTTTTTTTTTCTATTTGTGAATGTAATTTTGAAAGTAGATATAAATTTCAAATAAATGATTTTTTTATTATGAAATTCTTCTGTAATAATTCAAGTTTTTTTAAAATACACCAAAAACTAAACCCTACCCCATCAATATAAACCCTACACCCTAAACCCAAACCCACAGTGTAACACCACCCCCTAAATAACCCAAACCCCACATTGTAACACCACTACCAAATAACCCCCTCCCCCCCCAATCCGCACACCTAAACCCACATTTTACAAAATCTTTTTAGATAAGTTTATTCAAATTAGGGTTTCATAAGATTTAAGTTGAAAATAAAAACGAAAGATGTACATACCACTAATTTTTGTCAATGCATTTTTTTTGAGTTGGTACCATAGTTGATTTCTTTGACTCAATTAGCTAACAAACCTGGAATTTACTGTTATAAAGGTAAAAGAAGTAGAAGTTAGATGCGATTCTTTGAATAAAATTTCCAGAAAATAACGAATAATCAGTTAAACATTAGATCTAATACAACTAAGATCTAGCAATAACTATAAACCTACATGACAAAAGATGAAATATGGAATCGAAGAATTTAGAACACGAAAAAGAAGAAACGAAATTCTGTTTATTTTGCTTGTTAAATAGGACTAAGTCGGTTGTAAAATCTAGAGTTTTTTTAAAATACCTAATTATTTGATTTCTTCCAGAAAAGTGGTGCGGTAATATGATAGTTAGGATATTTATTTAAGTGATAAATATAAATCGAGGAAAAAAAAAAGGATAATTATCAATATTTAATAAGGAAATTAATAAGGAAATAATGAACTTTTATATAAAAAACGAAATTGTGAAATAATTAAAAAAGGAAATTCAGAAGATTTAATAATAGATTTTCATTAAGGGCATCTTGGTAATTCGCGGCTGAGAGTTAACGTGGTGGCTCCATTCATGAAAATCATTTGCATACTAATAAATACCGATCACTTTGCAAATACTAAGAGATTTCGCACTAACCTTCATATGTGTTTTTCCGATAGCATCAACTCCTTCGATAGGAAACATTCCAGCTTTATCATGCCATCCTCCAAATTCTGTGGTATGTTAGATTTTTCTCTTATTTCGTCTGGTAAATTTTCTCTCCTTTTTATAGTTATATTGCTCTGATATTTTATGTTTGTTGATCAAAAGTTCAAATCTTGCAGAATCACATAGAAGGTCTTTAATTTTTCTCTGCAATATTCATTGGTTTTCTAGCTTCTTCCTTGTTAGATTCGACGTCATTGAGAGATTAGGGTTCTGCTCAGTCCTCCATGTCCTGTTTCTAATAAAGTTAGTTATATCAAACAATGAATTTATGAATATAACAAAGCCCATAAAAGCTGAAGAAACTTAATGTAGCCCTCATCGTATTTGTAAAGTTTTTTTCTCTGATTCTGATTTAAAAAGATTATTAACATAGCAGATCATGTTAGGGACGAACCTTATTAGAGCTTTGGTTTTATAATGTTTAAGGTGATGATTGGTTCTCCCGCTACCACCCGCAAACGCAGCGTTTGCGGTTCGTAGCGGTTCTTAGCGTTTTATAACAATCACGACAACCGCTTTCAACCGCTCTATACCACTCTGTACCGCTCTATATCGCTGGAAATCAAAAGCTCCTTTCCGCAAGCGTTTGCGGTTGCGGGCGGTTGCGGTTTAAAAAAAAAAAAAAAACATAATATCTCCAAATTTGGAATAAGGGTATATTTTTTTGAAAAATACCTAATTATGTTTAAAAATTTCGAAAATACCTAATTTTTTCTGTTTTGAAAAATACACTTTTAAAATGTAAAAAGTCTGTTTTGACGTGATTTAAACAAAAAATAATAAATAATTACAAATTAAAAACGAAAATTAAAAAATAATAGAATTAATAAGTTTTTTTTCAGTATATGTTAAATTGAAACAAATTTTAATATTTTGGACCTTTATGTAAACAACTTAACCTCATACACATTCCAACCAAATGAAACTTTAAATAAATTAAAACTTTACATATTTTAAAGTTTATGAATTATTAAAAATTTAAAAATGGAGAAATATATCTTTCATTTTTAATGTTTATCTTTGAAAAATTTAAATATTTTTGAAACTTTATATAAACAACTTTAATCTCACCCCATTTAAACTTTATATAAATAACCTTATATTTTTATTGATTTAAAAAAAAATCTAAACAGGTAATTAGGATGGTTTAGTATGTTAAAATGATACAAAATTATTATCAAATCTTAATATTTTATATTTCTTATTTGAATTTCGTTTAGTTAAAAATTCAAATTAGGAATAATCATTTCACATATAAAAAGTGTATTTTTCAAAACCAAAAAAAATAAGGGTAGTTTTCAAATTAAAAATTCATCAAAGAATATATTTAAAAAAAATCTATTAATAATATGGTTATAAATGTTTTGAATAATTATATATTATGTTTATTTTAGTAACTTTTGGTTAAACCGCTCTTGCACCCGCTGGTTAACCAGTCAAAAATATCCCGCAAACGCAACCGCTATGAATTGCTATACCAGTCGTACAAACAGCTTTTAATCGCAAACTCCCGCTTCCGCAAACTCCCGCAACCGCAAACTCCCGCAACCGCAACCGCAGCGTTTAAACCAGTCAGGCCCTAAGTTGTTTAAAAATATGAGAATTGTAGATACCTTTTTTTTGTATCTTTCGAAGATGTCCCTCTCGGAGCTTTCAGATTCCTTTGGTGACAGAAATCATGATTTGAAAAAAGTTGAAGCGTAGATACTGAATTCAAAAGAAACAAATTTAAGTTGTAGTTACGGATCTTTAAGATTCTTCATGAACAATAATTAAGATACTGAAAAAGAACAATATAGCATGATACATGAAAGCAAGAACAAAAGGAAGAAGATATAGCATAAAAATTAACATACGAAGAAATACGAACGAAGAAGAGGTTCTTGTTAGGTTATAGCTATCTCTATATATATATATATATTAGTTTGGTCGGTTATTAACGCTAGGGTTTCAGATAATATATTCTTATAAATTAGTGGCGATGAAGATATTTTTAAATTGATAAGAATTTTTTTAGAATAAATTTAAGAAGCTTAATTTTTAAGAATAAACTGATTAATAATAAAAATATATAAAAAGAAGATATTATAAAAACACAAAAACATTATACAGTATCTTTTTAAAATAAATAATTTAATTTGATTAGGATAAATTCTATAATTTTTTTGCGTTAATTCAGAAACAAAATAACTAAAAAAACGGAAATTTTCAAGATTTAATAATAGATTTTCATTAAGGGCATCTTGGTAATTCCGCGGCTGAGAGTTAACGTGGTGTCTCCATTCGAAATTCTGACTTTGCAAATAATAGTATGATTTCTTCATGGTGATATGTTTTTTTTTTTGATGACTGAAAATCTTTATTGGAAAATGTGGAAACAAGGTTCAGGATAAAACAAGATGAAAAAAAAAAAAGAGCAATAACCCTGTAACATAAGTATCAAACTCCCAAGAGCATCCGCATTGCACAATTTATGAGAGGTTCTATGCTGAATTGGAATTAAAAAAAAAAAAAGGAAATGAGTTGGCATGAGCTTTTGCTGAACCGGCTCTCGCAGAGGAGTTTCTAGAGGAAGGAAACTCTACACCTGTCGCTATTTGGTTTGTCAGACTTTTTCTTTTAATTTTTTAATTTTTGTGTTTACGAAAATAAATTTTTTTATTAATATTTTTTTATAAAAATAGTTATTAAAGAGCTCCACCATCGATTGTGCGATGCGGGTGCTCTAATCCTAAGGAGAACTAGATACTTTGCATAGCCTCAAAATGAATTCGATTATGAAGCCACGCGGGTCCTCCTTACGCCATATAAAATTGAAAGAGCCCATAGCGAGTGACACTTGATGAGATATCCCTCACTATCGAGTTAGCTGAAGACTTCTCCAATTCGAATTCACAGCTTTCAAAAGATAACCAGAGCTGAGCAATCTGCGAAGTAAAAACACGATACCGAGGCCATTCTACAGGTTTGGTAATAGCATCAATCGCTCCAATCATGTCAGAGGCTATAGAGACCTTAGAGAGGTGTAGATCTTTCAAGCTTTGTAATGACCAAATGATGCAACGTAACTCTGCTATAAGCCGGTCCGGAGAAGAAGTGAAAGCATCTATAGCATGGAAAAGAACAGAGCCTAAATGATCCCGAGCAATCCAACCACCACCATGGTGCCACAGCTCTTTCCTCCAATTCGCATGTACATTGCACTCAACTGTACCTATCGAAGGAGGACACCATTTGTTGCACATCAAGTTAAGTCTGGACATGTTACGACCTTCTTGTGTACTCGACTTATTAACTTCATGCCATGTGCGAGCATCCTCCAATGCACGTTGAATAATCAGAGAGTGGGCCTCCTGTTTGTGAGCATATAAAACCGCATTTCTATTTTTCCATATGTTCCAAAAAATCCCATGGTACCACTTGGCATATGGATGCACTGTAGAATACTCCATAAGTTTGAAAATTAAATCCATATTGTCCTCCAGAGAGACTCCAAAACCTGAAGGAGGAGATGGGATATTCGCTAATGACAGCAGATCTTGCGCCACCATGCAATTGAACAAGACATGACATATTGTCTCTGCATTCTGACGACATAGATTGCAGGTAGAATCCACATTTATGGCTCTAGTTCTTAGTCTGTCAGAGACAGCTAAAGCTCCATAATCGAGGAACACCATCCATAATCCATTTCTCAGACCAAACTTTTGTGGCTTTCTGATTCCCAATAGATTTAATTAAGCCTCTCTGCATAAGCTTAAGACCATGCATTATGCTTCTCCATCCATAAGATGGGTATATCCTTTACCACAGTCCAAAAAACTAGAAGTAGAAAAATATCTCCCTTTATACAACTGGGCGAGGAGTGAATCCGGGCAATTCAAAATTTTCCATGCTTGTTTTGCCAGTAGACTCTGACTGAAATCACCCACGTCAGGGAAACCCAGACCTCCATTAGCTTTAGATTTACACAAATCTTTCCAAGACACCCAATGAATCTTCCTCTTCTTTTCACAAGCGTTCCACCAAAACTCTGACATCGCACTAGTGAGTTTTCTGCATTGAAATTTTGTGAGGCGGAAACAAGACATAGCTTATATAGGAAGAGCCATCGCAATTGACTTTAGGAGGACCTCCTTTCCCCCAAGGGAAAGCGTTTTGGCATACCACCCATTAAAGTCTTTTGCTAAGTTTTTCTTCAATGAAAGCTAACAGAGATTTTATAATCCATTAGATTTAAAATTTTTGTGTTATTTTAAGAATCCATTTCAGTTGATTCTAAAATCTCTGCAATATCTCATGGATTCTGATTTTAATAATTTACTCATAGAAATCCATTGGAATTCATTTCAAATGACTCAATAAACACATGATTTTAAAAGTCATTTAGTTTTGAATAACATTGGATTTGAAATCTTATTGAATAACAGCGGATTTGAAACTTTATTAATGAAAAATTATAAATCAGATATTGAATAACACAGGATTTTAAAACCGGATTTGAAATCTTGATTGAATAACACTAGATTGTAATCTAATTTCAGTTCATTTCAAATACAACATACAATAACACCCCTATATGTGTCAAAAAAGGTTGAAGAAATAATATTAAAGCTAAACAAAATAATTCTATAGCCTATCCACGAAATACATTAGATGATTACACGCTCTACGAATTCTTTTTTTTTGTTCATTCTTAGTAAAAAATAATATGATTTTACAGTACTATAAAAAACGCGACCGTTTAATTGTTGATAAAGGGGGCGTTATTGGATGTTGTATTTAAAATAAACTGAAATTAAATTATAATCCAGTGTTATTCAATCTAGATTTCAAATTCGGTTTTAAAATCCAGTGTTATTCAATATTTGATTTGTAATCTATCTTTAATAGAGTTTCAAATCCAGTGTTATTCAATCAAGATTTCAAATCCAGTTTTAAAATCCAGTGTTATTCAAAAATAAATAACTTTTAAAATATTTTTTTACTGAGTCATTTGAAACTAGTATTACCCCGTGCGTATCACGGGACAATTTTCATAATTGTGAATATCGAAGATGATGAATATCTCATCAAGTCCTCTCTATAATAGTTGGTCAAATACAAATTGTAAGTTCCACAATCATATGGATTCTCTCTCTTCATATATTGTGCTGAGCTGTATATGTTCGGATAATTGTTGTATTAAATTAGAAATATTCTTTGATGCATCCAGTTCTGATTATGATAAAGGCATTTTCACATGTAAAAATCCCCAAGTTGTACACTTGTACTAAATATTGGTTTTTAGTTTTTCTCTGTTTGGAACTATGAAAAAGTATTTTCAATCGTGTTTCTATTCGAATTTCACCTCTTCTCTTGGAGTTTAAAATGTTTTCTCCCTTATGTATGTTAGCTGGACGACGGAAAACTCGGTGGTGCTGTCATGACTTTCATGGCGTAACAGATTCACTTTCGTATTGGCTTTTCTTCTTCACGTTTTGAACTTTTTTAGATCATTTACCTTTTGTTGCTGGAGAAACAGAAGACCATAGAGGAGGCAGTACACTGTTATTTGCTTCAGACAACTTTTGAGCCTCCAATAAAAGTCGGATTAGGATCTCCTGGCCCATTCTCTTGCAACCTACCAATGTCTTTCCCCTAAAAGAAACAACAACTTGCTTACCAAAATCAAAAGTTGTATGTAAAATCTTTAACTTCTGATTTTATCTAACTTTTTTGCTGACTTACAGTTTCAGAAGGTTACCGGCACATTAGTCAAACCGAAAGGCATAACCACAAACTCAAAATGCCCATAACGCGTCCTGAAAGCAGTCTTCCTGACATCTGCCTCATCTATCGGGATCTGATGATAACCCGACGCCAAGTCAATCTTGGAGAACCAAGTAGCACCCCTCAACTGATCCAACAACTCATCAATCCTCGGGAGTGGGTACCTGTTCTTCACAGTGACTCGGTTAAGACCTCTGTAATCGATACAAAGTCTGAAACTCCCATCCTTCTTCTTCACAAACAACACTGGTGCTCCCACAGGTGAAACACTCGGTCGAATGAACCCCTTAGACAAAAGGTCCTCTATCTGCTTCTTCAGCTCTGCCAACTCAGCTGGCGCCATCCTGTAAGGCGTCTTCGATATCGGTGCTGTCCCCGGCTCTAACTCAATCGTGAAAGGATCAGACCGAGATGGTGGTAATCCCTTCAATGACTGAAAGACATCCTCAAAATCCTGGACAACCTCAATATCTCCCATAACAACTCCAGCTCCTGACTCAGACATAGAAATCGTCGCCAGATACGCCTCACAACCCCGCTCTAACAACTGCTCGGCCTGAATAGCAGATATCACAATACTCCCGGAAGTCGGTCTCACTCCCTGATAAACCAACCTCCCTGCATCTCGCTCGACCACTCTACCTCTGTAGCAATCCAGATGAACTCTGTAGTGTGACAACCAGTCCATCCCGAGAATAACATCATACAGCTCCACCGGACTGATGACTAAGTCTGCTGGCATTGACTGCCCCGCAATCTCGATCTCGACTCCTCTAGCACGGCCCAAAGTAGACAAGAATCCACCTCCCGCCACCTTGACCATGCCCGCGCTCTCGCCCGCGCTACTCCGGATGCCACTCTTCTCGGCACGCTCCGGTGTAATGAAGCAATTCGATGCTCCAGAGTCGAATAAAACGTGGGACTCAAAACCGCCCACTAACAAGGTCCTTACACATTCAATGCGTTGAGAACCTCCACAATCTATCACAGATAAAATGAACAACAGACCACAACATCTTCCCCTCAGTCACCACAAATGCGCGTCACCACTCAGATAGTGGACTGCTAACTCCACCTGGTACTCCAAAACATCTGATAGACTGGAAATTCCGCTCCAATCTCACGCCACCATCTGCCTCCTCTGGCTAACTCCGCCCTCAAAGACGGCGTACCAATCCTCTGCATGTGCCCCATCATATCCAGATAAGGCGGACACACCAAACCCGCAGCCTGCTGAACAAACCCGCAGCCCTGCTGCGCCTCTGCCACTGGAGGTACTCCCGGAGCCCCCTGTGGTGCGGAAAACGAGCCAATAACTGCGTCAGCAAACCCACCACTAAGTCATCAAGACCCTGAGCCGGAGCACCACCCCCAGCCCCCGCTCCCAAACCAACACTCGCATCCACACTGGCCTCACTCGCCACGGATACCGACTGGGTCACCGACGCAGTCGCCACACTCAGGCACCACACTCTCTCCCGAATCCGCCGAAGTCCACAATCTCGGCCCCGGCCTCCACGGCTCTAGCTCTGCCACCACGGCCTCAAGCACCGCGCCCTCTCGCGCCACAACCTCTAGCTACTCAGTCCATCTCACTCATGGAACCGAAAGAGCACACTAGAACACGCAACCAAAACTCAAAACAAACATAAACTCACTGCGGAATCTCTTGTAGCTGAAGGGGATGATACTAACTAGCCTAACAGTCCTAAAACCGTCTAGGCTCTGATACCAAAATGAAACAATCAAACAACCAACACTTTAAAAAAAAAATCCTAACAAATTATTAATCAAATTATTAGTAATTCAATTTAATCCACACTTTATAGGGTTACTAAGTCTTAACAGAATTATTTGGATCTTCTAAACGTTTTTGTTATTGTCTGAAACAGGTTATCTACTAAACTTAAGTCGCTAAATTTAGATACTAGTAGGTTTTGTATGTAAATTATATTCTGCCGACTTGTATTTTATTATTTTAAGTTATAGTAATTGATAACAAAAAAAAACTTAAAATATTATAAAGAAATATGAATGGTATACTAACATTCTTAGATATTTCATTAATATACACAAACAAACACATTAATCAAAAACAGAAATTTCAAAAGTTGTTTTGTATTAATTATAAATGGGAAGATCTTCTTCTCTATAATCACTAAACCCAACAGCTTTCGTTTGTTTCCATCGAAGCCAAGAATAAACAAACTCATTCCGCTCTTGTCACTGCAACAGCGCAAGGTTGTGATTCAGAGAATGACATTGAATTGGAATTTGTAAGCTCGCAGTATTCTGCTGTTACTATTACTGTTTCAGCATTACCCAAGACGAAGTGTAAGCGGCTTAGTGAAGAGGCGACAACAACCTCAGTAACAGCAAAACGAGCCAAGGTAGAAACATTTTTGGTTGTGAATGTATGTAAAACGGATTTATGTCAAGTGTAAAAATGATTCACCCACTTCCGCTGCAGCAAGTATGGCATCTGCTTCCGAAGGATCATGGTTCTCCAAGTCAGCAGCATCCGAAACAATACGGGAAACAAGGAAAGTCTGGGGAGTTGCAGTAAAATTGTAGTCTTTCAACTTGATTTGGAATATACAGGTGAGGCCAATGATTGGTTTTAGGCACTTCAGAGTGGTTGTAAGGATTTGGTGGCATTAATCCTTTCCACCAGCCTAAAACGGAATTTTGCTTAGCCTCTGTTTGAGTTAACCTCTGTTTAAGATTCCAATGTACATATATAATTTTTTTGTTCAATGTATTGTTTAGTTTGTTAAATTCTAATTTGTCGTTTATTAAAGATGATCACTGTACTCTTGGTTTACTTTTAAGTTTAAACAATATTTGGATTACTTAATCAAATTATTAGTAATTCAATGTAATCCACACTTTATAGGGTTATTAAATCTTAACAGAATTATTTGGATCTTTTAAACGTTTTTGTTATTGTCTGAAACAGGTTATCTACTAAACTTAAGTCGCTAAATTTAGATACTGGTAGGTTTTGTATGTAAATTACATTATGCCGACTTGTATTTTGTTATTTTAAGTTATAGTAATTGACAACCAAATTAAAAACTTAAAATATTATAAAGAAATATGAATGGTATACTAACATTCTTAAATATTTCATTAATACACACAAACAAACACATTAATCAAAAATAGGAATTTCAAAAGACCGATTGCGTTAATCGAAAAGAGTACTTTATTATTATCATTAATTATTTTTGTTTAATTTAAATAAAAACAGGAAATTCCAAAAGTTGTTTTGTGTTAATTATAAATGGGAAGATCTTCTTCTCTATAATCACTAAACCCAACAGCTTTCGTTTGTTTCCATCGAAGCCAAGAATCAACAAACTCATTCCGCTCTTGTCACTGCAACAGCGCAAGGTTGTGATTCAAAGAATGACACTGAATTGGAATTTGTAAGCTCGCAGCATTCTGCTGTTACTATTACTGTTTCAGAATTACCCAAGACGAAGTGTAAGCGGCTTAGTGAAGAGGCGACAACAACCTCAGTGACAGCAAAACGAGCCAAGGTAGAAACATTTTTGGTTGTGAATGTATGTAAAACGAATTTATGTCAAGTGTAAAAACGATTCACCCACTTCCGCTGCAGCAAGTGTGGCATCTGCTTCCGAAGGATCAAGGTTCTCCAAGTCAGCAGCATCCGAAACAATACGGGAAACAAGGAAAGTCTGGGGAGTTGCAGTAAAATTGTAGTCTTTCAACTTGATTTGGAATATACAGGTGAGGCCAATGATTGGTTTTAGGCACTTCAGAGTGGTTGTAAGGATTTGGTGGCATTCATCCTTCCCACCAGCCTAAAACGGAATGTTGCTTAGCCAAGAGTTAAACATATTTTAGTTAACCTCTGTTTAAGATTCCAATGTAGATATATAATTTTTTTGTTCAATGTTTTTTATAGCTTGTTAAATTCTAATTTGTCGTTTATTAAAGATGATCATTGTACTCTTGGTTTACTTTTAAGTTTTAACAATATTTGGATTACTTAATCAAATTATTAGTAATTCAATTTAATCCACGCTTTATAGGGTTATTAAGTCTTAACAGAATTATTTGGATCTTTTAAACGTTTTTGTTATTGTCTGAAACAGGTTATCTACTAAACTTAAGTCGCTAAATTTAGATACTGGTAGGTTTTTATGTAAATTACATTCTGCCGACTTGTATTTTGTTATTTTAAGTTATAGTAATTGACAACAAAAATAAAAATTAAAATATTATAAAGAAAAATGAATGGTATACTAACATTCTTAAATTTTTCATTAATACACACAAACAAACACATTAATCAAAAACAGGAATTTCAAAAGACCGATTGCGTTAATCGAAAAGAGTACTTTATTATTATCATTAATTATTTTTGTTTAATTTAAATAAAAATAGGAAATTCCAAAAGTTGTTTTGTGTTAATTATAAATGGGAAGATGTTCTTCTCTATAATCACTAAACCCAACAGCTTTCGTTTGTTTCCATCGAAGCCAAGAATCAACAAACTCCTTCCGCTCTTGTCACCGCAACAGCGCAAGGTTGTGATATAGAGAATGACACTGAATCAGAATTTGTAAGCTCGCAGCATTCTGCTGTTACTATTACTGTTTCAGGATTGCCCAAGACGAAGTGTAAATGGCTTAGTGAAGAGGCGACAACAACCTCAGTGACAGCAAAACGAGCCAACGTAGAAACATTTTTGGTTGTGAATGTATGTAAAACGGATTTCTGTCAAGTGTAAAAACGATTCACCCACTTCCGCTGCAGCAAGTGTGGCATCTGCTTCCGAAGGATCAAGGTTCTCCAACTCAGCAGCATCCGAAACAATACGGGAAACAAGGAAAGTCTGAGGAGTTGCAGTAAAATTGTAGTCTTTCAACTTGATTTGGAATATACAGGTGAGGCCAATGATTGGTTTTAGGCACTTCAGAGTGGTTGTAAGGATTTGGTGGCATTCATCCTTCCCACCAGCCTAAAACGGAATGTTGTTTAGCCAAGATTTAAATTTTTTTAGTTAACCTCTGTTTAAGATTCCAATGTAGATATATAATTTTTTTGTTCAATGTTTTGTATAGTTTGTTAAATTCTAATTTGTCGTTTATTAAAGATGATCACTGTACTCTTGGTTTACTTTTAAGTTTTAACAATATTTGGATTACTTAATCAAATTATTAGTAATTGAATTTAATCCACGCTTTATAGGGTTATTAAGTCTTAACGGAATTATTTGGATCTTTTAAACGCTTTTGTTATTGTCTGAAACAGGTTATCTACTAAACTTAAGTCGCTAAATTTAGATACTGGTAGGTTTTGTATGTAAATTACATTCTGCCGACTTGTATTTTGTTATTTTAAGTTATAGTAATTGACAACAAAAATAAAAACTTAAAATATTATAAAGAAATATGAATGGTATACTAACATTCTTAAATATTTCATTAATACACACAAACAAACACATTAATCAAAAAAAAGAATTTCAAAAGACCGATAGCGTGAATCGAAAAGAGTACTTTATTATTATCATTAATTATTTTTGTTTAATTTAAATAAAAATAGGAAATTCCAAAAGTTGTTTTGTGTTAATTATAAATGGGAAGATCTTCTTCTCTATAATCACTAAACCCAACAGCTTTCGTTTGTTTCCATCGAAGCCAAGAATCAACAAACTCCTTCCGCTCTTGTCACCGCAACAGCGCAAGGTTGTGATATAGAGAATGACACTAAATCAGAATTTGTAAGCTCGCAGCATTCTGCATTACCCAAGACGAAGTGTAAGCGGCTTAGTGAAGAGGCGACAACAACCTCAGTGACAGCAAAACGAGCCAAGGTAGAAACATTTTTGGTTATGAATGTATGTAAAACAGATTTATGTCAAATGTAAAAACGATTCACCCACTTCCGCTGCAGCAAGTGTGGCATCTGCTTCCGAAGGATCAAGGTTCTTCAAGTCAGCAGCATCCGAAACAATACGGGAAACAAGGAAAGTCTGGGGAGTTGCATTAAAATTGTAGTCTTTCAACTTGATTTGGAATATACAGGTGAGGCCAATGATTGGTTTTAGGCACTTCAGAGTGGTTGTAAGGATTTGGTGGCATTCATCCTTCCCACCAGCCTAAAACGGAATGTTGCTTAGCCAAGATTTAAACATTTTTTAGTTAACCTCTGTTTAAGATTCCAATGTAGATATATAATTTTTTTGTTCAATGTTTGTATAGTTTGTTAAATTCTAATTTGTCGTTTATTAAAGATGATCATTGTACTCTTGGTTTACTTTTAAGTTTTAACAATATTTGGATTAGTTAATCAAATTATTAGTAATTCAATTTAATCCACACTTTATAGGGTTATTAAGTCTTAACAGAATTATTTGGATCTTTTAAATGTTTGTTATAGTCTGAAACAGGTTATCTTCTAAACTTAAGTCGCTAAATTTAGATACTGGTAGGTTTTGTATGTAAATTACATTCTGCCGACTTGTATTTTGTTATTTTAAGTTATAGTAATTGACAACAAAAAAAAAACTTAAAATATTATAAAGAAATATGAATGGTATACTAACATTCTTAAATATTTCATTAATACACACAAACAAACACATTAATCAAAAACAGGAATTTCAAAAGACCAATTGCGTTAATCGAAAAGAGTACTTTATTATTATCATTAATTATTTTTGTTTAATTTAAATAAAAATAGGAAATTCCAAAAGTTGTTTTGCGTTAATTATAAATGGAAAGATCTTCTTCTCTATAATCACTAAACCCAACAGCTTTCGTTTGTTTCCATCGAAGCCAAGAATCAACAAACTCCTTCCGCTCCTTTCACCGCAACAATGCAAGGTTCTGATTCAGAGATTGACACTGAATCGGAATTTGTAAGCTCGCAGCATTCTACAGTTACTACTACTGTTTCAGCATTACCCAAGACGAAGTGTAAGCGGCTTAGTGAAGAGGCCACAACAACCTCAGTGACAACAAAATGGGCCAAGGTAGAAACATTTTTGGTTGTGAATGTATGTAAAACGGATTTATGTCAAGTGTGAAAACGATTCACACATTTCCGCTGCAGCAAGTGTGGCACCTGCTTCCGAAGGATCAAGGTTCTCCAAGTCAGCAGCATCCGAAACAATACGAGAAACAAGGAAAGTCTGGGGAGTTGCAGTAAAATTGTACTCTTTCAACTTGATTTGGAATATACATGTGAGGCCAATGATTGGTTTTAGGCACTTCAGAGTGGTTGTAAGGATTTAGTGGCATTCATCTTTCCCACCAGCCTAAAGCGGAATGTTGCTAAGCCAAGATTTAAACATTTTTTAGTTAACCTCTGTTTAAGATTCCAATATAGATATATAATTTTTTTGTTCAATGTTTTGTATAGTTTGTTAAATTCTAATTTGTCGTTTATTAAAGATGATCATTGTACTCTTGGTTTACTTTAAAGTTTTAACAATATTTGGATTAGTTAATCAAATTATTAGTAATTCAATTTAATCCACACTTTATAGGGTTATTAAGTCTTAACAGAATTATTTGGATCTTTTAAACGTTTTTGTTATTGTCTGAAACAGGTTATCTACTAAACTTAAGTCGCTAAATTTAGATATTGGTAGGTTTTGTACGTAAATTACATTATGCCGACTTGTATTTTTTTATTTAAGTTATAGTAATTGACAACAAAAATAAAAACTTAAAATATTATAAAGAAATATGAATGGTATACTAACATTCTTAAATATTTCATTAATACACACAAACAAACACATTAATCAAAAACAAGAATTTCAAAAGACCGATTGCGTTAATCGAGAAGAGTACTTTATTTTTATCATTAATTATTTTTGTTTAATTTAAATAAAAATAGGAAATTCCAAAAGTTGTTTTGTGTTAATTATAAATGGGAAGATCTTCTTCTCTATAATCACTAAACCCAACAGCTTTCGTTTGTTTCCATCGAAGCCAAGAATCATCAAACTCATTCCGCTCTTGTCACCGCAACAGCGCAAGGTTGTGATTCAGAGAATGACACTGAATCGGAATTTTTATGCTCGCAGCATTCTGCTGTTACTACTACTGTTTCAACATTACCCAAGACGAAGTGTAAGCGGCTTAGTGAAGAGGCGACAACAACCTCAGTGACAGCAAAACGAGCCAAGGTAGAAAGATTTTTGGTTGTGAATGTATGTAAAACAGATTTATGTCAAGTGTAAAAACGATTCACCCACTTCCGCTGCAGCAAGTGTGGCATCTGCTTCCGAAGGATCAAGGTTCTCCAAGTCAGCAACATCCGAAACAATACGGGAAACAAGGAAAGTCTGGGGAGTTGCAGTAAAATAGTAGTCTTTCAACTTGATTTGGAATATACATGTGAGGCCAATGATTGGTTTTAGACACTTCAAAGTGGTTGTAAGGATTTGGTGGCATTCATCCTTCCCACCAGCCTAAAACGGAATGTTGCTTAGCCAAGATTTAAACATTTTTTAGTTAACCTCTGTTTAAGATTCCAATGTAGATATATAATTTTTTTGTTCAATGTTTCGTATAGTTTGTTAAATTCTAATTATTTGTCGTTTATTAAAGATGATCAGTGTACTCTTGGTTTACTTTTAAGTTTTAACAATATTTGGATTAGTTAATCAAATTATTAGTAATTCAATTTAATCCACACTTTATAGGGTTATTAAGTCTTAACAGAATTATTTGGATCTTTTAAATGTTTGTTATTGTCTGAAACAGGTTATCTTCTAAACTTAAGTCGCTAAATTTAGATACTGGTAGGTTTTGTATGTAAATTACATTCTGCCGACTTGTATTTTGTTATTTTAAGTTATAGTAATTGACAACAAAAATAAAAACTTAAAATATTATAAAGAAATATGAATGGTATACTAACATTCTTAAGTATTTCATTAATACACACAAACAAACACATTAATCAAAAACAGGAATTTCAAAAGACCGATTGCGTTAATCGAAAAGTGTACTTTATTATTATCATTAATTATTTTTCTTTAATTTAAATAAAAATAGGAAATTCCAAAAGTTGTTTTGTGTTAATTATAAATGGGAAGATCTTCTTCTCTATAATCACTAAACCCAACAGCTTTCGTTTGTTTCCGTCGAAGCCAAGAATCAACAAACTCCTTCTGCTCTTGTCACGGCAACAGCGCAAGGTTGTGATTCAGAGAATGCATTGAATCGGAATTTGTAAGCTCGCAGCATTCTACTGTTACTACTACTGTTTCAGCATTGCCTAAGACAAAGTGTAAGTGGCTTAGTGAAGAGGCGACAACAACCTCAGTGACAGCAAAACGAGCCAAGGTAGAAACATTTTTGGTTGTGAATATATGTAAAACAGATTTACGTCAAGTGTAAAAACAATTCACCCACTTCCGCTGCAGCAAGTGTGGCATCTGCTTCCGAAGGATCAAGGTTCTCCAAGTCACCAGCATCCGAAACAATACGGGAAACAAGGAAAGTCTGGGGAGTTCCAGTAAAATTGTAGTCTTTCAACTTGATTTGGAATATACAGGTGAGGCCAATGATTGGTTTTAGGCATTTCAGAGTGGTTGTAAGATTTGGTGGCATTCATCCTTCCCACCAGCCTAAAACGGAATGTTGTTTAGCCAAGATTTAAAATTTTTTTAGTTAACCTCTGTTTAAGATTCCAATGTAGATATATAATTTTTTTGTTCAATGTTTTGTATAGTTTGTTAAATTCTAATTTGTCGTTTATTAAAGATGATCACTGTACTCTTGGTTTACTTTTAAGTTTTAACAATATTTGGATTAGTTAATCAAATTATTAGTAATTCAATTTAATCCAAACTTTATAGGGTTATTAAGTCTTAACAGAATTATTTGGATATTTTAAACGTTTTTGTTATTGTCTGAAACAGGTTATCTACTAAACTTAAGTCGCTAAATTTAGATACTGGTAGGTTTTGTACGTAAATTACATTCTGCCGACTTGTATTTTGTTATTTTAAGTTATAGTAATTGACAAAAAAAAAACTTAAAATATTATAAAGAAATATGAATGGTATACTAACATTCTTAAATATTTCATTAATACACACAAACAAACACATTAATCAAAAACAGGAATTTCAAAAGAGTACTTTATTATTATCCTTAATTATTTTTGTTTATTTTAAATAAAAATAGAAAATTCCAAAAGCTGTTTTGTGTTAATTATAAATGGGAAAATCTTGTTCTCTATAATCACTAAACCCAACAGCTTTCGTTTGTTTCCATCGAAGCCAAGATTCAACAAACTCCTTCCGCTCTTGTCACCGCAACAGCGCAAGGTTGTGATTCAGAGAATGACACTGAATCGAAATTTGTAAGCTCGCAGCATTCTGCTGTTACTACTACTGTTTCAGCATTACCCAAGACGAAGTGTAAGCGGCTTAGTGAAGAGGCGACAACAATCTCAGTGACAGCAAAACGAGCCAAGGTAGAAACATTTTTGGTTGTGAATGTATGTAAAACGGATTTATGTCAAGTGTAAAAACGATTAACCCACTTCCGCTGCAGCAAGTGTGGCATCTGCTTCCGAAGTTCAAGGTTCTCCAAGTCAGCAGCATCCGTAACAATACGGGAAACAAGGAAAGTCTAGCAAGTTGCAGTGAAATTGTACTCTTTCAACTTGATTTGGAATATACAGGTGAGGCCAATGATTGGTTTTAGGCACTTCAGAGTGGTTGTAAGGATTTGGTTGCATTCATCCTTCCTACCAGCCTAAAACGGAATGTTGCTTAGCCAAGAGTTAAACATTTTTTATTTAACCACTGTTTAAGATTCCAATGTAGATACATAATTTTTTTGTTCAATGTTTTGTATAGTTTGTTAAATTCTAATTTGTCATTTATTAAAGATGATCAATGTACTTTTGGTTTACTTTTAAGTTTTAACATTATTTGGATTAATTAATCAAATTATTAGTAATTCAATTTAATCCAAACTTTATAGGGTTACTAAGTCTTAACAGAATTATTTGGATCTTCTAAACATTTTTTGTTATTGTCTAAAACAGGTTATCTACTAAATTTAAGTCGCTAAATTTCGATACTGGTAGATTTTGTATTTAATTATATTATGCCAACTTGTATTTTATTATTTTAAATTATAGTAACTGACGAATTGACGAACATCTAATAGGAAGTTACTACCGACGTAATTTAAATTAAATTATAGTAATTAAGAATAATATACCATGTCAAATATTATAGAAGAGAATATATTATTGAATTGTGCTGTTGATACAAGAGCATAAAACACATATATATAGTGTTTAACATTAACATAATGGTAACACCAAATAATGTAAATCTTTCTAATCCTTATCACAATAGAATTTCTCTAAAATATTCTTCCGTTTGGCTTCATGGGTTTCACTTCATAAACGGGCTTCAATGGACCACAATACTTGGTTCGCCTTATTCACCAAGATATCTCCAATAAAACCATATTAGTTTTTCTTCTCAATGTATGATAAGTATAAGTTCGAATATTTGAAATATATCAGCCAAAATCTCAAACAAAATTTTATGTTTGCTTCAAATTAATCTCTCTCACTTAAAAAGAATCATCAATCATTTATAAATGAGAATCTCTAACTTCATTTTAACTTACTTGACATCCGTGAAAAAATAAGATAGCATACTAATTATGACTTTCTGTCACCAGATGCTAATTAGACCCATTATTAAAATTAGGGTTTGGCCCGTGCAATGCGCGGGTTATGTGTATTACAAACTATTTAATATGTACAAACTATTTGATATTTTAAAACTTTAAATTTACTAATACTCTTTCTGTCTCATATTATAAGCTGTTTTGGCATAATGTATCTGTAATTTTCTGGATGTATCTGGATGGATGATACATTATGCCAAAACTGCTTATAATATGAAACAGAAGGAGTATATGAAACAGAAGGAGTATGTTTTAGATTTATAGTTTAAAGAAGTTTCGATATTACGATCTTAAGTACAAGTAATATTCATTTCGAAGATAAAATAATACATCAAATTATCAATATATGGCAAATAGCTATCGGTTTAGAGAATTGCATATACATACACACCATAATAGTTCACACGCACACACAAAGTCATATGCTCTTTGAACGACACATAGGCCAACGTCTCAAACAACTAAAAACATTTTGAATATGTTTTGTCACTCAATGCCTCGTATTAGTTCTTGACGTCTGTTTTTTAAAATAAAATTGGTTTCGCTGAGTTACCTTCTTTTCCATTGGCGTTTTAATTAGCACACATTCTTCCAGCGGTTTTTCCAATATATGCATGCATTAACGTCAAGAAGGCAATATATTGTCTTCAAATACAAACTCCTTATTCTTAACGCTTGCCTCCCCGGAAATAATCTAAGTAAACAACTCTAAACATTTTTCGACATCAAAAATTTCAAAACTTTCTCAAGATCTCTTACAGACCTTGACTTTGTGTAGACTCATTAACTTAGAAGAACAGCAGTTGCGAGAATACCAACTTGAAGCCAATCGAATTTTGGAGCAGCTTGTGAATAAGTTAAAGAAACTGCATTCCTTCTTTCCCTTCTCATCTATACTGTAATAAAGAGGCATCAGTAACATGAGAGCCAATAATATAATTGTTCTTCAACTTAAGCTAATCGTACCTGCAACTGGCCGGGAAAAACGTAGACAACGGAATAGTCTCTGTCAAGTGTCAACGCCTGGTGAGATAATTATGTACTATCGCTCGCCCTGATCTCTCGTCATATGATTTCTTCAGGTCAATTCTGATTATAAATCTGAAACAAAAAGCAAAATAGAATATTAGTAAGAGTCATTTAGGAAAATTAATCTTTCATAACTTCTCAACCCATGGATCATGATGTCCTTTTTTTGTATGTTCATCTTTCTTCCCTCTCTCTATCCTCTCCTCACACACTCTCGTAATAATAGGAAAAAGGTGAGAATATGTCAGTGTGTGTGTGTTTCTCCTTGATTTCGCAACCTAACAGACTTTTTGCCGCCTACAAAACCATGAAATGGATTGGTTTTGATGAGTAACCTTGGAAGTAATATCTGAGACGGCTAGATTGAACTTTTCTTTGGTTTTTGAGCCAGCAATCTGACCTACTCTCGCCACTTTGCTGACAGCGCCACTAAACCAAGCAGCTCCAGCAGTCACGTACCTACTTGGAAGCCAGACTCCAAAACAAAGAACATATCAGCTACAAATTCTCGCAGAAACAAAACATAGTAGTGATGAGACTGATGACAATCACCAGTTCATTAAATGTACAAAGCAGAACACTTGAAACATAATAGTTTGATCAAAGAAAGAGAAGAAATTTTCAATAACCTGCTTGATTTGACAGCTGAACCAGTGTCGTTTAACTTCTTCTTGGCTGCAAATATTGCTGCCATGGTTTCATCTGAAACCTGAAGCTTCTGATCAACGGATTTAACTTTCTCGCAGAGATACCTACATTGAACTTCTCCATAAGCCCAACTCTCTTATCAAAAGACGAAACTTTAGCTGACGCATTGGCTCTGAATTGGTGCAACTCGTCTGGCTTTATTCACTGCATCTTGTCCTAAAGCAGATCCTTTCGCCAAAACCGTACCCACCACATCTTGCGCTTTGTTAACATATGCTCCTCCTCTACCATTCCCATCAGAATTCTGCAAACGCACATCACCTGTGTTCACGAATTCATATACACAATTTCGTTTTTCTTCACTTCCTGCTAAATATACAAATCGAATTCAAGATTTGTTCTTCCTTATCAAATGGTAAAGCACAAGATTTACCTAGCGTAATGGAGGCATTGCGTTGTTGTTATTTACCATTCTTACTTCCTGCAAGAACATGAACTTTAAGAAATCATTCAAAGCACAAACTTGATGAAGAAAAGAAATAAAGTTGATTCTGAATAACACACAAACCTGTGTATCACGCTTAGGAACATAGTTTTCAGCCGGAGTTATAGTAACAATCTGATCTACAATTGTGGCACCCTGCTTGGAAAAAATGAAGATTTTGGTTAGCATTTCGAAAACTTTACAGAGATGTTAGAGCTTTTAGAGTTGTGTAGAAACTTAGTGAGACCAATTTCTTCCAAATACAGAAGTTACAAAGCTTACAGAAGTGTGAAATAGCAAATTAGGTACCGATAATAAGAGAGCGATTTCAAGGGCTTTTGGATCAGTAAACGTAACAAATGCGATTCTTAAATGTTCAGCTTCTCTGCGCAAACCAAAAATCCCAAACGCTTGAAATTAGGTCTACTTGTCTAGTATAAGAAAAACAAAGCTTAAAGTTAAAAATTTCCAGAAAGAGAAGTTACTTAAAAAGCTCAATGTACTCTATGTCGCCTGAAAAGGAGAAAAACTCGTGAATCTCCCTCTCCGTCGCTAGAACTGCTTCGATTTCTTCTAGAAATATGATCTCTTGCAATTAGGGGAAAAAAAGAAAAAGATTTGAATTCGATGACAATTTGATGAACAAATTAAGCAAAGTGAAAGAGAATAAACCAAAAGGAATGCGATGAGACAACGATGAATTAACGGAGAAGAAACGTTGCAGAAAAAAAGTAGAAGAAACGTTGCAGGAAAAAAGTAATTATTATTTCGTGAGTGGTGAATTAAAGATGGCTCTAATGGGCTGACAGTAAAGTGAAATTCCATGAACGGGACCAATCAGCGACAACCACGGCGACGGATTTCTCATTCCCTCTCATTTCTCAGCCCTCGACACTCTAACCCTAATCGCCACCCAGTTTCTGCAATCAGTCGCCGGTCTCGCCGGGTCGTTCTCAAACACCGCTAACCCTACAGAGGCTAATCTCTTCGACATAGTCAATGGTCTTCAAGATATCTCTCTATCTACTTCCGGTTGTTTTCCCGGTGGCTCAACGCTGCGCAACACAGACGCGCACTGCTTGATCAAATCCACCGTCGTCATCCGGAACCTCTCCGATTTCGTCAATTACGCTTCTGAGATCCCTTTTGCAAAGCCGTTACCGAGACGGAAAATCAACAGATCGTCGGGAGGAGATTTGACACGTATGCCTCGATCGCCGGAGATGAAATCCATTCCAGCTTGGCTTCCACCTTTCCTGGATTACAGCCTCTACCTCGACCGCTGTACAGAGGAGAAATCCGATCACCTGTGGGAAAACTCTCTACAAGGTGAGAGATCTCATTCCTTCAAAACATTTTTTCTTCTCGTATCATTTTTGAATCTCAATCTGATTTTTGGATTTTATCAAGTTTCATCATCCTGGGAGAGATTTGATTGATATATGTTTAGTATTTCGATTTTGCTTTCAATCCTGGATCCTTAACAATCAAAATCCATCTAGGTCTTAGTTGATGAGCAATCGGCGGCGGCAACGATTGGGGTTGAGTGGAGGAGGCAGCTGCGGTTGCGCGCCAGTGAAATCATACAGTTATCCGGCGGCAGGAGGCGCATTCGGCGAGGAAACGAAATCAGTTTATGTTTTGTTTTTTTTTTGCTAAAAATTGAATGTATAAGGACTCTTAGACAATTTTTTTCTTTTAATTATTATAGATGCTACCATGTGTCTTTTTATTGGAAGGAGGATATTTGACATGTATAAGAAGATTCAGTTACATACTACAGTATAATCAATCTAGAATCTATATTTACAGAAAAAAAAAATACTAGTCATTTGGTCAAGATATTTTTTTAAAATGAAGAACCAAACAAAAGAGACATGCATGTGAAGATGGATCCAATGTCAGCCTCTCTCTACCTCATTGTCATTTACCATTTCCACAAACTCAAAAGAGTACACACGTCACCTTCTAAATCATCATCAAAACAACACAGCAAATAATAATATTAATAAACCCAAAACCCTAAACATTACTTGTGTCACAAGAAGCACCAAAGAATTGTGAAGTGAGAAAGAAAGAGGAAGGAAGAACACATAAATATACAGAAGAAAGAGAGAAAAAACAAATCTAGGGTTTTGAGGATTAGTTCTCATTTTCATCGTCCATCTACAGAAGTGAAAGACTCTGCAAATCCATAAGGTCTAGTGGGAATACTCATCTGCGTGTTGTCCAAGCTAGGTAAAAGCGATGAAGTAGAAGATTCAAGATCACTTCTTCCTTCATAAGCTTGCCATTTCTTAAGAGCTTGAGGCAGAGACATGTCGAGATCGATACCGTATATGTCTTCCGGATTCTGATCAGACGGTTTCCATAGCTCCACGAGGGAAGACAGAATGTTGACCGCGTGTCCCATGTCTGGTCTCTGGTAAGGCTCTCGGGCACAGCAATGGCCTGCTAGCTCAGCAACGGTGTGAACGCTGGCTAGGGTTTCTTCGTCGAGGTCTATCGTTGGGTCTATTGCTTTCTTGAATGATGATTCTTTGTTGATGAACATTCGTTTAAACCAAGAGACCAAGTGAATGCTCTCTTCTGGTTGCGATTCGTCTAGAGACTTTCTTCCTGTTATGAGTTCCATTAAAATTACACCGAAGCTATACACATCGACCTTCGTGGTTACTCGACCCGTAACTGCAACAAACAGATCACAATCATCATCAAGAAACCATATTTACTCAAACAGAATTATCAAGAAACCATATTTACTCAAACAGAATCATCAAGAAACAATATTTACACAAACAGAATCATCAAGAAACCATATATACTCAAACAGAATCATCAAGAAACCATATTTACTCAAACTGAATCAGCAAAAGCATCATCAAGAAACAATCTTTAGACAAACATAATCATCAAGAAACAATCTTTAGACACACAGAATCATCAAGAAACAATCTTTACTCAATCTAAATCATCAAAATCATCATCAAGAAACAATCTTTTTTAAAACAGAATTATAAAAAACCATCTTTACACAAATAGACCATCAAGAAACCATATTTACTCAAGCTCAATCATCAAAACCATCACGAAGAAACAATCTTTACTCAAACATAATCATCAAGAAACCATCTTTACAGAAACAGAATCATCAAGAAACAATCTTTACTCAAATATGAATCATCAAAATCATCATCAAGAAACCAAAATTAACAAACTAACCTGCATATTCGGGTGCTAAGTAACCAAATGTTCCAGCAATTCTAGTCTCAATCGATCCTTTCCCTTCAGGGGCGAGGCGAACGAGTCCAAAGTCTGCGACTTTCGCCCTCATATCATCGCCAAGAAGTATGTTCGAAGGCTTAAGATCTCTGTGAATGAAGCTCTGATGAGCTAAACCATGGAGATACTCAACACCCCTCGCAACATCCAACGCCAAAGTCAATCTTTGTTTCCACAACAGAGGCTTAAGCCCTTCCTCTGACCAATCAAACAAATGCCTACTCAACGTCCCTTGAGGCATACACTCATAAACAAGAAGCTTCTCGTTCCCATCAACACAATAACCAAGAAGCGTTACCAAATGGCGATGCCTAACCTTTGTCAAAACCGCAATCTCCGATTTAAACTCCGCAAGTCCTTTACCAGCAATCACACCGTTCTCCATCCTCTTAACCGCAATCTTGGTTCCATCATGCAACTCTCCTTTGTAAACAACACCGAAACCTCCTCTCCCCAAGATGTTATCTTCACTGAAGTTGTTGGTAACAGAACGTAGCACTTGGATTGAGATCAACATGTTTCCCGCTTCCACCATTTGGATATTATCTCCCACCTCGCTCGTACCAGGAAGCGTGTACGTCTCGCTTACCCCTCCAACGCTTACGCTTGACCCCGCCACTGTGATTTTAACACTCTCATTGTCGTCAGAGCCAGAGTGTCTCGGATGCACAACAACCGCGTTCGAGCTCTCTCCTCTTGCGAACCGCTTCTGCCTCTTCTTGTACCAGCAGAACACTAACAAACCAATCAAGAAGATCAAAAACAGAGATCCAAGAACAGAACCAACGATGATTCCAACGAAAGATGAAGACTTTACTCTTCTCTCATCTCCACCACCTTCAATTCCTGAACCAGAACCACCTGAATGTGGAGAAGAAGAGCCATGAGGAGATAAAGAGCTTTGATCCTTACCAATGTCAGGATTGCCATTCGCATTCACAACCACCTCACTTCGAAAAGCCGGGATCTTTCCGTAAAGCTTGTTACTCGAAACGTCCAACGTTTTGAGATTAGGCAACGTTGCAAGATCTTGAGGAATCGTTCCGGTGAGATTGTTGACACCAAGAACGATCCTTTGAAGCGATTTGATCGAACCAAACTCGGGAGAAATCGTTCCGGTTAGACCCATTTTCTCAAGATTGATAACCGTAATGTTTCCATTGCTACAAGCAATGCCAATCCAGTTAGTGCAAGGATCGTTTCCTCTCCAGCTCTCTGCTAACCTCACCGGATAATCCATGGAGCTAACGATCAAAAGCAAAGACTTCACTCTAGGATCACACTCACCAGGACTAGGCAAGCAAAAGCTGTTAGTGTCTTTACTCAAATCAACCGAAACAGAGGATTTAAACAGAGGAACTGGTCCTTGGAGATGATTGTTCGTCAAGTTCACAACTTTCAGTGACTCAAGACTCATCAGAGAATCAGGAACAAGACCAGTGAACGAGTTATCTCTCAAGCTCAAGCTCTCAAGCGACTTAAGACTCGAGAAATCGGGCAAAGAACCCGAAAACCCGTTCGAGTGAAGCCACACTTCTCTTAAACTAGTCATGTTCTGTAGAACATTGATCGAACCCGTTAGCTTCTGACCGTTAAGCCACAGTGACTGAATCTGAGAGCCGGATAAACCGGACGGCAATTCACCTTCAAGATTGTTGAAAGCCAAATGCAAGATCGATAAACCGGGAAACTCATCCGGTCCGAGAAAACCGGGTAATTTCCCTGAGACATTAGCGGAATTCGCCGAGAAATTCTGTAGAGCAGAGGCGTTTCTCAAGCTCTCTGGAATCTCCCAAGATTGAAATGGATTGTTGTCGACTTCGAAAGATTGTAATGAAGACAAGCCTAGGAAGATGTCATTAGGGATTGATTCGAAGTGGTTGTTGCTAAGCATCAAGACTTGTAATGAAGCTAAACCACTTAGTGAAGGAACAGAGCCGGAGATGTTGTTCCATTGAAGCTCGAGCCTTTCGAGCTCTGATAAGTTGCGGATATCAGGAGAGAGTGTACCTTGAAGACCCGAGTGCCCGATTTGGATCCGGGTCACTCGTTTGGACTCTGTACACACGACGTGGGTCCATTTACACGGGTCCGGGTCGGACCATCCGAGAGAGGAAGGTGGGTTTAAGCTTTGCTTGAGTGAGAGCATGGCTTTTGCGTCTCCATCTGAATCAGGTTTAGAAAACGGCGCAAGAAGAAGAAGAAGAAGGTGAAGGAGAAGAAAGGCTCTTCTTTTCTTCATGTGTTTAGAGAGATGAAAACAGAGGAAGAAGAAGAAACAGAGAGATTGAGAGAGAGAGAGGAAAAAGGTTGAAGCTTTGTTGGTTATAATTGTGGAGAAATGAAAGTGGAAATGGGAAGATGGGCCATTGAGAGAGAAGAAGGAAGAAGATGAAACTCTGAAGCAGAAGCCAAGGAGCCTGCACATGGGATGTCTGTCCCACTTAGCCAATGACAGTTTGGTAACAGATTAGATACATCAAAATTGTTATTTTTTATTTTTTATTTTACGAGTTTTGAATTATCATAGGATTTTTTTGTTTGTTTGAAGATAACATTATTCGAAATAAAGAGGTGTGATGATGGTAGAAATATTGACTACGTAGTGTGCTTTGTTGTCAAATGCTTCACACAAACCAAATGGAGAACTAGAAAAGCAAAAGTTTGATAAAATGCTTTATGTAGTTTAGATTCACTTTGAAATTAAGAAATTTATTCTTCAATTATGGGTAGTTCCATAAAAAAAAAAATTACTTAGTTATGAATTTTCCACCTGTGATAATAGGTTATCTACCTAGTTAACCTTTGGTAATAAATTTAGTCAAGTTGTTGTAAACTATATAGTATAACTAATGTAAAAGTTATTGTAACTAGTAAGTCCCAGTTTGGACTTTAACCAAGTAATCAATTACCTAAAGAAGTATAATCCTTGTTCCAGTTACCCAGTCTGAAGTCTGAACCATTTGTTTCCAAATACGTAAATGAGGAAAATTTAATGTCTTGAAAGGAAGATCGTAAACAAATTGTATTCATAGGGTAGAAAAAAAACAAAAAATAATTATAGGGTTATAGTCTTATAGAGTATAGACTAGTTTTATTCATATTTGTTTTTTTCTTCTACAGTGACATTTATACATATTTTATTTTATATCCGGTAGTTCACCAAATTATTAACTAAACAATTTGTTTAGTAGTAGAGATCCCACATACATCGAGGGTCTAGGCTGTCAAAAGCATAATGGGGCAAAAAAGTTGTGAAAAAGATTGGCAAATTATTCGTACAAAACACACAAAAAGAATAAAAAGTATTACAATATGTAGCCAAAAGTTATTATTGAAACCATACAGGTGTAAAACAATTTTTCTTTAAGAACTGATGACAGTATCTCGACTAACGAGTGGCACCAAAGATTTTGATACAAACTAGTTAAGAAATTATTTATTATATATAACATGAATATTATGTGGCTACAATTAATATACAAATTCGAAAACTTGGATATGTCTGATTTTAGCAAATGCTACATCTATCTTTCGTTGCTGTCTCATGAATCATGATCTAAAGTCCTTTATCCTTTAATTTTACAATTATAATATTATTACTTTCTGTGGGAGAAAAAAAACATTTTCTCTGTGTTTAGGAAAAAAAAAACAGGTGAAGTTGATTCCCCATGCACATGGCTCTCTGCAGATCTACAAGAAAAGGGAAAAAAAAAACTTTATGAATTCTAAGTTCTAATTTTCTCATTTAATAGAATATTGACTTTTTGTTTTGTTTTGAAGGTTGGATAATAATTGTGTTGGTAATAAATTAGGGAATGATGATGAGATGGTAGATTGGTAGTGAGTCAGACCTGTCTAAATATATGGATTGGATTAAATGAGTTCAACTTTTACAAATCAGTGCAAGACTTTATTTTATTACTTTTTGAAGAATTTTTTTTTGTTGTTGGGAAATATTAAAAGTGTATCGACAGTGAAAAATGTATGGCTACGCAAAAACCACCATATCGACAGTGAAAATGTACGTGCATGTGAAATCAAACCCCAGTGATTCGGAGTAAGCAACCTCGAGATGGGATTCAAACAAAAACAGGCTATTAATTTATAGCGAGTTATTGATGTATTTGAGCGATACAATATTATTTTATCGTTGATTTACCAGTCGCTTACAATCAAACTAGTGATGACTCATAAATTTGGTCCTATTTGTGATGAAAATTTTAGTTGCTACTTTATTGATATGTTGGGACGACTTAACAACCGTCTCAACTAAAGTAACACTAAATTAGTCGTTACTTACCTACCAAGTACATTCGTTGGCAGTCCGTAGAGAAACCAACAATTTTTTAGAATAAGCTTCAAGAGCCATCGCAAACGCTGATGAACATATCTTTAATTTAGGGATGAATGTAAGTTGCAGAAAATAGTTCACTTTTTAAAAGGGAAACCGCATTAAAAACCTAAAAAATGGTGTATATGTTTTTAACTTGTTAGTTTTCATTCCAAATTCGCCGCATTCTAATACCAAAATGTCTATAGTTTATGAGTTTCTCAACCCTAATCCGGTATAATATTGCTAATTTTATCGTTACAACTTACAATCATGGATAACCTATAAAAATCATGTGAGTGTTCATTGTAAAATATGTCAAACCAAAATTTTAACACAAATGTCTTTCAATCCAATTTTTTTTGGGGATATGGACAATGGAAGAATAAGCTAAAGAACGTGAGAATAGAGTAAATAATCCATGTATATATCATGTTGCGATTAGCGAACAAACTGATATGAATCAAAAGTGGTAAGTTATATTTGATAGGTGAAGAAGTGCATGCAGATATTCGAATTTTCGGGAGCTTAAACATTTTCTTGTAGGGGTAACAGACTAAAATGTACATGGGACGTATATGGAGAAAAGTTGTTATGGGAACTTCCTTCCTGAAATGACCAATTATGTATGCATAATATTGACGTGCACACGCATAACTTTTTTTTAAAGAAAAATATCTTACGAATATAATTTTGAATATGTAAAATAAAATGAAAGACTATCTCAATTCAAAATAAGATTTCTTAATATATGTTCGTGTATCTAGAATGATGCCTAATCTCAAATAACATGTCATATGTATGTCTTGGTTTAACAAACAATATATATATGAAATGCATATTATTTGGCTAATTATAAATTGCTTTAATACCCAAATTTACTTGAATTTAACCTTAAAATCTAACAAAAAAAAAAAGAGAAAATTACTCAGATTAGCACTCATTCAACGGTTTATTACTAGTTTAACACCTATGAAAATAAATTTACTAGAATAGGATACATTTTATGTCAAAAGACAAAATACCTATACATTACTAGAACGAAAATAATTGGACAGTATATTAACTTGAAGGCATTAATAATGAAGCCAATATTAAAGATTAAAATCTAAAAAGAACAATCATGGTAAATTGGACAAAAAAATGTGGGATTTTGAGATGGAGGAAAAGCTCTATTAACTTCAATTGCACAAAAACCAGCTATTCTGTCACAAAATGAAAACGTTCTAGAAACAAATAAAAATACTCTGTATATCTATATATATAAAGTTCATGCAATTCTATTATGGTGTTGCCACGTCAGCAGAAGAGATTGCTTCTAAATTCTCCAATTCCCCACGTCCGCACTTTATTTAATCTATTAGATTTTCTCTTTTTAATATTTTAATTTCATAATAATTAGCATTTATTACTATAATAAGTTTAACAAAAATATGAAAATTCATTTTTAAAAAAGAAGAAAATTATGTATAGATCTACAAAAACTATTATTTAGTAAATTTATTATTGTTAGATTATAAAATTTACGTTGATGTCAAGATATTATATAAAGAACACATATTTTTTTAAATATTTTGGGATGAAATGAGACGGGACCTCTAACATCCGTAAATCAAAAAGGTGCATTTTTGGTCGAGTGTCGACCGACACAAACCTGTGGTGTCGGTCGACACCAGCTCTGATTTGCAATTTTCGGTTCAATTTAAGTTAATTGAAATCCGGTTTGGGCCTGGTTTGGGTTGGAAACCCTTATTTTCAGAGTTAAAACACGCAGCCGCCATCTTCTTCCTCTTTTTTGTCGTTTAGTGAAGGGAGTTTTCGAGAGGAGAGATTCCGAGGTGATCTCGTGGCTTGGTGTGTGTTTGTAGGTTGTTCTTCGCCGAATCGGAGCTCTAGGTGCGTGTGGTGGCTTCTGTGTGGTGCTGCTTCGTTGTTCTTCGTCAGATCGTCTTCCCCAATTCGTTTTCCCCTCTTTTCAACCTAGAATCGAGGTGAGTGCATGACTGTGGGTCCGCGATTGCTAGATTCAGGATCTGTATGTGTTTATGTGGTGATTTCGTGATGATATTGATGTTTGATTCAATGTTTATGGTTGTTTGATTGATTTCCTGTTAATTTCGAGTTTCGGGTACTGTTCATAGCCCGATCTGGGTTTTTCCAAAGTCGGTGTCGGTCGACACCAGAAGGCTTGTGTCGGTCGACACCAAGCTGGTGTCGGTCGACATAGACCGGTTAACTCTGGTTAAAATCAATTTAATTGGTTTAATCGAATTTGGCTGGTTTAAATCAATTGGAGATGGTTTAATCCATTTTGGTTGGTTTAATTCGTATTTAAATAATTAATGAGTATTTTAATTAATTAAATGGTTTAAAATAATTATTTTAATTATGAAAATTATTTAATAATTGATAGATTGAGTTTTAATTATTAAAAATCATTTAATAATTGGAAAATGGAATTTAATAATTATTGAAGTTTATAATAATTATTTAAATGTCTAGTAAATTGCGTAATTGGCATGTAGGCAAAGTGATTGCCTCACTAATTATTTATTAAATACTTACGCAACTCCAGAGTGATCACCTGAGCTTAGTTGAGTTTGCATACAACAACAGCTTTCAGGCGAGTATTGGCATGGCTCCATTCGAGGCTTTGTATGGGAGGCCATGTAGGACACCCCTATGCTGGACCCAAGTGGGGGAGCGCAGCATGTATGGAGCTACTTATGTACAGAGAAGGTTCGTGTTGTGAGGCTGAACATAAAGGAGGCTCATGATAGGCAGAAGAGTTATGCAGATAGACGCAGACGAGAGCTTGAGTTTCAGGTGGGAGATAGAGTTTATCTCAAAATGGCTATGTTGAGGGTATTAGATTGATGAGAGAAGAACACTTTAGTGTTTGGAAAGAATTGTATATTGCTCTCATAATCATAAGTTTTACGATACATTAATTTATATAGTGAAAGGATTTCCTAAACTAAGAGATATACAAATATCTAAATAGTTAATACAATATATTTACTAATAATAACATGATCATCTAGATCCTTCTATACGCCCCCTCAAGTTCAAGGCGGTTATGGAGATATGAAAATACCGGCTTGAGATTGACAATACAGTGGATCGGATTGTGCAAAGCATCTTTGTTCTCTGATATTATGTTGGATGGGCTTTGACATGAAGAGACGACCATGACGAGTGGAAAGGGGATGAGAATCATGTGAACCATAGTTGTGAGCGGTTGTGACAAAGATGGTGAATAATGAGATGGTGACTTCAAGATCTATTTGGAAGAAAGTGCTCATGACGAGCTGTTTTTTTTTTCTTCTTTTTTTTTTCTTTTCTTTTATAAAAAAATAAATCGAGGACGATAACTGTGAAGAAGTGTGATGGGTTGGAAATTCAGAAAAATGAAACCATTTTTTTTTTTCAATAAAAAGAAAAAAATAGAAATAGAGAATAGAGAATTAGCAAGAGAAGAGATAAAAAAATAAGAAGAAAATAAGAGAACCATTTTTTTTTTAAATTGAGAGAGATGATTCAGAGGTCTATGAAGACTTGAATAAGAAGCACAAAGGCTTAGATTCAGAGGTTCATGATGAACTTGAATGGAAAAGCACTAGGCTTAAAACATAAAATAAAAAGAATGAATGAGAAAGAAAGAGTTTGATTCAGAGGTCCATGATAGACTTGAATGAATGAAGCACATGGCTCATAAGAAAATGAATAAAAAGATTTTGAATGTTAGATCAAAACTCTTGAGCATAACCTGCTCTAATACCATATTAGATTGATGAGAGAAGAACACTTTAGTGTTTGGAAAAAATTGTATATTGCTCTCATAATCATAAGCTTTACGATACAATGATTTATATAGTGAAAGGATTTCCTAAACTAAGAGATATACAAATATCTAAATAGTTAATACAATATATTTACTAATAATAACATGATCATCTAGATCCTTCTATAGAGGGGTCCTAACAGATCCATAGCAGAGAACAAGCTGAGTCCGCGTTTTATGGGTCCGTTTCCAGTAGTGGAGCGAGTTGGGCCATTGGCTTACAGGCTGGAGTTGCCTGAGATTATGAAAGCCTTTCACAAGGTTTTTCATGTGTCGATGCTGAGGAAGTGTCTTCACCCTACAGAGGAGTTAGTGGCTAGGATTCCAGAGGATCTTCAGCCAGATTTGACAGTGCCGGCAGTGCCTGTGAGGATTTTAGAGAGGAGGGAAAAGGTTCTGAGGAACAAGAGGATTCCCTTACTGAGGATTTTGTGGGATTGCAGTGGTTCTACAGAGGAGACTTGGGAGCCAGAGGCAAAGATGAAGTTGAAGTTCAGGAAGTGGTTCGACAAGCAGGTCGAGGAGTGAGCTTATTTCATCTTTGTAGCCTCAGTTGTTATTTTTGGCTTTGGTGTTATTGTATTTTCGTTTTCGTTGTAACGATATACATTTTGGAGTTTTAATGAGATGCAGTTTTTCCTCATTTTGCCTTGTGTTGTTTAATGGTATTTCGGATGTTACAAGTGTTTGACCAGTTGGTCGTGAGACGGTCTAATCTTATGTTATAGACATTTTGGAATTTTTACTCTAAGGATTGCGATCCTGAATAACTCATCATTTTGGAGACTTCGTTCTCTGGCAGACTCTCTGGGTGCAAGTAGGCCTCAGTTGAGTGTAGCTTAGCTGGTGCAAGTGGCCTCAGTATAAGCAGTTTGTTCATCTGGGTGCAAGTGGCCCAGTATAAGCAGCGGTTGGCCTGGGTGCAAGTGGGCCTCAGTGGGAGTGTGGACTTGTCTGGGTGCAAGTGGGCCTCAGTACAAGTGGTTTGAGGATGATGAGTTAGGAGTAAAATTCTTGGAACGTGTATGACATAAGATAGATTTGTCTCGGGGATCAGGTGAGGATCTCCAGTGTTGCGGCCTTGCGAGGTCGGGTTTTTGTGGTCTTTGTGACGTTTGGTTGGGATTCGAGGACGAATCCAGTTTAGTGGGGGAGAGTTGTAACATCCGTAAACCAAAAAGGTGATTTTGGTCGAGTGTCGACGACACCAGGTGTGTCGGTCGACACCAGCTCTGGTTCGCAATTTCGGTTCAATTTAAGTTAATTGAAATCCGGTTTAGGCCGGTTTGGGTTGGAAACCCTGTTCTCGAATAAAACGCAGCCGCCGTCTTCTTCCTCTTTTTGTCGTTTAGTGGGAGTTTGAGAGGAGAGATTTGAGGCGATTTGAGGTGTGTGTTTGAGGTTTTCTTCGCCGATCGGAGCTCTGGTCGTGTGGTGGCTGCTGTGGTGCTCTTCGTCGTTCTTCGTCAGATCTCTTCAATTCGTTTTCCCTCTTTTCAACCTAGAATCGAGGTGAGTGCATGACTGTGGGTCCGTGATTGCTAGATTCAGGATTGTATGTGTTTATGTGGTGATTTCGTGATGATATTGATGTTTGATTCAGTGTTTATGGTTGTTTGATTGATTTCCTGTGAATTTCGAGTTTCGGTACTGTTCATAGCCCGATCTGGGTTTTTCCAGAATCGGTGTCGGTCGACACCAGAAGGCTTGTGTCGGTTAACTCTGGTTAAAATCAATTTAATTGGTTTAATTGAATTTGGCTGGTTTAAATCAATTGGATATGGTTTAATCCATTTTGGTTGGTTTAATTCGTATTTAATTAATTAATGAGTATTTTAATTAATTAAATGGTTTAAAATAATTTTAATTATTTTAAAATATGGAAAATTATTATTTAATTATGAGAATTATTTAATAATTGAGAAATTGAGTTTTAATTATTAAAAATTATTTAATAATTGGAAAATGGTATTTAATAATTATTGGAGTTTATAAATTATTTAAATATCTAGTAATTGCGTAAATGGCTCGTAGGCAGAGTGATTGCCTCACTAAGTATTTATTAAATACTTACGCAACTCCATTCCAATGTGTTGCAGGTAAAAGATTTGTGTGATCGCGGAATCAAGGCTGAAGAGGGGGATGATAGGATGTTTAATGTTGCTAGTATTTTATTATTTATTTGAATTATTTGTTGAACCTGATTTATTATTTATTTATTTATTTAAAGACTTCCGCTGAATTGTTATTTAATTTAATTATTAAAAAAAAAGTGTTTGTTGTTTCAAGACGAGACAGGATGAGACGAAAAAAACATAACGAGAGAATAAATGAATTTTATCCACTTCTTATTATATTAAATGACGAGATGGATGTAAAGAAACGGAAAAGAATGGGATACCACATAATTTTGCCTATTTTAAGTTATATTTAGAGACGGAATAGAAAAAAACGAAAGGAACATGATGAGACAAGACAAGACGGAAAGAAATATAATGAAACGGGATAAGACTGGACGGGACGAGACAGACAAATTAGACGTGACGAGATGAAAAAAAACGGAATGAGACGGGATTGGACGGGACATGATGAAAGGGACATAATGGGACGAGAAGGGACAAGATAAAGTCACGACAAAACGGAAAAAAAACATAACATGATAGGATGAGACTCGATAGGGCAGACAGGACGGAACGGGACGGGAAAGAACATGACAAGTTGAGAAGGAATGAAATGGGACGGGATGGAACTATACAGGAATTTTGCCTATCCTTAGTTATATTTAGGGAACCGGACGAGAAGAAACAGAAGGAACATGATTATACATAACAAAATGGATAGGAACATAATGGGATAGGACGGGTCCTGTAAGGACGGGAAAGAACAGACATGATGAAATGAATGAAATGGGATATGATGGGACAAGACGGTACCCTAATTTTGCCAAACCCTAATTATTTTTAATTAATATGTGTAATTTTTTTAAACAATAATAAACCACATAAATAAATTAAATTTGCAGAAAACAATAAAATTAACACAATAATATAAATTCCCTCCTAGTATCAAATAAAATAGAAGTCAAAACAAAAAACTTCCCCATGTGATGAACACTCATAATGAAATTTAGTGAAAATAGTGGTACGAAACATACAACATAGGTGGGAAATAAAAAAATATAAACTGTATAATACTAATACATTTTTTTTTGCCAACTAATACTAATACAGTTAACAAAAGATTAGTATATACACAAGGAGTAAACAAAACAAGTTAAAGCACAAATTAACAAAATATTAGTATATACACAATGACTAAACAAAAAAATCAGAGCACAAACAGATATCAACCAAAAGACAAATTCCCATATTTATAGAAACAAAAATAAAATGGTAAATAACCCGGCGCGTACGCGGGGTTCAATCTCTAGTGTTAATTGTAATAGAGTAATGGCATCAACAAAAGAAAAACCAATGATAATAGTAAAACAGTAATGGGCCATTAAGGTAGTAACAATAAGACAAACTCAATTATGCGAAAACGAATATAGGTTTCCTTTTTTCTTATTCTCTCAAGTTGAAAATAGGATTGGTGAAATTCTTGACTGAGAGAACTAACCAAGTACCATCATGTTACTAGCTATTTGGTGAAAATGAACAAGAATTTCACCAATCCTCTCAAAATCCATGATGGTACTTGGTTAGTCTCTAAAGGGTCATGGTCATCTACATGGAGGAGTGTGGCGTTGGCTATCAAGGACGTAATCATACTGGGGCATGGTTGGGTCGTCAGAGATGGTCGAAGCATCGCCTTCTGGAAAGATAAGTGGCTTATGGGTACCCCCCTGTGTGAAGCGTCTATTGTGGAGATCCCACCAGCGAGCTTATCTATGAAGGCCAGTGATTTATGGTTAAACGGGACAGGATGGGACCTTCAAAGGATTGCATCATATGTATCGGAGGAAACGAGACTGGATTTGGCGGCTGTGGTGGTAAACACGAGTTCAGGGAGACCGGACATGGTCTCTTGGGGAGAAACGGCCGATGGTAACTTTACGGTATCATCAGCGTACCGTTTCTTAACATGGGATGAGTCCTTTACACCTGATATGAGCAATCTCTTTAAGCGGGTGTGGAGAGTACGAGCACCGGAGAGAGTACCGGTGTTCTTTTGGCTGATCAGTAACCACGGAATCATGACGAATCAAGAAAGGTTCCGAAGACACATTGGAGATACTGAGATTTGCCAAGTCTGCAAGGCTGGGGTTGAGTCCATTTTACATGTGGTACGAGACTCTCCTGCAATATCAGGAATATGGCAGCGCATCGTTTGGAGAGGTAAGCATCGTATCTTCTTTGCTCTGCTGCTCTATGAATGGTTGTATGAGAACTTGTGTGAGGAAGCTGAGACAGGATTCGGCCCATGGTCGACCATGTTTGCTGTCACTGTGTGGTGGGCATGGAAATGGAGATGTGGCAATATTTTTGAAGATGGTAAACTTTGGAAGGATAGAGTGAAGTTTTTGAGAGAATATGCAAGAGAAGTGCATCAAGTAATGTCGAAGAGCGAGAATGGGCAATCAAGGCACATAGAGGAGATAATGATTTCGTGGCTGCCACCATTAGTGAGTTGGATGAAATTAAATACAGATGGAGCATCACATGGTAATCCAGGATTGGCCACGGCGGGAGGAGTGATCCGCAACGGTGATGGAGAATGGTGTGGTGGTTTCGCGTTGAACATTGGACGCTGTACGGCACCGATGGCGGAATTATGGGGAGTTTATTATGGGCTCTATATGGAAAGGGGATCCGGAGACTCAAAGTCGAGGTGGATTCTTCTTTGGTGGTCAGTTTTCTACAGATAGGGATTGGTGAAACACATCCACTGTCTTTCCTGATACACTTATGCCATGGCTTCTTATCAAAGGACTGGGAGGTTCGGGTTACTCACGTGTATAGGGAGGCCAATCGTCTAGCTGATGGATTAGCGAACTATGCTTTTGAACTACCGTTAGGGTTCCACTTGTTTGATTTTGTTCCTCCGGATTTGTTGGTTGTGTTGCGTGATGATGAGCATGGAGTCTCGTGGTCACGGCAAGTTCGCATGTAAAAGTTTTCTTTTTATTCAATAAAGTCTAGGAGCTAGCTCCCGGTATTCCACCAAAAACAAACAGAAACCCAATTTTGATTTCCGTGTAGCATCGATCACCTGCCATTTTCTTACTTTTGATATACAACGACAACTTGTGTAACATCCGTCCCTTAAGTATATACATATGTATAATCTGCAACCCTAAAAAGATGTGTATAACAGAATTATTCTGTGAGTGATTTACAACCAAACATATAACGCAAATCAAAGTGTAGAATGTTATAAAAAATAGTCAAACATATAACGCAAGTGAAAGTGTAGAATTTTTATCCAAAAAAAAAGTCAAAGTGTAGAGTAAGCGGACAACGCTCATATATTACTTGGTTAGTCAAAATTGTGTTATGCTTTATGTTTAATCAGGGGCTAATCGACGGTTATATCACCCTAAAAGGATTAGCCGGATGTTAACCGGATAATCCATTTTTTAATAAAAATGCACTCATATAAAATAATTAAACGGCTAATCACATATTCACACGAACCATAGTCCATCATATATCAACACATGTATAGTAGAAACTCTATAAATTAATACTCGATAAACTAATAAATTCTATAAAATAATAATTTTCTCCGGTTCCAAGTCGGGCCTGTGTAAAAATTAGCAAAATTCGATAAAATAATAAGATAATAATATTTTTGAAACTCCTATGTAAATATATGGTCCCATTAATATCATAAATTAATAATTACCATAAATAATTTTATGTAAATACATATCTATGATAATATACTAAAATATAAGTATAATTTTCACTTCTACTATTACTCAAATATATTTAGAATTCATCCTAATTTTAGAATGAATCTATAGAAAATATAAAAAAAACTTTTAAAATTTCATATTTTAATTTAATTTAATATTTATTTTAATTATTTTTAAATAAAACAGCTATTTTATTCAAGATCGATAATTTAATAACTCTATAAATTAATAAAATATCAAAGTCTCAACTTTATTAATTTATAGAGTTTCTACTGTATATGAATACAACCCAATTCAAAACCTTTCCACTTTTCAGTAATCTATTAAATTTATATCCCTTATATATCACTCAAAGTCACATTTTGATATTGAAGTAAAGTTTCTGTTATTAGCTTTTTTGGTTTTAAAAATTTGGACCATTTCTCGATTTGTGCGTGTCATCCTTGCGCAGGGGCCATGCTAATCTTCTCTGTATCGTTCCAATTTTATCGGATGTCCCCGAAGGGACTTCTGTTATTAGCTTATTGGTGAAAATGGTCCGAGAGACCTCAGAATCCCCATTGGCGCAACGATCTATGATGCTTGCGGGACAGGGGTTTGGTCACTGGCCAGCCCGTGTTCAGAGAGAGCACTGTCACTTCATGTCTTTCTCACAACACTTACTCTGCCTCTGGATCCTCTTACTGAAGACTCTTACAGATGGTGTATTGGTGATGTCGATTTGCCGGACTTTAATTCCGCAAAAACTTGGGATATCCTACGATCAAGGGAACATGAGAAACCTTGGGCTTCTTCAGTTTGGTTCAAATGTGCTACTCCTAGGAACTCTTTCACAATGTGGACTGCACCTCTGGATCGTCTTCCAGTTCGTAGCAGGCTTGTCTCCTGGGGAATGCAGGTCTCGCCACTCTGTGTTTTATGCTCCAATCATTTGGAAAACAGGGATCACTTGTTCCTAAGCTGCTCCTTCAGTACGGTCATTTGGGGGAAAGTTCTTCAGAGACTATCTGTTTCAAACAGTGTATTTTCTTCATGGGAAGACCTTATCATCTGGACAACTAGGAGCCGTAATGCTTCCCCTTCAATGGCTTTTGATCTATGCAATCTGGAGGCAGAGAAATAACTTCCTTCACAACGTCATTCCAATCCCGCTGCTCACCATCTTCAAAGACATTGACCGGCAGATCATTAACTCCATCAACGCAAGAAGATCCAGGAAGAATTTCCGGAATCTCATGGGCTTATGGCTCACTTGATTACTCTCGTAGAGTAAATCTTTGTGCTTCCTTGTTTTTACCTTTTTTGCCGAGGAACCATTTGTAAATATGTTTTTATATTCTCTTGTAAAACCTTTAAATCATTAACATGATATTAGCATGCTTAGCAAAAAAAAGAAGACTAAAATGGGTAGGATTCATCATCCTTAGTGGACTTAGAATTCTTCTTGCCATAGCTCTTTGACCAGGCCATATATGATAGATATAAGTGTGTACTCGGGCTTTTTAATGCATGCTTTTGTCATTTGAGCTACTGGAAAATGCAATGGACCCTCTTGGTCAATTTTGGTGTTTTCGTCATTTCTCTCTTTTTTGGTCATTCCCTTTTTTTGAAAATTATATAACCTCAAACCAGCCTCACAACCTTACCAAAATAACTTTAAGTAAGAAAATGTTGAAAGTATCACTTATATTTTGCTCACCTCACAAAATCTAGTTTGTAAGGGTTGTCACTGATCTGTTCGAAATTTTCAAATGAATTATTTTGTCTTGGCATCAACTTTGATTTTATTGCTGTCAGGCTGAATATATTTAGCAAACAGATAAAGATTGTGGCAGCGCCAATTATGGACAACCAAGAGTGACTTATAGATTAGATTCAAAAGAGATCATCCACTTTTTTTTTTTGTTGGAAGTTGGCCATCCTAAATCCTGTATAATGTTTTGTTAATATATTGAACATTCAAACAAAAGATTATGTTCTTATTAGAAATAATTGATAATTTTTTTAATCCTTGGCGTCTGCGTATATTTGTTTCATTCGTGACAAGTGAAATATTATAGTACTAGTTTTTTTTTGGTAAAAGGATATAAGTGAAATATTTATTATAGTTAAAGATAAGATAAAATAGCTTTCAGTTGTACTATCATTTTCCTACTTTTATTGGATGTCGTTTATGGCACTAAAAATTACTACACTTACCAAGAATCACATGCAATAAAGAGAGCTATAATTATAATTACTAGTGAGAAAAGAAAATTATCTTGTATCAATTGAATTTTTTTGGTCAAACTACAATGAAGTTATTTTGGAAGTAAAATAATACGTGTTCACTTCAGATATATATTTTTTTAATACTTATTCAACTTCTTTTGACCCAAATTGCGATGTTGCTGACTGACTATATGGCAAGAAAATAGAAAAGAATTCAAAGATTTAGACTTCTATAAATTAGGCTTGTTCATAGTTCAGTAAAATTGCAGAACATTTTGTTTACTTGGATAGACTTTTATACAAGAAAACAGAAAAAAAAAAAGGGTTTCACAAAAAATTTAGCAACGCTTCTTTTCGTAGTTATGCTGGTTGTTTCGTTGTCTAGCCAAGACGCTTTGGACTCAGGTATACACATACTTTTAACTGCAGTTGCTCTTAGTTAATTTTTTTATTTTTCCAAATATTATTCTTACTAAAGATACATAATGTGTGTTTATGTGCAGAGATCAAAGCAGGGACAAAATGTTTTAACAAATGTACAAAATCATATACATATTATGAATGCAGTGTGGACTGTAGGTCATCTCAGTACAGAGAGGGAGATTGTGTAAACGGATATTGTTGTTGTACCCTGCTTAATCATTTGTTTGCTTTTGATAATGAGAAACTATGTGTATCAAAAATATCCTGAATTAAAAGCTACATTATTAATATCACATAATATGTTTTCTTTAAGGGTGAGTTGGTTTAATATTACTAAATTTTTTCATAATTTGAAAAATAACCATGGTTTTTAAAATTTTGAAAACTAACTTTTTTAATAAGTGAAAAGACAATAAAACCATTATCATTTCTTATTAATAATGAGAAAAAAAATTCTTATTTAATTTAGATATATACTGGATTTAGATATATATAAGATATTTTCGAAAATTCATTTATGTATTTTTTAAGAAATATTTTAAAATACACATGTTATTTTGAAAATATATTCATATTTATCATAAAAATGAATCAAACTCTATAAATATATACACATAAATATTATTTTAGAATAAAGAAAAACTCACACTTCATTCTAAAAAAAAAAGATGATGAAATGTGTTAAAGTTAACTCATATTCTATATTTATGACATGTTAAATTTCAAATAAGATCTTCTAAATATCTTTTTGTTTTCTTGTTGTAAAATTTATTCAGATTTTATGGGAAAATCCCACACTGAAGTTTTTTTTTTGAAATAAATATAATTGTTTATAATTATCTTTAGAATAACATAATTTTTTTACAATTTAAATAATTTTTAAACAAGATAAACGAAATTATAAATCAATTTTAATATCTAAAAAATTGAGGGTATTTTAGTAATTTTAAATATTAGAAAGATTAATTTACCAACACTTTAAAAAATGGGTTAGTTTTCAAAATATGATTAATTTATGTAATAATAGTCCAAATTTCCTCTTTCTTTAATCCTAATACTACGATCGCAATTTGATTTATGTTTGCGTCCGTGTTTTTCTCACACCTCGTAATAAAATTAATTGTTGATCAAATGTTATTTGGTGTGGAGTCGATAATTATCTCGTATCTCACAAATTGGTAAAACACTTTTCTATTTTTTTTCATTGTCATTCTTTCAAAACCTTAAATATACATTACTAACATTTATAAAAACTTTTCACAAAAAAAACTATAGCAAAAACAAAAGCATTGAAATGGTTTGGAAGTAAATATTACGCGTCCAATTCCTAGGTTTTTATGGTAATACTTATTCAAATTATATTGACCTAAAATAAATATATCTTTTTAAAAAGATACTGAGATTAGTAGGAAATAAAATTAATGGGATTTATGTGTTGACTTCCAAGATTCTTATAAAACTAGGTTTGAAGCCCTGTGCAAGTGCGGGGTTGTTTGCGATAGTTTTCTGTTTAGTTTTATTTATACTTTATCTCACATCGCACGTCCTTTTATTTTATTTTATTAGGATGTTAACACCCACTTTATCTCGAGTTTTCTATTTCAAACATTTTAGCATATTATAAATATTATGTTTGTTTACTTATGTTAGACTATAAACATGCATATGTATTTGACTCAATGTTAAAATTTGTAAGTATAATGTAAAATCGCATTTGCACCGAAATAAGATGAAAAAAATAATATATATACTTTTTTACATATCTACTTTGTTGTGGTAGCATATGAGTCTCATGACCATTGATTATTTTCTATTATGTTAGTTTTGTAAGTGAATATATTTTAAAACAAACATATCACAATCCTTAAAAAAATTATGTTTTTCACTGCAATTAAATTTACATATAAAAACTCGACTTCTATTTGTTTAAAAAGCAAACTCTAACTCTACTTTGTCATTGGTTTTTTATTATTTTAATTAATTTATATCCAACTTTTTAATTTGTAAACACATTATAACATTTAGAAATAGGATAAATCCTTTTAATAAAAAGGTAAATATATACCATTTCAAGTTAAATATATTTTTACTTATATTTAAACTTTTTCATAACTTTTAACATCAAATTATCACATAGTTTATATTAATTAAGTAATTTAGTTGTGTATTTTTCTTAGTTTTATTTATATTTAAAATATAAATATATGTAAAGAAATATGAATAGTCATGTATTAAATATCTTAAAAACAATTTAATGATTTTTTTGCTGATGTGGATAGCCTAGATGGAGAGAGCAACTATCCTATTATATATAATATAAGATACTATTATTATTCTATTATAGTTGGAAAGCTTCAAACTACCACCTGAAACTTATGTAAGAAAAAATATTCCTATACGAAAAAACAAATCTTCAAAGTTCCGTTTCACGTCTTATCATCTTTTCCAAAAGAGTTTTTTTTTTGATAAAATAGCCTTTCATGTATAAGAATATGATTACTAGGCATGCAATATAGACCTCTTTGAAAATAAGTTAAGTGGAAGATGAAAACACTTTGTCGAAAAAGATATTGGAGCGGAACGAGAAAAATAAACAATTAAAGGAAAAAAGTATCAATAACGTTTTACTAAAAGGGAATAAGCATGTGACTATAGATTTTGTTAATCTGCGGATTACACTGAAAAAGAAGAGCAAAAAAAACCCTAAGGCGACGGCGATGGCGATTTTCAAGATCTACAGATGATTTTCGAAGCGGAGTCTGATTGCGGTACTCAGTTTTCTTTATCGGTTCTCTGACGGTGCACTAAAGTAGATTTCGATGGTTCCTATGGAGATTTAATTCGATCGGAGGGATATTGTGAGAAATCTGGTGGATCTGGCGGTTTAAAGCGGGTTGAGGGTTTAGATGGACGAGATACGATTCAAACTACGGATTTGATCCGATCTGCTTTGATTCGGGAAGAGAATTTGGGAAGCGTATCGTATCCCTGCAAATCGGATTCTAGGGAGATGGGGATGAGATTTCACGAATCCTATTTTGGGAAAGAGGAAGTAATTCCTGAGAAACAAAAGGAAAGTGGAAACAGCTAGTCTATCACGGTTTGGAAACAAGATCGACGAAATGACTCCATGGGTCCCCAGTCGATTCGATTACAGATCATATTCCGGGTAATTATTTCAAGCTTTTTGTTTTGGGTTTTTTCTTCAGAAACTATTGGGAAGATTGCGGATATTGTGAGGGATTTGATTGGTGATTTTACGGGGTTCGGAATACAGAGAATTGATGGGCGGCTCCACTATAAAACCATACTCGAACTTTGTGTTAATTCACATTCACTTGCTCGGATTTACGATTTTTGCTTGGCCATTTTTTGTTTCTTTCACACTTGTGTTAACGCAATTCTGTGCTTTCGCTCTTGTGTCCAAGGATCTAAGATGGCTCAAGGAAGTTTAGTCGGTGGTGGAGGGTCAAACAACTGTGACAAGAAACCAGGGGCCCGCCTCAAGATCACGGTTCCACGGTTTGATAACACAGCGTTGATTAGAGGCTATTCCTGCACTCTAATCGGAAGGTGTATGAACCCGGCGGCCCAGGACGTGCAAGCGTTGCTGCAACACATGCCTCGCTTCTGGAAGATGGAGGAGAGAGTCGCCGGAGCAGAATTGGGATTGGGGAGGTTCCAATTCGACTTCGACAATGAGGAGGATATCATCGAGGTGTTTAAGCTGGAACCTTTCTACTTTGACTACTGGATGGTATCCCTGGTGAGATGGGAACCGGTGGTGGATCCAACCTACCCTTCTGCGATCAAATTTTGGGTGCGTATGATGGGGATCCCGCTTCACTTCTGGGCTGAACCCACGTTCAGAAGTATTGGGGAAGCTCTCAGTGAAGTTTTGGAGGTGGATATCGATGGTGGTCCGGTGAAAGTGTGCCTAGATGGGTACAAACCTCTCATCTTTGACACTACGGTGGAATTCCACAGTGGAGAGGAGACTCTAGTGACTCTCAGGTATTAGCGTCTCTTTGGCTTCTGCCGGGAATGCTTCAGCCTCTGCCATGACGTGAGCCAGTGTCCGGTGCTACGGAGAGCTAGAGAAGAGCGGGACAATCAAAGGCGGAGAGACGAGAAGCCGGATGGTTGATCACGGGATCAGGTCTTCCCTTTTCCTATCCCTGATTCTGCAAGTGCACAGGTCAGAAGTAGTAAACGGGTATCGAACACGAGGACCAGATTGCACACTACAAACTATAAGATTGAGATCGAGCTAGGGCAAAAGTATAAGTTGGTTGAGTGCAAGAAAGTAAAGCATGCAAGTAATAAAAGAATGAAATCAATAGGAGAGAAAGGCTAAGCAATAGGATAGTCTTAAGATAAGCAATTCATGAAGCAATGAAATCAATCAATTAGGGTTACTGCAATTAGGTGCCAATCTAGAACTTGAAACACTATGGTATGATCATTCCACTGTCGAGGCTCCGACCCCTTTGTTAATCTACCTAGTCGCTAAACTTTTGGTATGTCCCTAGGTGATTAAATCAAGCATTAGTTCGATTAAGTTCAATTGTTCACAACCTACAAGTAAATCAACTTTCGCAGTCTAAAAGAGTTGCCCACCAAATACTAGTTCAGGCGAATGATACAGCACTTTCGAGGCTCAAATCAACCTAGATCATATGCTAATTGGCCAGATTAACAACAAGCATTAAGTATAAGCAAAGATGGAGATTATAAGTAAAACCCTAATTGTGATCGATCATCAAGCATACATGAATGCTATCCTTTGACTTCCTATCACTTAACAAGTAAACTACTCAGACATAGAGAAGGAACACGAATTCATATTCATAAGAACAGAGATTCGAATCCTCTCTAGAAAGAGAACAAGCAAGAACAAAGTAAAAGCAAGCAAAACTTTATTAAAGATGTAAAATATTGTGGTCTCTCTCCTTCTTGAGTTACAAGGCTAAAAAGAAGTATTTATAATGCACTAAGTATGAAAAAGCGGCTAGACCTAATCTAGCTAAGTCGGCGCCGGCTTTGGGCTTGAATTGTGCGGATTGGGCTTCAAAAACGGCTTCGGGTCGACCGTTCGGACGTTCGGACGGTCGGTCGGGACGGTCGGCCGGACATCGGGTCTGGCCGTCGGGTCGGAACGGTCGTGGCCGGATGTTTCGTGGTCGGCCGGCTGTGGTCGGACGGATGAAGATTTGGCCGATGTTTCTCGGCCGGACGTGGGACGTCTTTCCCGGCTCGGACGGCGCATCGGCCGTGGTACGTGAGGGTTGCGCGGCCGCGAGGGTTGCTTCCCGGCTCGCGCGGCATGGTCGTGCGCGGCGTCGTGAGTGGTTGTGGCTTGGCCGACCGCGGGACATGTTTCCCGGGTCGTGATGTGATCGGCCGAGCTTGGACGGACGGTTGGACTTTGGCCGAGCGCGGAACATTCGTTCCTCGGCCAGCCGGTCTGCACGGCTTGGCGCTGATTCTCGATAGAGCCGTCTGGACAGTCTTCACTCTTTTGGCTATAACTCCTTTTCTACTCATCCAAATGAGGCCGTTCCACTTGCGTTGGAAAGTTAACTCAATCAGAGCACGCAGGGAACTGGTCTTGATGAAATCCATTGAGTAGATCTTTTTTAGCTCCATCCAAAGTTGATGCAGTGGCATTGAACTGGTTTGAAGTCCAAATCCTCTGTTTTGCTCCATAATGCACCTTTTTACCTAAAATGACTCTTTGCAGTATAAATCCATAAAAACTACCTTTTAACACAAGAATCCACTAGAAAACCATTAGAAAACCATAGTAAAATAGCATAAAAAGTATGTAAAATAGAGGTATATCAATGGTGGTGCCCAGAGTTACAAAGGTGTCGTGATTAACGGACCGGCGGACAATGGGAATGTGAGACAAGCTCATACCACTAATGGAGGAGACCAAAAGGGGAAGGGAAAGGTCGAGGAGATAAGGGAGGAAAGGGGAAAGAGACAGATGACATTCAGGGGAAATGGAAAGCATGGTGGCGAGAGCTCTGGCTCACAGCGGAAACAGACGGGTATGTTCCTCTTGAACAGCGAAAGCGGATTAACAGGCCGACGACTTTAAAGAATACAGCGGCTCCGGCAATCTTCCAGGCAGTGACAAGCGCCAAGGGAAACGACCCGAGTCCCAGTCACCATTCGGCAAAGAAAGTAAGGAAAGCCCTTGATTTTAATGTGGTTGTGGCAGGCTCAGATGAGGCGGGAGATAACATGGAGCATGTGGTGAATGATAAGGTGGATAATCTCCCAATGGGGGATGAAAAAATGGTGAATGAGCCGGCTGGTCTAGAGGAGGGAGAAGAGGGTGAACTCTGGTGGAATGAGGTGCTTGAGGAGGAGGCAGGAGAGATGATAGCGGAGGAGGACGAGAATCAGTTGGAGACGCAGGACAGTAATGATGTGCAGATGGAGGGGAATGAAAACGTGGGAACCACACTTGCGGTTGAACAATTTGTCGAGGTGGAAGCCAAGGAGGTGGGGAAGGGTAACCACGGAGGGAGGAAAGTGGGAATTAAGAAAAAGGCAGTTCGATCCAATGTAGGTATGGGAGGAGGTCCTCTGAGACGGATGGTTCATGGTGCAAAAACACCTAGGAAGAAGACGACTGCGAAAGAGTCTCAGCGTCTCGGAGAGAAGATGGCGGGAAAGGAAAAAGGGCCGGAGAAAGACCCATCGAAGGGGTCCGGGACTGATCTTAAAGCGATTTGATGAGAGTACTCAGCTGGAATTGCCAGGGACTGATATACCTCTATTTTACCTACTTTTTATGCTATTTTACTATGGTTTTCTAATGGTTTTCTAGTGGATTCTTGTGTTAAAAGGTAGTTTTTATGGATTTATAGTGCAAAGAGTCATTTTAGGTAAAAAGGTGCATTATGGAGCAAAACAGGAGATTTGGACTCTAAACCAGTTCAATGCCCCTGCATCAACTTTGGATGGAGCTAGAAAAAGATCTACTCAATGGATTTCATCAAGACCAGTTCCCTGCGTGCTCTGATTGAGTTAACTTTCCAACGCAACTGGAACGGCCTCATTTGGATGAGTAGAAAAGGAGTTATAGCCAAAAGAGTGAAGACTGCTCCAGACGGCTATATCGAGAATCAGCGCCCGAACGCGCAGTCCGGCTGGCCGAGGAACGAATGTTCCGCGCTCGGCCAAAACCGTCCGTCCGACTGAAGTCTCGGCCAAAGTCCAAACCACTCGGCCGATCACGCATCACGACCCGGGAAACAAGCCCGCGGTCGGCCAAGCCACAACGCCACGCCGCGCACGACCAGCGCGCGAGCCGGGAAGTAACGCCTCGCGGCCGCGCAACTCCTCGCGTACCGGCCGACGCTCCGTCCGAGCCGGGAAACTCCCGCGTCCGGCCGAAACCATCGGCCAATTCTATCCGTCCGACCACGCCGGCCGACCGTCATAACATCCGGCCACGACCGTTCCGACTCGGCCAAGACCCGACTGTCCGGCCGACCGTCCCGACCGACCGTCCGAACGCCGCGGTCGACCCGAAGCCGTTTTTGAAGCCCAATCCGCACAATTCAAGCCCAAAGCCGGCGCCGACCTAGCTAGATTAGGTTTAGCCGCTTTTCATACTTAGAGCATTATAAATACTTCTTTTTAGCCTTGTAACTCAAGAAGGAGAGAGACCACAATCTATTTTACATCTTAATAAAGTTTTGCTTGCTTTTACTTTGTTCTTGCTTGTTACTCTTTCTAGAGAGGATTCGAATCTCTGTTCTTATGAATATGAATTCGTGTTCCTTCTCTATGTCTGAGTAGTTTACTTGTTAAGTGATAGGAAGTCAAAGGATAGCATTCATGTATGCTTGATGATTGATCACAATTAGGGTTTTACTTATAATCTCCATCTTTGCTTATACTTAATGCTTGTTGTTAATCTGGCCAATTAGCATATGCCTTTAGGTTGATTTGAGCCTCGACAGTGCTGTATCATTCGCCTGAACTAGTATTTGGTGGGCAATCTCTTTTAGACTGCGACAGTTGATCTACTTGTAGGTTGTGAACAATTGATCTTGATCGAACTAATGCTTGATTTAATCACCTAGGGACATACCAAAAGTTTAGCGACTAGGTAGATTAACAAAGGGGTCGGAGCCTCGACAGTGGAATGATCATACCATAGTGTTTCAAGTTCTAGATTAGCACCTAAGTGCGGTAACCCTAATTGATTGATTTCATGCTTCTTGAATTGCTTATCTCAAGACTATCCTATTGCTTAGCCTTTCTCTCCTATTGAATTCTTACTTTTATTACTTGCATGCTTTACTTTCTCTGCACTCAACCAACTTATACTTTTGCCCTAGCTTGATCTCAAACTCATAACTTGTAGTGTGCAATCTGGTCCTTGTGTTCGATACCCGTTTACTACTTCTGACCTGTGCACTTGCAGAATCAGGGATAGGAAAGGGGAAGACCTGATCCCGCGATCAGGGACTTGGCAATAGGTTCACAATAAGCTATCTTCGGGAAGTCTGGTGGAAATTTCGTCCGGAGTTTTTCTTTCTTTCTGAAATTAAGCAAGATTTTAATTTTCTGCAACAATTTCAATTTCATTTTGGCTTTGATAATTTGTTTACGGTTTACCCATGTGGCACAAGTGGTGGTCTAGCCTTATTTTATAATAATAATTTTAATGTTTCAATTCTTACTTCTTCCAAGAATTTGATAGACACACAAGTAACTATTGATGGAAAAATTATGTTTATGTCTTTTGTGTATGGAAACCCAGTTCCGAAATTGAGAGACTATTTATGGGAAAATTTAACTAGAATAGGCATTTCACGGACTGAACCTTTGTTTTTGATTGGAGATTTTAACGAAATTACGGGGAATCACGAGAAACAGGGAGGTGCAATTCGGTATGCTTCGACGTTCATGTCTTTTAATCTAATGATTGATGACTGCGGGTTAGTAGATTTCCCGACTCAAGGAAACAAATTATCATGGCGAGGGAAGAGATGGGGGAAAATAGGACGGTGTCGATTAGATAGAGCTTTGGCATCAGAAGATTAGCATGACATTTTCCCTAAATCACATGTGGAATATCTTAAAATGATAGGGTCCGACCACCGGCCGATCTTGGCGACTATCGATAACAAGATTTCTAAAGCGAGGCGGCAATTCCGGTTGGATAAACGATGGCTTAAACAAGAAGGATTTGCGGAGGCAATCAGAAAAGGGTGGCTAGATACTCGGATGAATGGAGAATCAAAGGTGGTCGATAGAATTCGAAAATGCCGGCATGAGATTTCCCAATGGCGACATAAAAACAAACCATATGGAAAGGAAAAAATAGCAGATTTACAGAAAGCTTTAGAAGATATCCAGAATGATGATTCCCGCACTCAAGAGGAGTTAGATGAGATTACACAAAAGCTAAAAGAAGCTTATCGCGATGAAGAACAATACTGGAAACAAAAGAGCCGGAATCTTTGGCTAAAGGACGGTAATTTGAATACAAAATTTTACCATGCCACCACAAAGCAGAGGAGGGCAATCAACAGACTGGTCGGATTACATGACAAAAGAGATACTTGGGTTACATGAGAAAAAGAGATGGAGAAGGTGGCGGTGGATTATTTTTCGGAATTATTTACCACAACCTCTCCTGACGACTTTACGGACATACTTGAAGGAATTCCAGCGGTAATCACAGAAACAGATAATGTCATCCTCACGAGACCGGCATCGGAGGAGGAAGTGAGAACAGCTCTCTGTTTTTGATGAATCCAGAGAAAGCTCCAGGACCAGACGGGATGACGGCTCTGTTTTTCCAAAGATTATGGCCGCTAATCAAAACGGATATTATAGGCCTTATTAATGAATTTTTGACATCGGGAGTCTTTGACGATAGACTAAATATGACGAATATATGCTTAATTCCAAAGACGGAGCGACCAACCCGGATGACAGAATTAAGGCCCATTAGCCTCTGTAATGTGGGTTATAAGATCATATCAAAAGTTTTATGTGAGCGGTTGAAAAAGGTATTGTCCCAATTGATCTCGGAAACTCAGTCCGCCTTCGTCCCAGGGAGACTGATTTCATATAATATTCTTATAGCACAAGAAATGTTTCACGGTTTACAGACTAATAAGTCATGTAAGGGAAAATATATGGCAGTCAAAACTGATATGAGTAAAGCGTATGATCGTGTTGAGTGGCAATTTGTTGAAGCCACTATGCGCAAAATGGGGTTCGGAGAATGATGGATTGGATGGATCATGCGGTGTATCAGGTTGGTGGAATACAAGGTGCTCATCAATGGACAACCGCGGGGAAAAGTTATTCCGAATAGGGGATTACGTCAAGGGGACCCGCTCTCCCCCTTCATTTTTATTCTCTGCACAGAAGTTTTGATATCTAATCTAAAACGGGCGGAATCAGTTAAATCTCTGACGGGGCTTAAGGTTGCACGCGCAAGCCCGCCTGTCTCACATCTCCTATTTGCGGATGATAGTTTGTTCTTTTGTAAGGCGACAGTTGAGGAGAGTGGGGTTTTGCTGAAGATACTCCAAGATTATGAACGTGCATCAGGACAAAATTTTTTTTTTGATAAATCCTCTATCCAATTTGGCCACACGGTGGAGACACAAGTATGTTCGGAGATTCACCAGATAATGGGGATACATAAGGTGGGGGGAGTTGGTAATTATTTGGGTATTCCAGAGAGTCTGGGAGGCGCTAAAACAAAAATTTTTAGTTTCTTAATTGATCGACAGCAAAAGCGAATAAACGGTTGGACATCCAAGGTTCTCTCTAAAGGGGGAAAAGAAGTGATGGTAAAATCAGTCCTTTCGGCGATGCCAACGCATGTCATGTCATGTTTTCGGCTACCCAAGGGAGTCACAAATAAACTGACAAGTGCGGTGGCAAATTTTTGGTGGAGCACAAATTCCCAAACACGAGGGATGCATTGGCTCGCGTGGAGGAAGTTGTGTCGCCACAAATCAGATGGGGGACTAGGGTTTAGAGTAATAGAAGACTTTAACACGGCTTTACTTGCAAAACAATTATGGCGGTTAATGGAGAATCCGGAATCACTGTTTGCAAAAGTTTTCAAGGGGCGATATTTTCGGAATTCTTCCCCCTTGGACCCGATTCGATCTTACTCTCCGTCATATGGATGGCAGAGTATTGTTTCGGCTCGACCTCTGGTATACAAAGGACTTATTAAAAGAGTTGGCTGGGTTCATCCATCTCCATATGGTATGACCCCTGGATTTCCGAATCTTGCCCGAGGCCAGCTATTTGCAAAGGAATTAATTACTATCCTCATCTGACGGTGAATCAGTTAATTCTCAGACATCAACGTGGAATCGTCCACTATTGCGACAACTGTTCGAGAACGAGGAAATTACTCGCATTACAAGTATCCCGGTGGCAACTGGATACAAACCTGATACCTGGGGGTGGTACTTCACACCAACGAGTCGTTAAACGGTTAAGTCGGGATACAGTGTCTTGCAAGACCTCTCAGATGAGAGGGCCCCACCAGTCTTTGGACCGGACGTCCGGAGACTGCCAGCACAATCATGGAAAGTCAAATGTACTATGAAGCTTCAACATTTTATGTGGCTGATCATTAGTGGTTGTTTATCGGTTGGGGCCCGTGTATGCAGTTGGGGAATGCGAGTGGACCCGCAATGTGTGCGATGTGGAATGGGAGATGAGACAATAAATCATATGCTCTTCGAGTGCCCCCCGGCTCGCCAGGCTTGGGCCCTCTCACCCATTCTAACGCATCCCCAGTTCTTCCCTACAGGTGCACTTTTCTCAAATATGGCTCATCTATTCTGGAATCTCCCAGACAATGATGATATGTTGATGTTTCCATGGTTGCTCTGGTTCATTTGGAAAGCCTATAATTACAAAGTTTTCTCATAGTCCGATGGATGTAATGGAATCCGCGGTAACGGAAGCACGTGCATGGGCTGCGGCTCAAACGGTAGCTGAACGGGTGCACTTCGATATCTCCGCAGGCCCGTCCTGTTGGGCGAGTGGTGTCAGATTGATGGTGCATGGAAAGCAACGGAGCCTCAGGCAGGACTTGGGTGGTATTATTTTGATCCGGAATCGGGCTCAATATTGGTGGGATCCAGCAATATTAGGCGGGGTTTATCTCCCCTACAGACGGAATTGGAGGCTTTAGTTTGGGCTATGCAAAGTATGTTAGCCCATAACAAACAACGGATGAATTTCCAAACAGACTGTGCTCAGTTGGTGAAGATGGTGTCCAAACCGGCAGAGTGGCCAGCTTTTGAGATTTTGCTTGAAGAAATGGAGAAATGCAGAAGAATGTTCCAGGCGTTCTCCCTTACACACATCCCCAGATCACAAAACACGAAGGCAGACAAGTTAGCACGGAGTGCTCGAGATCAGCCTCATAATGTGTACTACATCAACTCAATTCCACCGGCTCGCTCGTGCTCCCGTGCCGTTGTAGGAATTTAGGCTGTTGACAAAAAAAAAAAAAAAAAAGATTTTGTTAATCTGCGAAAATGTTAAACATACACATCAAATTTTTGTTTGTCTACAGAATTGAAATATATTTATTAAAAAGTAATTCATGTAGAAAAAATCAAAGTACATGTGTTGGCAAACAGAAAACAAAAATCCCGCAGCTTGAAAACAAAGAAAACTACATAAAAATTCCAAAATATTTTAATGTACATGATTTGATGATCTACATGAATTTCCAAATAATGTATCCCAACAGTTATTTTAAAAATCTTGATTTTACTGCACAATAAATTTATGGAATAGGTAATGAACTATTTATTTCCTACATAAAACGAAGATCTTTAATATGCTGAAACCAAATCCTCATCAAATCAACGAAAGAAGATGATGTTCTTACTAGCATAACTAGTCAATGAAACGGAATAACTGACACACTACTATACTTGAATCGTGAGTTAAGTTATACCTAAGTATTGTACAACATATTATTTTTTTATTCCAAAAAAGAAATTATAAAACTTACCCTTACTATATATTCGGAAAATGAAGTATTTGTGTATATTAACTATTACACAGTACACATGTGTGCCACATTGGTTTGTTCAAGTAAAAAAGACTTGCTATATAGGTTTAGGCTAGTCTGTCAGAGAACAAACCCTACTACTTGTAAGAAATGTTGAGGTAATTCTCTTCGCCATGTAAAGGTTTATGTGACAAAAATGTTTCATTTTCTAAGAAAATTGAAGATTAGTTTGGGTTTTTATGGATTCCGAATCTTAACCGGTTTATAAATAAAATAAACTATTATAGGAACAATTAATGAGGTCGCAGTTGTGTTTGGACGTGATAGTGAACAAACGGCGGATGTCAATTATCCACACAGTGTAGAAAGAGATTCGAATTATGTGAGAGGACATGGAAAAGTAGTTTGGTTGATAAGAAAAAGAAAGGGAAGAAGAGAAAAGAACAAACAAAACAAATAAAGAAGAAAAAGGTCCAATGGGTGAGGAGAGGCTACCAAGGCACAGCAAAGGTCAAGATAAGTAGGTTTAAAGAATCAAAAGTTTTCTGAAACTTCAAAATTTTAAACACTAAATATAAAAATCAAAAGAGAAATATTTCAGATGTCCTCCCCATGCACTGAGGAGCTACTTCACTTTTCTTTTCTTTTTTTTTTTTTTTTTTTTTTTTTTTTTTTTTTTTTTTTTTTTCTTAAAGGAGAAAAACCAAAAGAAACACAATAACTCGAAGAATCTTTTGTTGGGATGCTGCCACCATCCCGATAATTCTTCCATTTTGTACATCTAAATACATATATTTTTTTTTTTTCAAACAGAGATATAAATGTTCTCTGTAGCTAATTTTGTTTTAGTGTCAATGAAGATGTAATTACTCAATGAGAGAAAAGGTGTTACACTATTATCAAAATAAATTTTATTAAACAATACTGGTATCAAAATATTTGTTCTCTTGCTTAATAATATGCTCTTTTTTGTTTCATTAAGATAAACAAGGTGGTTGTCCCGCACCTTGTGCGGGTACAATATTTTTTAAATACAATTATTAATTAAAGATTTAAATAATATAAGTAGTACAACTTTTTATTGTATTCATCGTTTTTGTTTTCGCAAACTTCTTATTTTTGTAATCTTGAGGTGTCTTATTTTTATCTTCTCTTTCTTGTTCTTCTACGTAATATTCTTCATTTGTTTTGGAATTTTCTTCACATTCCATTATTTCTTCTTTCCTTTCTTTTTCCTCATGTTCGACTTTTCTTTTTCTTTTCTAAATTTTTCATCTTCTTTTTCACTGTTTTCTTTTCTTTTACTTATGTATCTATTATGTCTTGTTTGTGTCTTGCATATCACCTACCAATTCATTTCGATAGTTAAAATTTTCAATATTTTTGAAATAGATTCTATCTTTATATAGTTGAAGTCTTTTAAAAATTTATTAGTTTTGTTATCTTTCAATTCTGGATTTTCTTTAGTTGTTTTAGTTTTTTTTTCTATTTGTGAATGTAATTTTGAAAGTAGATATAAATTTCAAATAAATGATTTTTTTATTATGAAATTCTTCTATAATAATTCAAGTTTTTTTAAAATACACCAAAAACTAAACCCTACCCCATCAATATAAACCCTACACCCTAAACCCAAATGTAACAACCCTAAATAACCCAAACACCACATTATTAATGATTAAGCAAATATTATGGATATTAAAAAAAAAATCGTTATAGATTCGCCATTAGAATTAGGGTTTCATGAATATTAAGATGGTAATTAAAAGATAGATGTTCATACCTTCTTTTGCTGGAGTTGAATATTTCTCGCTTGGGACCAAATCTGATCTTCTAGATTCCATTAGCTTGGAACTCACTGTTACAAAAGCGAGAGAAGAAGAAGTTAGAAGCGTATATGTAGATGATTGACAGTAGATAACAAATAATCAGTTAATCATTACAGTAAATAGAACTTAAATCAAAGTGAAACAATAAAGATACATGAGAAGAAGAAATATGAGACCTAAGAAGTAAGATTACGTATAGAAAGAAGATATGCAAATCGTAATGAGAATTGGGTTGATTTTGCTTGTAGCTATAACTATATATAAGACAGAGTCGGCTAACAAACCTAGGTTTTCCAATTTTTAATTCTTTACAATTTTTTTAATTTCTTCCATATATGTGGCGCGAAAATATGTTAGTTATACGGTATATATCCAAAAATAATTTAGGAAGAAAGCAAAATTCGTTATCCATCGTCCAATAAAATAATTCGTTTTTAAATAAGATAATAAGCAAATTGAAAGATTTATTTCAAGATTTTCATTAAGGGTAGTTATGTAATTCCGAGGCTGAGAGTTAACGTGGTGGCTCCATTCACGAAAATTGATTTGCAAATACTAATATGATTTAGATATAAGTAGAATTTTTACATATAATTTCCTTCCTTCTTTTTATTCTGTTCATCTATCAATGCAAATAGTATTACTAAACAAGAAAGAAATAAGTGTTCTAAAAAAGAAAATATCGTGTTATGAATTTGGTCGAAGTGTGTTTTGTTCGGTATTTCTACAAAAGAAATGCTAAGAGTTTATCGTGATTATGCCAAGATCGATTTATACTATGGTTTACAAATGTAACTAGACACAAAATACAGTCAAACACATACTCCTTCTGTTTCAAAATAGTTGTCAGTCTAGAATTACCTTTCTTTTTTCAAATAAGGTGTCATTTCCAATTTTTAATATATATATTTAGGTTTCAAATACCAAATTTATCCACAAATTTTATAAAGAATATTAAAAATCAATTTTTTTGTAGGATATAACATAAGTTTTAATATGTTTTTTTTTTTAAATATGTGAAACAAAATGACAATTACTTTGAAATGGTAGAACAAAATTATTGTAACAACATACCAATCGGTAGAGAACTTGGATCTTTAATAGAAGGAACAACAACTTTTTTATAAAAAAAAATTGAAGGAACCACAAAAAAAAATTCATTATCAAAAAAAAAATGTTGTGGGATATAATAATAATTCACGCGGAGAGTGTACTATGTGTGCTAGCTAAATTAATTTGGTTGCACAAAAAAACAAAAAGAAGAATTTTAAAAAATAGATTTTCACCTTTTTTAAAATAATAAGAAGTTTTTTAAAAAAATATTGTATTGTTTAGTGCTACTGGGTGATACAACAACGATACTAGCATAACGCGTGTTTTGCCTTTGGAAGAAAAAAAGAAAAAATCAGATCAGTCCCGATATTTTCCTTTTTGTAAATACACCAATCATGGCTTGTTTGATGCAACTAGACAACTAGCAACTTGTTATAGAACATATCTAGTCGTAAAATAGGCAAAATGCAAATGCTTCTCTAGACTCGATACAATGATCTAAACGTTTCTCCATCATTTTTCATACATAATGAATGTCAATAATTGTTTTGGAAAAGATATCAACATATCAAATCATGATCACATGATGCATGGAAATGCAGTGGCAGCGAATAACCTGCCCACTTCCACCTCCAAATTAAAAAGAAGATTCAAACATATAATTTTATCCTTTCAAGCTTCTCACAAAAGAATAGTTGACTTGTTAAAGAAGGAATCCAAACCCTACATCTACTATACTCCAAAACCTTCGATTCTCTATTTTTAGAAATTTTCACATGAAGCTACATAGATCGCATGAGAAATTAATAAAGTGTACATATTATTTGTGTAAAGAGAATATAGTAAAATGTGTATTGGACAAGAACATACATAAGTGGAGACTGAGAAGAAAACAATGGAACTAGTTGTCGTGGTCCTACATGGATATGCTTTCTGTGTAGTGATGATCTTCACTTCAACTTTGGACTCTTATCTCCGAGTTGCTAACCGCTCCTTATCTCACCTCTCACATCAATGTCTCGATTAAATACAAAACTTATACTTTGCATTTGCAAAAGATATAACAAAATAAAAATGGAATAGTTTTTTACCTTCTTTTTTCGGGTTAGCGTACTTATTTTGGTTATTTGTTTCTATGTTTTCTAATCTTTAACGTGAGATAAGTACTATTACTAAAATAAATAACTAAAATAAGTACTTCTTGATTCTTTATTAATTTTTTTTTTTTTTTTGTTGCTATAATAGTATACTAATTAATAAAGAATCAATAATGTGCTCGAAGGTTATCTATGTTCGTCGCCAATTCCAAAATCTCATCGATTGTGGCCAACCATTGTATAGAAAACAGAACAAAACAAAAGAAACCACAAACCAAGAGGAACTTGGTCCACGTGAGCTTCTACCAAAATAGTGAAGCTTCTTGAAACAAATTGAAAACGAACATGTTGGAACCAATATATTTAATAAATCTCTTTAATTTTAACAAAAAAAATAAATCTCTTTATTCAAACTGAGATTAAATTCTTTGCAATCAAAGGTTTTGCACTTTACTTGATACATAACCTCAAAACAACAACAACAAAAATTATTCGAAATTTTTAAAAGAGATCTCTTAGTTCTGACTAAAACTGTAAATTATTTGAAAATCGATTAATTGGATGTTTAAACATTAGCGAAGTTAATTTATGTATATGCTTTGATTTTTCCACGATTAACATCAATAATGGGTTGTATTAGCTGATTAATTAACTGGTTAGACATCTAGTCTAGTTAATCAGTTCCTTTCACATAATAATAAGCTATACCTCGAGATCCATAATAAATCAACTAGACGTTTAATTAAATCGTTAATCTCGTGTAGAGTAAATTACTAAATTTTGAATTACACCTAACATCTGCTAATATATAGGATTTTGTTTGGTTTTCCTTTTAATCGATCTCCTTATCTTATAAATGCATGAGCACTCACATCAAATCTTTAACATCGTCTACATAATCTTTTTTTTTTTTTTATAATAAAATATTAGTAAATCTTAGGTCTATAAAAGAGCTTAAACTAATCCTTCAAATAAGTGCAGTCCAAAGATATACCACTCATATTGAGTATTTTTGGGTTTGAAAATTACCAACTTTAACTACGTTCATAATTAGAAAGCTCCAGGTTTTTTGGTTTGTTATTTTTTTCAGACTCGAGAACAACTTTTGATAGCGTTTTGGATGAATCCTACATCGTAAATCATATCTCTTTTTTCTTTTTTTTTTTTTTTTTTCTCTAATTAGTTTGTTAGTTCTTTTGGGTTTGAAAATTACTACCATCTACAATTAAAGGTGTGTCACAATATCAAACCGTAAAAAATCATTAAAAATAGAGTCACCAAATTTTGAAATTTTACAAACTTTTCAAGTAATCCAATTTAGACATCCATTTCTTATTCAAACCAATTCCACTTTTGACACATGTGTACACTCCAACATAGTAGTCACTCCAACAATTAAATTGTGCCTAAACCCTCGTAATATTCTCTTTAGGCTCGAGACCAACTTATGATAGTATTTATGGTGAATCATACACTAATAAAAAAAGTGTTAATCTTTAGTCAAAAAAAAAGTGTTAATCATTTCTTTTTAAGTGTAACATCTTGGATTTGAACTCAGATCCCATAATACTAAAGCAACGCACATATGTATCAATTCGGCGCACTTGACTGCCTCCTTTCACTTTTGACAGAGTTTTAATTGATAAACAAATAGAGTTATGGAACCCTGAGTATGAAACCAATTAAACTATCACACACATACATGATGAATTATTATAAAAGTCAGAAAAATAAAGAAAATTATCCGACGAAATATCAACCCAAAAAAAAAAAACTGTAGTCTGACTTAAGTGTAAACGTCCCACCATTGTCCCCTCCACTAACACTCACAGCAACCTTAGCTTTTCCCATAATAATAAAACATCATCTTACACTATACATCCCACTCTCTCCTCTCTTTTGTGCTCCAAAACCAAACATAACACTCACAAACTCAATTCACTCTCTCCTCTCTCTCATCTGTCTTGCTCTCTCTCTCTCTTCTTCATTTCCCTTTTAAATACCCAAACCACCCCCGAGATCAATGGAGACAAAGATGATCATAACTCCCAATTCTTCCTTCAAATCTCAAGCCTTTGTCTCCTCATCATCCTAAAGGTATATGAATTTTCTTTCTTGGTTTTCTTTGGAAATCTGACACCCTCTCTTTCAATGTTCTTGGATTAACCACTCTTTTTTAAAAATTATTCATCTTAGATTGGAGTTTTGATGATTGATCAACAGGTATTAGTATGATAGTAATTAGTAAATAGGTCAAAAAAAAAAAGTATGATATTAAAGACTTTGAAATGGATTTGGTTCAAATATTGCCATTTCTGTGTCAGCAAACTTATTTTCAACTAGTTCTTTGTTTTTTTATTAACTTAGATCAAAAACATTGGATACCCTAAAAGTTAAACTATAAATTTATATACAAACGTCCTCAAAATTGTTTATAGGTTCGTTACAATAAAGTATAAACAAAACTCATACAAAAAAAATTATATATAAACCATCTATAGGTCCCGTCGTTTCCAATTTAGATGCTACTGTTTTTCAAAGAGTCAAGAAATTAGATCTTACTGAATGATATCAGAGAAACAAAAGAGTATCATGTTTTTAAGAATTAATATAATTACTAGCAGGATATAATTATTTAGATTATAGATCTGCTTTCATAAGTAAGCTGATTTTGCTGTCGGTGATCTTTTCACTATATATCTGTTTGTCTGTTTTTTTGCTTGTTGCTTTGTGTGTGTATGTTTGTTTGTCTGTTTTTTTTTGTCGCTTTGCGTATGAGTTTTAAATTTTATTTTAAAGTTTTCAGTATCAGAATTCAGAAGTATTAATTGTTTGGATCGCAATTATAATGTGATGATTTGGAAATTTAAACTCGCTAGATTTTGTAATTTATAGAAAAGTGTTCGGAAATTTAATTTAGTTATTACTTTTAGTTTAGTGAAAGATTGAAGTATTTTAATTAGTTTAGAGTTGACTGCTTGATGGATGTGCCAGTACTAAATTTGGCACTTCTGATGTTGTCTACTCATTGACTCACTAGGACCATTTATAGTCACACCAATGTTTCCCCCACTTGTTTGTTCCTTTAATAATTTATTGAAATATGTATTTTAAAATATTTTGATGAAATTATGGACTTTGTTTTGACAGAACTAATTGTGGTATCTTAAAATTATTACTTTTCTGTATACTTCTCAATTGTTACTTATCTAAACAATTTTAACATATATTTTTTTTTCATGCAGAAGAAAAAAGAAACCGTCAATTTTTCTGCAAGAATCATGAGACCGATCTTAGACCTCGAAATTGAAGCTTCATCGGAACATGATCATTCAGACAGTACCAATAGCCAAGTTGCCTCAAACTTGTCTCCCGTTGGAGACGATTACAAACCCATCTCTTTGAATCTTAGCCTATGTTTCAACAACAACAACAACAACAACAACAATTTGGATCTTGAATCATCGTCTTTGACGCTGCCACTTTCAAGCACGAGCGAGAGTAGTAACCCGGATCAGCAGCAACAACAACCTTCTGTATCGAAGAGAGTCTTCTCTTGTAACTACTGCCAAAGGAAGTTTTATAGCTCTCAAGCACTTGGTGGTCACCAAAACGCTCACAAACGAGAGAGAACACTCGCGAAACGTGCAATGCGTATGGGTCTCGCTGGGGTTTTCCCTAGCAGAGGATCCAGTAGTAGTAGCTACGCGGCTGCTGCAACAGCAGCCGCTCTTTCGTGTCTACCGCTGCACGGAAGTGGAAATGGTAACATGACATCATTCAGGACTCTAGGAATCCGGGCGCATGCGTCGTCCCACGACTTCGGCATTGCAAGGCCGACACCAGAAACTATTATAAGGAACATTGCCAGGTTTAACCAGGGGTATTTCAGTAATTGTGTACCTTTTTATGTGGAGGAAGAGGAGGCCGAGCTGCTCTGGCCGGGAAGTTTCAGGCAAGCGGCGGATGCGGTTGCCGCTGGAGCGGGTGACGATGACTTAGGTGAAAGTAAAGTGGATTTCTTGGAGGTCAGACAAGTGGTGGATATGGAGAATTCTCTTCCAGATCTAACCTTGAAGCTTTAAGCTATCTTTGTCTTTGCTTTTAATTTTTTTTTGAGTTGGATTCTTAATTTGGTTTCATGAGCTTCATATATAACTCTATTATGTACAGTGAGAGTTTCACAAACCATCTATCTATCTATTCCAATATTATAGGGTTACACTCTTTCTCATTCTGTGAGACTGCCATGTGTTATTCTAAATTTTTGCTAAGTGTCTAATTTTTAGTTCAACATCAATAACTTTTCAAGTTAAAATTTTTTATCAAGCAAACATTTACTTAATATAAATTAAACAATCAAATAATAATAATAATAATAATAATAATATTAATATTATAGGGTTACACTCGTTCTCATTCTCTGAAAGAGTGCCATGTGTCACTCTAAATTTTTGCTAAGTGTCTCTTTTTAGTTCAACATCAATAACTTTTCAAGTTAAGTTTTTTTATCAAGCAAATATTTACTTAATATATATTAAACAATCAAACAATGTTTAATTCATACAAAAATATGTAGATGCAATATAATAATATATATTTCTTAAACAAAACATTACGTAAATAATTTGATATTTTACTATTCAAATGATGTCCAGTAAAGACATACAATTAACACCACATAAAATTAATTAAATCATACATAAAAAACTCCTCTCAAACAAATTTAATAATGCAAATATATATATTTCTAAAAACTATACAGTTAAACCACATTCAGTTCCTGCAAATATATATAAATCTTACATGTAATATATATGTATATTATTCTAAGACAAAAAATAATATAAAGATAATTGAATGTGGTTTGCATAGTAAAATATCAAATACTTGTATCAAATACTTGTATCTTGTTTTTCTTAAAGAAAAAATGATTCATATATATTACATGAAAGATTTACATATGTATGTATGAATTGAATATAATTTAATTATGTAGTTTATATATGAAATAAATATTTGCATTACTATTCTATGAGAAAATTAAGTTTTATATTTTTAATTAACTTTAATTTTATTTTCTGTTAATTTTTTTTGCTTGGAATTTAGTTAACTGTTATAAATTGGTAGTTATGAGAATTTAATTTAATTAATTGTTTTACTGAGGTTATGGGATAAAATGTTTAAAATTAATGAGTTAATAATAATAATGATTATTTAGTGTGAAACTCAAGTTGTAAATGTATGAATTTGTGATTGTAATTTGATAAATGTTTTTCCTAGATATCATTTAAATAGTAAAATGTCAAATACTGTTATATTATTTTTGTCTTAGAATAATATACATATATATATTACATGTAAGATTTACATAAGTATTTGCAGGAACTGAATGTGGTTTAACTGTATTGTTTATAGAAATATATATATTTGCAGTTTTCTATGTATGATTTAATCAATTTTATGTGGTGTTAATTTTATATATTTATTGGACATCATTTGGATAGTAAAATATCAAATTATTTACATAATATTTGCAGGAACTGAATGTGGTTTAACTGTATAGTTTATAGAAATATATATTTACAGTTTTCTATGTATGATTTAATTTATTTTATGTGGTGTTAATTGTAAATTTATTTGACATCATTTGGATAGTAAAATATCAAAGAGAATTGATTTGGCTACATAGGTTAACAAAGTGCACTTACCTTTTCGATCAGAGGCCCATAAGTAACTCCAAAGTTAAGCGTGCTTGGGCTGGAGTAGTGGAATGATAGGTTACCTTCCGGGAAGTGATTTCCGAAACTGTGTAATTGAGGCCAAAACACAGAAAAAGTTCGGGTGGTGATTGCAGGGACAGTAAACAAGTCTCTAAAGCCCCTCAAAAATAACTAACCAACCGTTAGGCAGGGGTGGGGCCCACATGCCGAGAGAGGCGTGAGTGATTCATTGCAATGGGCGGTCGGGGCGTTACATTGCAGCTCACAGTGTGGTGAGTCTGGGCTTTCGAGAGTTACGGGTAACTCGAAGGACAATGACGAAGTACTCCTGACGGGATCGAAGTCAAGTAATGACAGTAGGTTCACCATAGAAAGAGTCAACGGATCTTATAGGTTTGAGTTCAAAAGTACTGAAATTGGTATATATGAGGCTGGCTTTCGCGAATGTAGATTGAAACTATGGAAGATATTATTAGAGAAAGAAGATATCATAGACGATCACAGTCTTTGATGAGATCAAATCACTCAAATCATATATTCACATTCATTGTAAAGATATTGAGTTACCTTTTCCTGTATAGTCATTTAGAAATCATTCCGCCATCAGGTTGATACTTGAGGCGGAAAATCCATTTGTTGTCGATGATGTTCATGATTGGGGAAGGTGGAACAAGATCCCAAGTTTGATGTCGGACTTGAGCATCAGATCCCTCTGAGGCTCGCCAAACTTTGTGCTTCAAGGCTTCATCTCGGTTCAGATTTTTTGCCATTGTGTAGAAGAGAAAACAGACTGTATCGCGTATTAGGTTTGAAAATGTTGTTCTTTGCTCGGGTTTGCATATGGTGGGAAAATTTGAATGATTTTGGTGGTGGAGAGGGAGAATTAGCAGCATCAGCGGCAATTGACAAGGACGACGATGAGTCTATTGATGATAGAGAGTTGTTGTCGGGCTCAAGAGAAGCTGGGTTGAAGATTGATTTGGCCGTAGTTGAAGAGTTATCAGATGGACCTGTATTAAAAGGCCCACTATTGTTAAAATTTCTGGGCTCAATCTCATGTGAGTTGGATGTGTTGGTGGTGTGCGACGGTGTCATGTAATTCTCAGAACGATGATGGCTGGAACCCAATGAGCCTGAGGATTGTGTCACCGGGGAGGATGGCGGTGAGAAAGTCTTCCGAGGTGTGAGCGTTCTAAGTGGAGAATCGGAGGTCAGAGTTCGAAGATCCCAAAGACGCCGAGGGAGGCAAGGGAGCTGGTATGACTGGCGGCTGAGGAAGTGGGACTTGGGTTGCAGTTGGGAAGAAAGGAGAAGAACTTTCAGAAGGAGGATTTGCGGTGGATTAGGTAATTGATTTAAATGGGAAGATTGATTCCTTAAAATGCACATGCCGAGAAATGTACATGCGATTTGTCTGAGGTTGCCAACAGAGGTAAGCACTTTGGGTGAGAGAGTAACCAAAGAAAACACGGAGAACATAACGAGGGTTGAGCTTAACCATGGGAAATGTAGACAACCTAAGATTTTGAGCTTTGAATAGTTAGAATTTGTTTGAAAAAGGATTTTGAAAGGGGATTGAAATGCAAGATTGGAAGTGGGCATTATGTTGATTAGATACACAACAATTTCAACAGCAAAGGGTCAATAGGAATTTGGAAGTTGAGCTCTGGTGAGAAGGGTGAGACCAGTTTCGACAATGTGTCGTTGGCGACCCTCAGCAAGCCCATTATGTTTAGGCATGTTAGGAGGACTGGAGGAGAGGTGAGATGAGTGATCCCTTTTGTGCTAAGAAAGTCACGAAGAGCCGGGGGTGGGGGGAGGGGGGGGGGCTATTAAATATTTATATATCACTCTAGAAAAAGTGAGGACCAAAACCAATGTTTCATCCTGCTGCCCCAGGGCGGACCCTGCATGTGAGTAAAAGTAAACATATCCATAGATAAAACACATAATAAAATCAAAAGTTTGGAAGAAAAACAGAAGATAAAAGCAACGTCTTTATAAATATACCCCGGATAATTTGGAGGAAGAATAAGAATAAGAAGAAGGAAACAACAATGTTTTCGATGACGTAAAAGAAATGGACAAATATAAGATTCAGGATTTTCGATTTTTTTTCTTTTGTTTTTTAATAAATACAAATTACAATGGCAATATTTAAATAAATAAACATAGCAAGGGTTTCCATCTTTTCTCCTTTTCTCCGAAATTTTGAGCTCCTTGCTCTCAAAAATTTATGTGCCCACCTTTCCAAGCTTATACCCATAGAGATACCGAATAAATTATGGTTCGATATCGGGTCGGGTCCAATCGGATCCGGGTATGCTCGGGTCCAAGGTCAGAGAACCGAATTGTACCTGATATATTTCCGTTATGTTTCTGGTTCAGATCTAAAATGCCAGGATATACCTGAAATGAAATAAAAACCGAAAAGTATACAAAACCTGGAATATAAACGATTAAATCCATTAAAATCGAACCGCTTTAGTCAAATCAAATCGAACCAGATTAATTTAATCGAATGGAAGAAAGGGAAGAGACGATGTGGATGAGATCGACGGAGGGCACATGGGCATGGATGAGGTCAGATCTGCCATGGTCATCAATATCCAGAGCTAACCAAGCGAAGCTAGATCTGGGCAAGGAAGAGGAGAGTTGATTGGAAAAACTAGTTGGTGTGAATTTTATAACAATGGTTGTGGAGGAGAGGAAGAAGAAGGAAGGCACGAAACAGAAGAAGCTTGGATCATGAAGATGAGGCCACTTGGAGGAGATGAAGAAGAAGGAAAAAAATTAAAACCAACAAAGAAGAAGAAGGAAGCCATGATGACTGAGTGAAGAGAAATTGATTATTCGAGATGAAGAGAAGAAAGATTTGCAGCAGATTTGAGATTAAGGAAGAAGGAAGCCACATGGAGGAGAGGAAAAAAAGGGAAGCATGTTTTGGTTTCGGGTGAATCGGGTATCGAGTTCTACCCATAACCGACCCGATACCCACATGTTGCAGATTATTTATCCATCAGATATATTGTGCTATACGGAACTGAACTAAACCAGTTTTTTTGGGTCAGGTTGATATACCCATATCTTTCATGTTTTTATCAAGGTTTTCACTATGTTTTTAATACAAATAATGTGGTTTTTATGCCCAAGAGGTAGTTTTCTTGTATATTCTGGTTTTGAGCATCATTCAGGTCAAAATAGCAAAGAAGAGTCAAAATGGAGCAAAAAGAGTCAAATCACCAAGTTCCCAAGTCTAGAGCACCAAATCTACATTTCTCGCTAAAGACCAAACCGGAGCATCCGAAGTACGACCGCATATTCATGCCTTCCCGACGTCCAAAAGTCATGTTTCTTATATGGAAAGATAGATATTTGAGTCATGACCCGCGGCGAAGTGGAAAGAGGTCATTTGGATCACTCGTTGGACCGGAACTTATTTTCTACCAAGACATGTCCGACGAGCGCCTAAGTAGAGCCCATGGAGACTTTGATGGATCAAGAGGCCCGAGATACCGCGCCCAAGGCCTTGGCTCATCTTGACACTAGCATAACTCAATCCAGAAGCTTCCATTGGCCTGAACGCGGCCCATTCAAGAACTTGGAGAGCAAGCTCAAGCGGCTAAAGAGAAATGGAAACTTTCCTCTTCTGCGCGCGCTCAACTTTGCCGACCTAGACCCGCTCTCTACCTATATATACTTGCTTTTAGCCTCTTGTAATAAGAATCACCAGCCGCATAACAAGAAACACTTATTCAATAAAGTTCGGAGCCACTTAGGTGGTCTCCTTCTTCTTTCTTTTCTTCTTTTGCATTTGTATATAGCTTGCATGTTTCAATTTATATAGTCTAGAAGTAGAGATTTCTCCCTAAGGGTGAGGCGGTTTAGTCTATATTCCGCCGCCTCTCTCTCTAAGGATTCATGAGACTTCATCTACTATCTAAGACTCATTGTTGAATTATGGATCCTTCCAATGAGGACGTGATATAATGGCCATCTTGAATCGATTGTTAAAAGGGGAAACCCTATGGTTCTCCATCTTTATTTATGCTTAATGCTTGTTGCTAGAGTAGCTAACTAGTGACTTGATTTTAGGTTGATATACTCTCCAAAAGCTTGTTATATCTCCGGACATAATATTTGATGGGCAAATCGTTTTAGGCTACGAAAGTAGACCTAAAGAGTTTTGTGAACAATCATTACTTGGATGTAATGCATGTCTCACTCTACAATGACCAACGAAAGCTGAGCCCATTGGTTTAAGAGACATAGGGGATTGGAACCACGAAAGTGGAATAATCCTTCCTTAGTGTTTTGAGTTCAAAAGAATCGGATTTTAACAAACTTTTCAATCGACTTGGCTCATGTTTTCAAAAGAGTTTTCAATAGTTCAATAATGTTGCTTGTATAGAATTGCATTGTTATTTGCTTTTGCGTGTTCTAACAAACACAAACCCTTGCATCTTTTGATTTAGCTTAGTCATTTAAACTCTATGATTATGTAATGTGTGAAATCCAATCCCTTGTGGTTCGACCCCTAAATACTACAATTATATGTTGTGCACTTGCAACACTAGTTGTCTTAGGGAATTATTACTTGTACTCATCCCATAGATGCAGCGCATCACAGGTCTGGTTCGGGTTTCGGGAAATAACCCAGAGCCTACTTGACATAAGTCACTAGATATGGTTTCTCAGCTCTGTGAATTACATTCAACTTTAGCCGACAACATTATTAGTGCAGAAGGAAATAGCCCTAAAACCTAGGGAAGAATCAATTGGAAACTTCCCTAGTGTCAAGGAAATAGCTAGCCTTAACATATTGATAATTGAGCATTGTAAACTTGGTTATAGGGCTGATTTGATACATAAATTAGCTGAAAAGGTAGAAAGTGGGTCACTGATTATTGAAAAGATGGAAAGCGGAGAGATGGTAGCGGAACAAATTACTCAGAAAGTTGAGGGGCTTTGGTGCTTTTGCAACTTCAACAGTGTATATGTGTATTGGTCATTACTGTCTTGTCACATCTGATACCAAGACTCTAAGACTCTTACGAGAGGTAGATCTCTTCACATTGAATCCGTTTATCAATGGCAATATATTGTAATATAATCTAATTGTTTGATGATTCATGGAAATAAGGAGTATTCGAAAGAGACACTAGAGAAAGAAGCACAATCATTCTACGATAGATTCCCTCCAATTACTGTTTAGCCTATTGGTTAGCTTTTTATTTTTTTGTATCGTTTAAGTTAGGCCTGGGCTTTCGGGTTTCGGTTTGGGTTCGGGTCGGTTCTATTAAGGTTCGGGTCTTTTCGGGTTCCAAAAAAATAGACCCATTCGGGTTTAGGAAAATTTTGGTACGGTTTCGGTTCGGTTCCTGTCGGGGCTTAATTTTATAGACCCATTCGGATTTGTGCAAATTTTCAGTTCTTTTTCAGGTTTAATTCGGGTCTAATTCGGTTCGGTTTTTATCAGTTTTTCTGAGCATTGTAAACTTGGTTATAGGGCTTATTTGATACAAAAATTAGCTGAAAAGGTCGAAAGTGGGTCTCTGATTATTGAAAAGATGGAAAGGGGAGAGATGGTAGTGGAACAAATTACTCAGAAAGTTGAGGGGCTTTAGTGCTTTTGCAACTTCAACAGTGTTTATGAGTATTGGTCATTACTGTCTTGTCACATCTAATACCAAGACTCTAAGACTCTTACGAGAGATAGATCTCTTCACATTGAATCCGTTTATCAATGGCAATGTATCGTTATCTAATCTAATTGTTTGATGATTCATGGAAATAAGGAGTATTTGAAAGATACACTAGAGAAAGAAGCACAATCATTCTACGATAGATTCCCTCCAATTACTGTTTAGCCTATTGGTTAGCTTTTTATATTTTGTATCGTTTAAGTTAGGCATGGGCTTTCGGGTTTCGGTTTGGGTTCGGGTTGGTTCTATTAAGGTTCGGGTCTTTTCAGGTTACTAAAAAATAGACCCATTCGGGTTTAGGGAAATTTTGGTTCGGTTTCGGTTTGGTTCTTGTCGGGTTTGGGGCTTAATTTTATAGACCCATTCGGATTTGTGCAAATTTTCAGTTCTTTTTCAGGTTTAATTCGGGTCTATTTCGGTTCGATTTTTATTAGTTTTTCTTAGCATTGTAAACTTGGTTATAGGGCTGATTTGATACAGAAATTAGCTGAAAAGGTCGAAAGTGGGTCGCTGATTATTGAAAAGATGGAAAGCGGAGAGATGGTAGCGGAACAAATTACTCAGAAAGTTGAGGGGCTTTGGTGCTTTTGCAACTTCAACAGTGTTTATGTGTATTGGTCATTACTGTCTTGTCACATCTGATACCAAGACTCTTAAGACTCTTACGAGAGGTAGATCTCTTCACATTGAATCCGTTTATCAATGGCAATATATCGTTATCTAATTTAATTATTTGATGATTCATGGAAATAAGGAGTATTCGAAAGAGACACTAGAGAAAGAAGCTCAATCATTCTACGATAGATTCCCTCCAATTACTGTTTAGCCTATTGGTTAGCTTTTTATATTTTGGATCGTACGTGTTAGTAAACTTTCCTCTTCTGCGCGCGCTCAACTTTGCCGACCTAGACCCGCTCTCTACCTATATATACTTGCTTTTAGCCTCTTGTAATAAGAATCACCAGCCGCATAACAAGAAACACTTATTCAATAAAGTTCGGAGCCACTTAGGTGGTCTCCTTCTTCTTTCTTTTCTTCTTTTGCATTTGTATATAGCTTGCATGTTTCAATTTATATAGTCTAGAAGTAGAGATTTCTCCCTAAGGGTGAGGCACGGTTTAGTCTATATTCCGCCGCCTCTCTCTCTAAGGATTCATGAGACTTCATCTACTATCTAAGACTCATTGTTGAATTATGGATCCTTCCAATGAGGACGTGATATAATGGCCATCTTGAATCGATTGTTAAAAGGGGAAACCCTATGGTTCTCCATCTTTATTTATGCTTAATGCTTGTTGCTAGAGTAGCTAACTAGTGACTTGATTTTAGGTTGATATACTCTCCAAAAGCTTGTTATATCTCCGGACATAATATTTGATGGGCAAATCGTTTTAGGCTACGAAAGTAGACCTAAAGAGTTTTGTGAACAATCATTACTTGGATGTAATGCATGTCTCACTCTACAATGACCAACGAAAGCTGAGCCCATTGGTTTAAGAGACATAGGGGATTGGAACCACGAAAGTGGAATAATCCTTCCTTAGTGTTTTGAGTTCAAAAGAATCGGATTTTAACAAACTTTTCAATCGACTTGGCTCATGTTTTCAAAAGAGTTTTCAATAGTTCAATAATGTTGCTTGTATAGAATTGCATTGTTATTTGCTTTTGCGTGTTCTAAACAAACACAAACCCTTGCATCTTTTGATTTAGCTTAGTCATTTGAACTCTATGATTATGTAATGTGTGAAATCCAATCCCTTGTGGTTCGACCCCTAAATACTACAATTATATGTTGTGCACTTGCAACACTAGTTGTCTTAGGGAATTATTACTTGTACTCATCCCATAGATGCAGCGCATCAAGTTTTTGGCGCCGTTGCCGGGGATTGCATCATAAACACTTGCATAGTCTTGTTTAAAACTAAGTCTAGATCTTGGTATTTTCGAATACTAACTTTTTCTTTTAAATCTTGTGTTTATAGGTACTTGGAGATGAATCACAACACCAACATCCACTTTGGGAACCGGACACTGATCCCACACGATCTCCACGGCCGGAGTTACCAAGACCCAGCCGTAAGCATCGTGCCACATCCGTTCCCTCCCAACCGCGCTCATCCGACGTTTGAAGGACCTAGCCGAGACGAGCATCATTACCATCATCATCAAAACCGACCTCCGGTTTATCATCAACCACCTAGACCAGTGTTGCATTCACACCACGACCATGTTCTCAATAGGCGGAGAGATAGCCATTTCGATGCCGTGCTTGAGGGTTTCATGGAGAGCCAAAGAAGAACTAGCCGCGACATTGAGACAAAGCTAGAGTTCACGCGATACGAACTAGATGGAAGACTTGGAGAACTCTCTACCCAAATAGAGAGAGTAGAGTCAAGATGCTTGGACATGGAGGAAGATTTGAAGAAGCAAGGCGAGGCCATTGAAGACAATAGGAGAGCGATACACTTTACCAAAGTTTCTACCAAGGAGATGGATAATCACTTAGATGAGAAGATCTCAAGTCTTGATAACAACCTCGATGGCACCACCAAGAGTCTCAATTCAATAACAGCAGTAGCTCATCAAGCTAAGAGGGAGGTAGCCGAAGTGACACTAAAGGAGAGGCAATGTTACTCGACAATGCTTACATTGGTGGAAGGGCAAAAACAAGTGAAGGCACAAATCCGAGATTTACACATCTCTCTAGACAAGAGGAGCCAAGATATTCAAAGAAGAGCTAGAGGGCTTGAAGACAAAGTAGATGGAGTCTCCAAGGAAGTCAAGGATTTAACCACTCGCTTAGCCAACTTGGAAGAGAAGGTCTTGACCGAGACAAAGACGACCGTTCCTAAGCAAAACTATGCCGCGCCCGTCTTTACTATAAGAGAGACCGACCCAAGAGTGATTTGGGATGAAGAAGAAGAGTAGAGCTGATCAAGAAAGAGCCACGAAGCTAACCACTGGAACAAGAGAGAAGATAGCACCAAAAGGAAGAACCCTTACTCAAAGTCTTCACAACCGCCTCCCACCAAGGAGAAGAGGAAGATAAGATCATCACTTGAAGAGATCATAGATGATTTCAACTTTATGGCGAGGAGATTCCCTTATGGTGTGCCGTTTGATAATGCTTGCAACAAGAGTCCATTCATGCAAGACCTAGCTTGGACACAAGATTGGAGTCTAGCTGAATTGGAAAAGATGTACGAGGAAGCAAGAAAGGGGATGCCTAAACCTAGGTTTCTACACAAGCTTCATGACCCAGGTTACTTCCTTATACATTTCTCTATCAATGGAAGCTACTTTGATGATGCTCTTTGCGATTCCGGTTCTAGTGTGAACCTTATGCCGGCCGAGATAGCCAAGAAGTTGGGATTGATCAATTCAATTGTGAAATCTCGAATGGATTTAAAGCTAGCTGATTCATCATTGACCGAACCACTTGGAGAGGTTAAAGACATTCAGCTTGATTTTGGAGGCTGCATAGTTCCAGCCAACTTCTATGTAGTAACCATGAAGGATCCGGAGGACTTAAAGCTTTTGCTTGGAAGATCATTCCTAGCCACAGCTGGAGCGATCATGGATTGGCCTAATAGAAGAATCTCTCTAGCCAATGTTGACAAGGACACCTTCTACGATGCTGCACCTCCCGGTTTCTCATCCAAGCGATTTCGCTACACAAGTGGAGGAGAGTGCTCACAAGTAAGAGGAGAGTCGCATGGCTACTTGATCAAGGAAGTTCTACAGGACAAGATGCACTTGGAATCATCAGGCAACAGGAAGTTCTTGGAGCCACCAATCCTACCTAACTAAGAACACAAAGGAGTCGAGCTACAAAGACTTAAAACAAGCGCTTGTGGGAGGCAACCCACATTTTCTTATCCCTTCCTCTTTTTATTTTATTTTTATAACTACTTATTTGTTCTATTTATAACTCTTAAATTTTTGAGAGTTTAATAAATTTTACAAAAATAAAATAAAAAGTGTTTTAGGAAAAAGTACCAAAAAGGAGGCTACATGAAAAATGCATTGGAAAGCTACAGCCACGACTTGACCCAAAAGATTAACCATCTTTGGTCTAAGTATGAAGCATTGAGTCTAGTTTGAGTCCCACCCAAGTCCCACCCATGTTTCAAGAAGCAAAGAAGTCCAAGAAGGGCCACGGCACAATAAAATCCGGCCATTGGAACACTATTGCACAAGGCAAAGGTAAGTATCACTTCCATTCTTACTGTCATTTCTTTTAAACACTATTTCTATCAAATTAAACCAACTACACACTACTTGGATTTCTGATCAAGATCACAAGTACATATGGTTTCACGATCAAGTCTTTGATTGGGAAGTTCAAACTATTTTGAACAACTCAATCATTGACAGAGTTTAACAAAGAGTTACTAGTGTTTTTCAGATAAAATATGACAGGAGAACCGGTTCAAAATATCATACAAACATGGCGCGCAAAGGAGCCACAACCGGCCAAAGGAGGATTTACATGCCAAACATGAGAGATGAGGGAAATCCAACCACAATTCAATCCAGGAGGGATAGAAAAACAGTTCGGTCGAAGCAGAACTCAATTGGCCCGAGTAAAAAGGAGATATCACATTCACAACCACTCTCTCGGCCAGAATCGACGAACCAAGCGACAATGCTCGACCATCTCCCAAACGGCACGACCGAAGTCCACCAAACTTCACAGGCGACCTCAAAACATCATTTTGGTCGGCAAATCCAAAAGATAGGACGAGAAAAGTGCCTGCTACGTGAGATAGACGAAGGAAGCTCAATACGGCCGACGGCGATGCATAGAATGGCCGACGAACTCAAAACCTCAAGAAGGCGCGAACACCGGTGGAAACTGATCCTCTGGAGTCCAAAAAACACCAAGGAAGAAGAAAGGAAGGAGACGATCGAACAGAATAAGAGATGGCCAAAGGAATCACATCCCGAAGCCATTGGCGCGCACGACGAAAGATCTCCGAATCCACACGTTCAAATCGCCTCAAACTTCACAAGGAGCCACAAAACATAAGGTTGGTCGATGAAATTCATTTCAGTACAATGAATTCCTTACAATTCAAGAGATGGCCGATGGAGTGAAATTTGGCCGATCGCGAGCAAGTAAAATGGCCGACAATCCAAATCACGGCATTTACCGCGGCCACCGGCTCAAATCACCTCCATCAAGCATCCACATCGCATCTAAAGAAGAAAATCCAGATTGGAACGAGCAGAATTGGAGAAGACCGAAGGAAGACGTTCCCGGAGCCAATTTGAAAATTTTTCAAAGGAGATCTCAAACCACTCGTTCAAACGACCCCAAACTTCACCAGTCGCCATATTATACAATATTGGTCGACGAAATTTCAAGATAGGTCGAGGAAATCTTCACGGTTCGAGCTGTAGTCCATACCATCACCATCCGGTCGACCAAAACGGACCAGTCTCGGCCAAAAAGGCGAAAAACAGAAAACCAAGGGAGAATTGTCACATTCATCCAACCAAATCCAACAGCTATGATGTTTGCACCAGTCAGTTCATTCCTGGAAGCAACTAAAGCACAACCGATCTTCACATCAAAGGCCAAAAATTTGGGTACAATTTTCTACAAACTCTAACTTTTCCATTCTATTTATCATTACCTCTCTTAATTGGATTTTTCTTACACCGAGACGGTGCAAGTTAAGTCTGGGGGGATTACTAACAAGTTTGTTCTTTTTGAATTTCATTGAGTCGTTTTATTGAGTCAAAATTTTGTCAAAGGATTATGACCTTATCTTGGATCTAACCATTGTTGTGCTAACGTTTAAGTGACCATTGAAGCAGTCTTGGCAATACATCTTACCACAGGGACACTATGAGTTGATCGATCTACCAAAAACGCCCACACCTCCAAGGACTTGAGAAGGATCCACTCTTGACTCCGCCCTTAATGAACTTAATCTTCTCAGCTAGGGGCTTGGCATACAAATGGCATGATTCCTCATCCTCTCCATCAAATGAAAAAGTCTTAGTGAGTTCGTGCTTCCCTCTCTCTCCCCTTCAAATTTAAAGAAAAAGCGTAAGGTCCAAGTAACCGGGGATTCGGTGGCAAACACCATCAATACTCGCGTCTATGGAAGGCCTATGAATCCAAGCAACCGGGGATTCGGTGGCAAACACCATCAATACTCGCGTCTGTGGAAGATCCAAGCAAAACCTCTATAATAAAGAGAAGGAGTTGAATAAAAAAATACTTCGCTACCCTAAAAAAGGGATGATCAACTCAAAGAAGTGAGAAGAGAGAGAGGAGAAACATGGAGTAAAAAGACAAGTGCCAAAACAAGGGGATGAGTAAGAGTCTAAAGCCGGCTGATCGATACTCCCTAGTTGAGACCACACCTTTAGAAATGAAAGGAGTCAAGGAGGGTGAATTGGATTGTCCAAAGAGAGGTGGGCCGCCTTGGAAAAATCGCAAAACTCATGGTATGTACTCTTGTTCTTAATTCAAATATTTGCCTTTACTACTTTCATGTGGATTACTAAAACCAAGCCAACCCGGATTTCCTAATGATTTGAGAGTTCTTGCGTTTTCAAACCTCTCTTCCTCTCTTAGTTTGCTTGGGGACAAGCAAAAGGCTAAGTCTGGGGGAGTTGATATACCCATATCTTTCATGTTTTTATCAAGGTTTTCACTATGTTTTTAATACAAATAATGTGGTTTTTATGCCCAAGAGGTAGTTTTCTTGTATATTCTGGTTTTGAGCATCATTCAGGTCAAAATAGCAAAGAAGAGTCAAAATGGAGCAAAAAGAGTCAAATCACCAAGTTCCCAAGTCTAGAGCACCAAATCTACATTTCTCGCTAAAGACCAAACCGGAGCATCCGAAGTACGACCGCATATTCATGCCTTCCCGACGTCCAAAAGTCATGATTCTTATATGGAAAGATAGATATTTGAGTCATGACCCGCGGCGAAGTGGAAAGAGGTCATTTGGATCACTCGTTGGACCGGAACTTATTTTCTACCAAGACATGTCCGACGAGCGCCTAAGTAGAGCCCATGGAGACTTTGATGGATCAAGAGGCCCGAGATACCGCGCCCAAGGCCTTGGCTCATCTTGACACTAGCATAACTCAATCCAGAAGCTTCCATTGGCCTGAACGGCCCATTCAAGAACTTGGAGAGCAAGCTCAAGCGGCTAAAGAGAAATGGAAACTTTCCTCTTCTGCGCGCGCTCAACTTTGCCGACCTAGACCCGCTCTCTACCTATATATACTTGCTTTTAGCCTCTTGTAATAAGAATCACCAGCCGCATAACAAGAAACACTTATTCAATAAAGTTCGGAGCCACTTAGGTGGTCTCCTTCTTCTTTCTTTTCTTCTTTTGCATTTGTATATAGCTTGCATGTTTCAATTTATATAGTCTAGAAGTAGAGATTTCTCCCTAAGGGTGAGGCGTGGTTTAGTCTATATTCCGCCGCCTCTCTCTCTAAGGATTCATGAGACTTCATCTACTATCTAAGACTCATTGTTGAATTATGGATCCTTCCAATGAGGACGTGATATAATGGCCATCTTGAAAATCGATTGTTAAAAGGGGAAACCCTATGGTTCTCCATCTTTATTTATGCTTAATGCTTGTTGCTAGAGTAGCTAACTAGTGACTTGATTTTAGGTTGATATACTCTCCAAAAGCTTGTTATATCTCCGGACATAATATTTGATGGGCAAATCGTTTTAGGCTACGAAAGTAGACCTAAAGAGTTTTGTGAACAATCATTACTTGGATGTAATGCATGTCTCACTCTACAATGACCAACGAAAGCTGAGCCCATTGGTTTAAGAGACATAGGGGATTGGAACCACGAAAGTGGAATAATCCTTCCTTAGTGTTTTGAGTTCAAAAGAATCGGATTTTAACAAACTTTTCAATCGACTTGGCTCATGTTTTCAAAAGAGTTTTCAATAGTTCAATAATGTTGCTTGTATAGAATTGCATTGTTATTTCTTTTGCGTGTTCTAAACAAACACAAACCCTTGCATCTTTTGATTTAGCTTAGTCATTTAAACTCTATGATTATGTAATGTGTGAAATCCAATCCCTTGTGGTTCGACCCCTAAATACTACAATTATATGTTGTGCACTTGCAACACTAGTTGTCTTAGGGAATTATTACTTGTACTCATCCCATAGATGCAGCGCATCACAGGTCTGGTTCGGGTTTCGGGAAATAACCCAGAGCCTACTTGACATAAGTCACTAGATATGGTTTCTCAGCTCTGTGAATTACATTCAACTTTAGCCGACACCATTATTAGTGCGAAGGAAATAGCCCTAAAACCTAGTGAAGAATCAATTGGAAACTTCCCTAGTGTCAAGGAAATAGCTAGCCTTAACATATTGATAATTGAGCATTGTAAACTTGGTTATAGGGCTGATTTGATACATAAATTAGCTGAAAAGGTAGAAAGTTGGTCACTGATTATTGAAAAGATGGAAAGCGGAGAGATGGTAGCGGAACAAATTACTCAGAAAGTTGAGGGGCTTTGGTGCTTTTGCAACTTCAACAGTGTTTATGTTTATTGGTCATTACTGTCTTGTCACATCTGATACCAAGACTCTAAGACTCTTACGAGAGGTAGATCTCTTCACATTGAATCCGTTTATCAATGGCAATATATTGTTATATAATCTAATTGTTTGATGATTCATGGAAATAAGGAGTATTCGAAAGAGACACTAGAGAAAGAAGCACAATCATTCTACGATAGATTCCCTCTAATTACTGTTTAGCCTATTGGTTAGCTTTTTATTTTTTGTATCGTTTAAGTTAGGCCTGGGCTTTCGGGTTTCGGTTTGGGTTCGGGTCGGTTCTATTAAGGTTCGGGTCTTTTCGGGTTCCAAAAAAATAGACCCATTCGGGTTTAGGAAAATTTTGGTACGGTTTCGGTTCTGTTCCTGTCGGGTTCGGGGCTTAATTTTATAGACCCATTCGGATTTGTGAAAATTTTCAGTTCTTTTTCAGGTTTAATTCGGGTCTAATTCGGTTTGGTTTTTATCAGTTTTTCTGAGCATTGTAAACTTGGTTATAGGGCTGATTTGATACAGAAATTAGCTGAAAAGGTCGAAAGTGGGTCGCTGATTATTGAAAAGATGGAAAGCGGAGAGATGGTAGCGGAACAAATTACTCAGAAAGTTGAGGGGCTTTGGTGCTTTTGCAACTTCAACAGTGTTTATGTGTATTGGTCATTACTGTCTTGTCACATCTGATACCAAGACTCTTAAGACTCTTACAAGAGGTAGATCTCTTCACATTGAATCCGTTTATCAATGGCAATATATCGTTATCTAATTTAATTATTTGATGATTCATGGAAATAAGGAGTATTCGAAAGAGACACTAGAGAAAGAAGCTCAATCATTCTACGATAGATTCCCTCCAATTACAGTTTAGCCTATTGGTTAGCTTTTTATATTTTGGATCGTTCGTTTAAGTTAGGCCTTGGCTTTCGGGTTTCGGTTGGGTTCGGGTTAGTTCTTTTAAGGTTTGGGTCTTTTCGGGTTACTAAAAAAATAGACCCATTCGGGTTTAGGAAAATTTTGGTTCGGTTCCTGTCGGGTTTGGGGCTTAATTTTATAGACCCATTCGGGTTGTGCAAATTTTCAGTTCTTTTTCAGGTTTAATTTGGGTCTAATTCGGTTTGGTTTTTATCAGTTTATTTTAACCAAATACCCTATCATTACCCGAAAACCTACAAAATAACCGAAAAAATACAAATTAACCGGAAATTTGTTAAACAACCAAATTCATAGCAACATTGGAGAAAGCGTCTTAAGAAAAAACAGCATAGAAAAGATTACACGTGTTCTCGATGTCATCATGGTGGTCATAGGCGACACATCAGCATAGGCAATTTCAAAGGCGATTTTGGGGTTTCTAAAAATCTAACACAAGTTAGAGTATCCGGAGCCGATGTCAGCGTCGGAAATGGTGGTTTAGTATCCTACGGTGACAAGAGGAATTTCGGATAAACATATCTAACAATGTAAGAAAGTTCTGTGCGCAAACATTGTTGATTCCTTGAGGTAGAAGGCTAGGTCGTAGCCATCGAGTAGGGCGTGGACCTGGCAACTCAACATCAGGTAGTTGGAAGCATTGAGTTTAGCGATGTTGGACGTGATGACGTTGAGGAGAGATCCCTCAGTTGTTGGGATGGAATCAGTGGTAGCAGTAACAAGAGGAGTTGTGTTTGCCATGGCAGAGGAGAAGAAGAAGAGAAGAAACTTAGGGTAGATCAAAGGCTCTGATACCATATGATCGAATGAGGCTGAATGATTTCTATTGATGTCATAAGAGATACATTTATAGAAATACACTATACAGGAAAATGTATCTCAATATCTTTACAATAAATGTGAATATATGATTGAGTGATTTGAACTCATCACAGATTGTGATCGTCTGTGATATCTTATTTCCTCTAATAGCTAGAACTGAATAAGAAACTTGACGATATGTTCAGGGAGTTAAATGTAATTCTTCCCAAATTTAAGAAATTCTGAGCATGTCAGAAATTCCGACAACAACTTCTTCACCACCAGTATATGGTTGATGAAGGGACAGGTTGGCCAGGTCAGAAGCGATGTGGTGCATGGCACCTGACTCAAGCATCCATGGAGACGCTTTAACAAAGTTGGTGCGTGGCTCCCAGGCTTTAGGTGTGGATAGCAAACTGGTGTTCTGCATGAACAGAGAGCATCTACGTGCGATGTGGCCGTGAACACCTGATGTGGCCGTGAACACCACAAAGTTAACAACATCCAAGATACGGTCGTGGTGCACGTTGGTCAGACGTGGCTGATGATGGTTGAGAACTGCATTGGTTATGCATCTCTGATTTTGGAGGATGATTGCGATTGGTGAAAACGTTGGCTGTCAGACTGAGTAGGTTTGTGCAGCGAGGAGTTTGGTTTCATGATTAATGAGTTTTTTATGAAGCTCAATGAATGTTTGTGATGCATCACATCCTTCAATCTGATTAGTAACTTGTTTACTCTTCAGGTAAGCCATCAAGTGCAAGTTAAACCTGATCATCATGGTCAAGAACTCTACCAAGAAAAGCTAGTTCATCTACATGCGTGGTGATGCCCTGAAGGTACTCTGTTATCGTTTTTGTACCCTTTTCCAGTTTTTTCAGTTGTTGTTTATGTTGGTTGATGTGGCCTATGCTTGGTTTGGCATAGGTGGCGGCCAAGGTTGTCCAGATCTCATCGGAAGTGGTGGCTTTGGAGAGATGTGGTTGATTGGACTACGAGATGGTGTTGTAGAGCAGTTTGTCTTGTCGCTGGTGAACATCGTATTTTTGGTTGGGGGAATCAACTCCAGCATTGCTTATCATCTTTTTTTCACACTTTTGACACCTCAGAAAGTGCTATAGAATTGTCCTACATAATGAAAATATGCAAGTAGAAATAATCACATATCTCATGTTATAGTAATAACCTTATTAGTATAGTACAATAGTTGGCTCCTAATTTTATACAATCATTTAAGTACCTTAAAAATAATACGGATATGTGAGGGGTTTGTCGGGGGATCTTATGAGATCTCAGAGATCTGATCTCTTAAAGAGAGATGGAGAGGCGGGACGAATGGATACGAATCTTCCAAGATTGGATTCTATTCGAGGAGAGGGATGTATTTGTGGATCGGATCTCGCCGAGATACAGCGAGGATCTCGAGGGATCTATTCTGGGAAGAGAGCAGTGAAGGAGCGGAGGAAAAAAGAAACCATGGGTCCTCTGTCATGGTTTGGAAACAGCGGCGAAGAATAGGATCAACAGAGAATGGGTCGGTTTAATTCAAAGTCAAATTACGGGTAATTTCTTTACACAGGAATATTCAGTGTCTTTCTTTATGGAATTTGGGGAGTTATTCGGATTCTTTGAGGGATTGGATTGAAGTTACAATGGGATTTGTAGAGATACGAATTTATGAGCTATTTCAGTATAAGAACCAACTGGAGAATAGACAGAACACACACCATTTATTTCGTATTTTTTCTCTCGGGTTTTGTCTTCTTGGCTCTTGTGGTCTTGAGTGTATTTTCGTTTCTGTGAGTTTTAACACATTCTTGGTTGTTCGTTCTCCTGTGCAAGGAATCGAGATGACTCAAGGAACATTGATCGGTCGAGGAACGGTGGCAACAAGAAGTCAGTGCCTTGTCTGAAGATCACTGTCCCACGTTTCGACAACACGGCTTTGATCAGAGGTTACTCGAGGACTCTGATTGGTCGTTGTATGAACCCGGCGGCGCAGGATGTCCAAGCCTTGCTGCATCACATGCCTCGGTTTTGGAAGATGGAGGATAGAGTTGCGGAACTGGGGATGGGGAGATTCCAGTTTGATTTTTGATAATGAGGAGGACATTGCGGAGGTCTTTAAGCTTGAACCATTCCATTTCGACTATTGGATGGTGTCGTTGGTGAGGTGGGAACCAATTGTGGATCCAACATATCCCTCGGCCATCAAGTTTTGGGTTCTCCTGATGGGGATTCTAATCTATTTCTGGGCGGAACCCACTTTCCGGTGCATTGGTGAAGCCATCATAGAAGTTTTGGAGGTGGATATTGATATATCCATATTTTGCATGTTTTCACTTAGTATTTTCATATGTTTTTAAGTACTTTCATAAAGGTTTTATGCCTTTGGAGGTAGTTTTCTTGTATTTGTTGGTTTTGGAGTCTTAACAGGGTAAACAATCAAAAAGGATGGAAAAAGGAGCAAAAGAGCCTCAAACCATGATCCATGCAAGTTTCCAAGTCAAGAACATCATTTTATCTCCAAGTGTCAATTCTCGCTATCGAGCAGGAACAAAGCTTCGGAAGTTTGGCCGCGAACGGAGGAGTTCCCGACGTCCAAAAGTCACGATCTTGATATGGAAAGATAGATACTTGAGTCATGCATCACGTCGAAGTGGAATGAAGTCATTTGGATCCACCATCGGGCCGGAACTTATTTTCTACCGAGACATGTCCGGTTAGCGACCAAACGGAGCCCATGGAGGATTTGGAGTGTCTAAAGGCCCTAGAAACCGCGCCACAAGGCCTTGGCTCAACAAGGGAGAGTCCTAGCTAATGTTTGGAGGCTTCCTTGGTGCAATCCCAGCCCATACACGACGTGAGAGAAGAGGCCCGGCTCATGGGAAACTTTCCTTTTCCGGCACTTCAATGCCCTAACCGACCTACAACCTATAAATACATGTTTTTAGCCTCAAACAAAGGAGTGTCGAGGGTTTCTAGGGTTGGCCGTCAGAGAGAGAAGCCAGAAGAAGCTGCGCCGTCCAGAGGAAGAGAAAGGAGGCGCCGTTCAAGACCCTTAGCACAACATACAATCTTTGCTTTCTTTTCTTCTCATTCTTTTGTATTGGATCTAAGAGTTTCAAGGGAGAATCCGACTTTGTTCATCAATAGAGAAGCTTTCTTCATCCCTTTACCTCTTTTAATACTTTCATAATGCTTTCAATCATAACTTGTTGTGTTGTTTGCATCATGGCTGAGTAGATCTATTGCTAGGCTAATGGTAAATCAATGAGTTCATGAATTGTCAACTTTAAACTTTTGATCTTGTGAGTTGGGATTATATTTTGAGTTCTTCACCTTTACTTGAGCATAATGCCGTTTGCTTTTCTGATCATCTAGCATCGGATCTTGGGTTAATATACTCTCCAAAAGCTTGCTATATTGCCGGAACTAGTATTTGGTGAGCAATAGGTCATGGCCAACGAAAGTTGAGTTATGGACTATTGTGAACAATTGAATCTTGAACCTTGTAATGCATGTTTACAACTTGTAATAACCAACGAAAGCTGAGTCTATTAGGTTGTTTAAACATAGTGGTTGGAGCCACGAAAGTGGAAAGACTATACCTTAGTGATTTGAGTTCAAGAATGATAATGAATCCCTTTCACTTGATTGTTTGTTGATAATTTGTGATGCTTTGCGATTTGCCTAATGCCTAGTACTTTCCCTTATTGTTTACACCTCATTCTAATCACTGCTTTGTTCTCTTTTGCTTTGCTACTCACAACCTCTCATATTTTGTTCTAGCTTGATTTTCAATCTTTGTAGGTTTGAAGTGAAATCACATCTCCCTGTGGTTCGACCCCGACTATACTACTGCTCTTGCTGTGCACTTGCAGCTACATTGGTTGGGTTAAAAATATTATCATTTGAGGAAGCTAAACCCAGCCTCCATCAAGTTTTTGGCGCCGTTGCCGGGGAGATTGTTTCATTTCCTTCAAGCTTTTTGATTGAATTCTAGTCTAGTTCTTGTTTTCTTGCAATTTACTTTTCTGTTTTTCAAAAAAAAAAAAAAATCATAAAAATTTGCTTACTTGTTTATCTTCTCTTTCTTTTGTTTTCAGGTGCATCACAAGAAGGTCCAACTCAAAACAAGGAGACAAAGGAGAGAAAGAATGGACTTGATGAGCTTTTATGCAATTCCCCCACCGGTTAGGCGGCATCAAGAGGAAGTGAACTACATTGGTGGAAACTTCGTGTATCCTGGCCAGAACGTCTATCAAGGAGCTCAATACCAGCCTAAGCAACAAGTATATCCTAAGGGAGTCTATCAGGTGGAGCATCCCTTCACTTTCCCTCAAGCTGTTGCACCGGCTCAACAAGAAGAGAAGTTAGATGTGGTCTTCAAAAGATACATGGAGGAGCAAAGGCAAACCACCCAGAGCCTCTATGAGAAGCTAGATCGTGTGTTCACTGATCTTTGCAACAAGTTTGGATCTCTCTCCTCTCATGTCCAGAACTTGGGGGTTCAAATAGTCCAAACCGCGGAAGCCGTAGAGAAACAAAATGAGGTAAACCCTACAACATTTTGTAGCATTGTCTCACCTAAGGAAGACCAGCTCGTACCTATACCTACCCATCTCAAGAAGGAGAAGAAGAAGCTGAGCCTAAGGAGAGCCAAAAACCGGAGAGGTTTCCATGGGAGTCAAAGAGAGCATACAAGAGAAGGCTTGTGAACAAGCCATTGCCAAAGCTAGAAGATCCTGGGAAGTTTGTGATTCCCATTCTATCAATGGGTGTGAAATCAATGACTGCCTATGTGACACTGGAGCTGTTGTGAATATCATGTCTTATGCATTAGCAAGAGATTTGGGATTCAAATATTTTAAAGATCCTGAGGCAAAGATGGAGTTCGCGGAGCTGTCATGTGTGGAGCCCTATGGAGTTTTAGAGAATGTTATGCTGGAGATAGGAGGTCGCCTAGTCCCTACTGATTTCCAAATCATGGTATGGGAAGGATCCAAGAGGAACCAGCTGCTACTTGGAGCCCCATTCTTAGCCACAGCCGGTGCAGTCATAGACTTCATGAGAAACCGCATGTCACTAGGAAATATCCAACAAGATGTTTTCTATCAAAGCATCGACTTCAAGACTGCACCAAGAGCGATCAAGCTGCCACCAGAGAAGACTTCTAACACGCCACAGAAAGGAGCCATGATGCCTAAAGATCCCAAGAAGAGTGAGCCCTATCCAAAACCGAAGGTGGTCATGAAACCATCAATGCTGAAACATAAAGATGTCTTCAAGGATATCAACTCGGTTTTGCTCCCTACCTTGGACGAATATGGAGCTAATGAGAAGCCTTATTAGTGCCTAATTCCCTTACCAAGATAAGAATCCTTGTCTCTAAGGGTTGGGTCCCAAAAGAAGATCATACCGCAAAGGAGAAGCTGAGGAACACCTTAAGGCTCTTCCCAAGTGCATTTGTCTTCAAAGGTGGCATAGGAGATGATCTTGGCGTGCCCAAACCACCACGTGAGCCCCCTGAACCAGAGAATGGAGAAGCTAAAGGGATCCTTTGCCCTTCAGCCACTCTTCACCACGATTAAGAAAGAAAAGGAGTCAAGCTAAATGACTTAAAACAAAAGCGCTTTATGGGAGGCAACCCATATGGTTTTTAACTATTGCTATTTCTATTTTGCAGGAGTTTTTCAAAAATCAAACAAAAATACAAAAATATTTTCTTAGGATGAAGACCCAAAGGAGACCAAACAATGAAAGTGTCCCACCCAATGAGCCCACCCTTGTACAAGGCGTTTCTCTTCCAAAAGGTAAGTAAATTCTCACCTAGTATTCATTTCATAATCACTGATCTTCACTTGAAAAATCGTTTAAACCATTGCACTTATCACATATATTTCATGGTTTAACTTGATTTACATTTTGATGATTGAAGAATACATAATCACTTGTCAAAACTCATTTCTCACTGAAATTACAAGAGATTGAACTATAGTTTGAAATTTGGATCATTAACCAAGACCAAATAAGAATTTATAGTTTGTGCTTTAATCTCTTGGATTGTGAACTTCAAGTTGGTCACTTGAGGATCTCAATCTAAGAAACCATCTAATCATGATTTCAAGTGTTTTGCAAGGAGTTAACCATTTGACAGGAAGGAGAATGAGCAAACCTATAACCAACCTAAAACCAACATGCATATGGCGGCCAAAGGGAGGTTAAAAGGAGATACACAGGCCATCACACGAAACAAGGCGGCCACCACTTGGGAATGACACAGGAGGGTTATTAAAACAATTCGGTCGAAGAAAATCTCAATTGGCCCGAGTGGATTTGAAGAAATTCAATCCGGACATTTCTCTCGGCCATACCGCGCACAAGGAGAACCATTACGGCCAACTCCTAAACGGCGTGACCAAAGTCCACCAAACTTCACAGGCGACCATAAAATCACATTTTGGTCGGCAAATCCAAAAGATAGGACGGAGAAATCATCACGGATCATGAGATAGACGACGGAGCTCATTCTGGCCGATGGCGCGCAAGCAATATGGCCGACAAAACCAAATCACGGCATAGGCGCGCCAACCGGTTGGAAAACTCTTCCTTTGAGCTTAACTAACACTTTTATGCAGGAAGAAACGAAAAGGAACGAGCCAAACTTCAATGGCCAAGGAAACTCCTTCCCGGAGCCGACTTGACCATTTTGTGAAGGAAGTCTCAATCCGCTCGTACAAATGCTCCCAAACTTCACCAGAGGCCATAAAATACCAGGTTGGTCGATGAAATTTCAATATAGGTCATGAAATTTTTGACGGTTTGTTCTGTAGTTCACAGCACCACATTTTGGCCGACCGAATATACCAATCTCGGCCAAAACACAAACCGGCGGAAACCAAGGCCTGAAATTAAAAACTCACCGACCAATATTGCCTAAAGAAGTGTAGAATGACCCAAACCGGAACTGATCTTCATTATAAATTGGTCGACATTTGGTAACATCATCCTAAACCTTTTTCTTTTCAATTTTTCATTTGAACTTCATGTTATGCCTCTCTTAATCCGATTTGCTTTCACCGGGACGGTGCAAGTTAAGTCTGGGGGGATTACTAACAATGTTTGTTCATTTTGGCATTTTCATTTGCATTTTTCCCTTTTATCGAGTCGTTTTTATTGAGTCAAAATTTTTGTCGAGAATCATGACCTTATCTTGGATCTAACCATGGTTGTACTAATGTTTAAGTGACCATTGAGCAGTTCTTGGCAATACATCTTACCACAGGTGCACTATGAGTTGATCGATCTACCAAAAACGCCTACATCTCTAAAGACTTGAGAAGGATCCATCTTTGACTCCGCCCTTAATGAACTTAATCTTCTCAGCTAGGGGCTTGGCATACAAATGGCATGATTCCTCATCCTCTCCATCAAATGAAAAAGTCTTAGTGAGTTCGTGCTTCCCTCTCTCTCCCCTTCAAATTTAAAGAAAAAGCGTAAGGTCCAAGTAACCGGGGATTCGGTGGCAAACACCATCAATACTCGCGTCTATGGAAGGCCTATGAATCCAAGCAACCGGGGATTCGGTGGCAAACACCATCAATACTCGCGTCTGTGGAAGATCCAAGCAAAACCTCTATAATAAAGAGAAGGAGTTGAATAAAAAAAACTTCGCTACCCTAAAAAAGGGATGAATCAACTCAAAGAAGTGAGAAGAGAGAGAGGAGAAACATGGAGTAAAAAGACAAGTGCCAAACAAGGGGATGAGTAAGAGTCTAAAAGCCGGCTGATCGATACTCCCTAGTTGAGACCACACCTTTAGAAATGAAAGGAGTCAAGGGTGGCGAATTGGATTGTCCAAGGAGAGGTGGACCGCTTTGGGAAAATCGCAAAACTCATGGTATGTACTTTGTTCTTAATTCAAAATTGCCAATGCTGTTTCATGTGGATTACTAAAGCATAAGTCAATTTGGATTTCCAAAAGATTTGAGAGTTCTCACGTTTTCAAACCTCTTTTCCTGCTTAGTTTGCTTGGGGACAAGCAAAAGGCTAAGTCTGGGGGAGTTGATATACCATATTTTACATGATTTTACTATATATTTCATATGTTTTCAAACGGTTTTTGCAAGATTTTTGCCTTTAGAGGTAGTTTTCTTGTATTTGTGGGTTTTGAGTCTTAGGTAAAAATCAAAAAGGATGCAAAAAGGAGCAAAAGAGCCTCAAATCAAGATCCATGCAAGTTTCCAAGTCAAGAACATCATTTTATCTCCAAGTGTTAGTTCTCGCTACGCGCAGAACGAAGCTTCGGAAGTTTGGCCGCGCGGAGGAGTTCCCGACGTCCAAAAGTCACGATCTTGATATGGAAAGATAGATACTTGAGTCATGCATCACGTCGAAGTGGAATGAAGCCATTTGGATCAACATGAGGCCGGAACTTATTTTCTACCGAGACATGTCCGGTAAGCGAGCAAACGAAGCCCATGGAGGATTTGGAGTGTCTAATGGCCCGAGCAGCAGCGCCAAGGCCTTGATCGAATAGAGAAGAGGCCTGGCTAATGTTTGGAGCTTTCCTTGGTACAATGTCGGCCCATACACGACGTGGAGAAGAAGGCTCGGCTCATGGGAAACTTTCCTTTTCCGGCATGAAGAAAACCCTACCGACTTCGCCCATATATACATGTTTTTAGCCGCTCAAAAAAGGAGTGTGAGAGTTTCTAGGGTTGGCCGTCAGAGAGAGAGAGAAGAAGCTGGCCGTCCAGAGGAAGAAGGAGGCGCCGCTCAGACCTTGCACAACATTCTTTCTTTCTTTTTTTCATTCTTTTGTATTGATCTAAGAGTTTTCAAGGGAGAATCCGACTTTGTTCATCAATAGAGAAGCTTTCTTCATCCCTTTATCTCTTTTAATACTTGCATAATGCTTTCAATCATGCTTTGCTTGCTTGTTTGCATCATGGCCGAGTAGATCTCTTAGTTAGGCCGAGGAGATCTATGGTCATGATGATTTGATTTTGATCTTGTATTGGGATTTATCTTATGGATCTTCACCTTTACTTGAGCATAATGCCGTTTGATTTCTGATCATCTAGTAATCTGATCTTAGAGAAATAGAACCACGACAGTGCTGAATCTAGATCTCAAAACTAGTATTTGGTGAGCAATAGGTCATGGCCAACGAAAGTTGAGTTATGGACTATTGTGAACAATTGAATCTTGAACCTTTAATGCATGTTTGCAACTTCTAATAGCCAACGAAAGCTGAGTATATTAGGTTGTTTAAACATAGTGGTTGGAGCCACGAAAGTGGAAAGACTATATCTTAGTGATTTGAGTTCAAGAATGATAATGAATCCCTTTCACTTGATTATTTGTTGATAATTTGTGATGCTTTGTGATTTGCCTAATGCCTAGTACTTTCCCTTATTGTTTACACCTCATTCTAATCACTGCTTTGTTCTCTTTTGCTTTGCTACTCACAACCTCTCATATTTTGTTCTAGCTTGATTTTCAATCTTTGTAGGTTTGAAGTGAAATCACATCTCCCTGTGGTTCGACCCCGACTATACTACTGCTCTTGCTGTGCACTTGAAGCTACATTGGTTGGGTTAAAAATATTATCATTTGAGGAAGCTAAACCCAGCCTCCATCAGATATTGATGGAGGAAGAGTCCGTGTATGTCTTGATGGGTATAAACCCCTGATTTTCGAGACTACAGTGGAGTTTCATAGCGGAGAGGAGACAGTGGTGGCCTTGCGGTATGAACGCTTGTTTGGTTTCTGCCAGAAGTTTTCAAGTATGTGCCATGACATTTTGCAGTGTCCGGTTATTCGTAGAGCTCGAGAAGAATGGGAAAACCAGAAGAGGAGAGATGAGAAGCCGGATGGAGGTTTGATGAGTTACAAAGGAGTGGTCATCAATGGACCAAGTGGAGAGAATGGCAATGTGAGGAATTCTCATACCAACAGTGCCCGCGATCTTAAGGGAAAAGGAAAGGCGCCTGAGACGAGGGAAGAGAGGGGAAAGAGGCCAGTGGTGTTCCGGGGAAATGGGAAACACGGTGGGGAAAGCTCAGGGACACAAAACCTGCGCCATATATCCCCCAAGACCAAAGGAAGAGGATTAACAGACCAACTGCCTTGTACGGGAACACTTTGGCTCCGGTTACATTCAATACGGTGACGGCTCACAGAGTGGAGGATCCTAGTCCCAATCAACACTCAGCTAAGAAAGTGAGAAAGGCTATCGATTTTACAGCTGCGGTGGAGGGTTTAGATGAGTCGGGTAACAAGATCGAAGAAATGGAAGGTGAGAAGGTCCGGGAAAACGAGATTCCGGCTATCTCAATGATCCCTGATCCAACACTGCAAGAGGAGGGAGAAGATGGTGAAATCTGGTGGAATGAAGTGATTGAAGAGGAAGAAGCTGAGAAGATAGCATAGGAGCTAGTGGATCAGGGGGAGATGTGCGACAGCAACGACATGATTGTGGAAGAGAATGAGAATGGAGGGAATCAAATGGATGTGGAAAGGTTTGTTGAGTTGGAAGCGAAGGAAGTGGGAAAAAGCAAGCAGGGGATGGAGAAAAAAACGGGAGCAAAGAAGAGGGTGATTAGGTCTACAATGAGTGTCGGTGGAGGCCCACTTCGACGTCTGGTGCTTGGTGCGAAAACACCTAAGCGGAAGGTAGCTGGGAAGGAGCATCCCCGTGGTGGAGAAAAAGGTGCCAGAAAGGAAACGGAGCCGGCGGGAAACCCATCGGAAGGGTCCGAGACTACTAAAAATGTTGCTTAATGCGAGTGCTGAGCTGGAATTGCCAAGGACTTGACAATTAATACACAATAAGTTATCTTCGGGAAGTTTGGTGGAAATTCAGACCAGAGTTTTTATTTCTTTCTGAAACAAAACAGGATTTTATTATTTTTGCAACAATTTCAATTTCATTTTGGTTTTGATAATTTGTACACGATTGACCCATGTGGCACAAGTGGTGGTCTAGCCTTACTTTATAATAATAATTTTAATGTTTCAATTTTTGATTCTTCTAAGAATTTATTTGACACATAAATTATCTTTGAAGGAAAAACAATGTTTATGACTTTTGTTTATGGAAACCCGCTTCCAAAAAAGAGAGATTATTTATGGGAAAAGTTAACAAGGGTATCTCCAGATATGAACCTTGGTTCTTAATTGGAGATTTTAACGAAATTACCGGCAATCATGAGAAGCAAGGAGGTTCAGTAAGATATGCTTCAACGTTTATGTCTTTTAAACTCATGATAGACGACTGCGGTTTGGTCGATTTTCCAAATCATGGAAATACTTTATCGTGGAGAGGATGAAGATGGGGCAAAATAGTCCGCTGTCGTCTGGACAGGGCTTTAGCTACAAAACGGATACTTGGGTATTTCTCGGAAAAAGAGATGGAAAAAGTGGCAGTTGAGTATTTCTCGGATCTTTTAACCACTTCATCACCAGACAATTTTATGGGGGTACTTGAGGGAATCACAAATATTATTACAGAAACGGATAATGTACTACTAACGAAACCAGCAACAGAAGAGGAGATACAGGCAGCACTATTTTTGATGAATCCTGAGAAAGCACTAGGACCGGATGGGATGACGGCGCTGTTTTTTCAACGCTCATGGCCTGTGATCAAATTGGATATTCTTGGCTTCATAAATGATTTTTTAGTCTCGGGTTTGTTTGACGAACGCTGAAATAGGACAAACATTTGCTTGATCCCAAAGACAGAAAGGCCAACCCGAATGACATAGCTACGACCCATAAGTCTCTGCAATGTAGGTTACAAGATTATTTCAAAAGTGCTATGTGAGAGGTTAAAAAAAACTGCTCCCTCAATTGATCTAGGAAACTCAGCCGGCCTTTGTCCCGGGGAGACTCATCTCAGATAATATTTTGATAGCACAAGAAATGTTCGACGGACTACGGACTAACAAATCCTGTAAAGGAAAATATATGGTAGTTAAGGCGAATATGAGTAAGGCATATGATCGGGTTGAGTGGCAATTTGTGGAAGAAACAATGCGGAAAATGGGTTTTTTCTGAAAGATGGATTGGCTGGATTATGAGGTGTATTAAGTCCGTAGAATATAAAGTTCTAATCAATGGACAACCGAGGGGGAAAATCATTCCGAATAGAGGATTACGACAAGGGGATCCCTTGTCTCCTTATATCTTTATTCTATGCACAGAGGTTTTGATATCGAATTTAAAGAGGGCAGAAGCAACCAAAATTCTTACGGGGCTGAAGGTAGCTCGAGCAAGCCCACCGGTTTCACATCTCCTATTAACGGATGATAGCTTATTTTTTTGTACGGCGACGGCGGATGAGACCGTAGCTCTGTTAAAAATCCTACAAGATTATGAACGAGTGTCAGGTCAAAAGATTAACTTTGATAAATCCTCTATACAGTTTGGGCACACCGTGGATATAAGTGTACGTACAACAATTCACCAAATTTTGGGAATACACAAGGTTGGGGGTGTTGGAAACTATTTAGGAATCCCGGAAAGCTTAGGAGGGGCAAAAACAAAATATTTAGTTTCCTAATCGATAGACAAAATAAGCGGATCAATGGATGGACATCAAAGGTTCTTTCGAAAGGAGGAAAGGAAGTCTTGGTTAAATCAGTGTTGTCAGCGATGCCCATATATGTAATGTCCTATTTTCGATTGCCTAAAGGAGTAACGAATAAACTTACAAGTGCGGTGGCTAATTTCAGGTGGAGTACGAATTCCCAAACACGCGGGATGCATTGGCTTGCATGGAAGAAGTTGTGCCGCCATAAGAGTGATGGGGGATTGGGTTTTAGGACTGTTGGGGATTTAATACGGCTTTACTAGCCAAACAGTTATGGAGGTTAATGGATTACCCGAATTAGCTTTTTGCAAAGGTCTTCAAGGGGAGATACTATCGGAATTCTACTCCTTTAGACCCAATACGATCATACTCTCCGTCGTATAGATGGCAGAGTATTATCTCGGCTCGATCTCTGGTACACAAAGGGCTTATTAAAAGAGTCGGTTCAGGATCATCCATCTCAGTTTGTATGATCCCTGGATTTCTGATTCTCGCCCGAGGTCAGTTATTGGTATGGGTGTTAATTATTACCCTCACCTGATGGTGAGTCAGCTTATTAACACCCACACATCAACGTGGAATCTTCCACTATTGCAACAATTGTTCGAGAGTACTGAAATTGCAACCGGGTCTAAAACAGGATTACAATTGCAACCGGGTCTAAAACGGGGCGCTACACGGTTAAGTCAGGGTATAGTACCTTACACGAGTTCCCAGACGATGAGGGTCTCCGGTTTTCGGACCAGACATACGTAGACTGCAAGCCCAGTCCTGGAAAGTAAAATGCACTACAAAGCTTCAACATTTTCTTTGGCAAATTATTACTGGATGTTTATCAGCTGGTGCACGATTATGTAGTCGGGGTATGCGCGTGGATCCGCAATGTGTGCGATGTGGGATGGGAGATGAGACAATTAATCACATGTTGTTTGAATGTCCCCCGGCTCAACAGGCATGTGCCCTATCCCCAATTCCAACACCTCCACAGCATTTTCGGACGGGATCAATTTATTCAAATATGGGACATCTCTTCTGGAATCTCCCAAATAATGATGATATGCTCATATTTCCATAGTTACTTTGGTTTATTTGGAAAGCTTGGAATTATCAAGTCTTCTCGAATGATGACCAGGACCCGAGAGATGTCTTGGAATCCGCAATAACAAAGGCTCGCGCATGGGCTGCAGCTCAAACGGTCAGAGACATGGAGACTGTGCGTACGGATGTGCAAGGGAGGCAAGTATATTCAGGAGAATGGTGCCAAATAGATGGAGCATGGAAGGAGACAGAGGTTCGAGCGGGACTTGGGTGGTACAATTTTGATCCGGAATCGGGCTTAATTTTGGTTGGGGCTACTAATTTACGACGGGGCCTATCCCCGTTGCAGACGGAACTGGAAGCATTGGTTTGGGCCATGCAAAGTATGTTGGTCCATAATAAACGGCGAATCAATTTTCAAACGGACTGCACTGAGCTGGTGAAGATGGTGTCTAAACCCGAAGCGTGGCCGGCGTTTGAAATACTGCTTGAAGAGCTGGAGACGTGCACAAGGAAATTTCAGGCGCTCTCTCTAACTCATATCCCGAGGACAAAAAACACGAAGGCGGACAAGCTAGACATAGTGCTCAAGATCAGCCTTATGATGTGTACTATGTAAACTTAGTTCCACCGGTCTCGCTCCCCGAGCCGATCTAGGAACTTAGGCTGTCGACAAAAAAATATCATATAAATGAATAGGGGCCAACTCTCTCCATGTATGTGACATGTGGACACTCTTAGGATGGACACATGACATGACTTTTCATTTTCCTTTAACTTTAAATTTTATTTATTTGTTAAACATATTAATTTATTATAATTAAAACCACTTTATTACTTTAAACTGTTATGTTTTAGTTCCATCTTAAATCACTATTAAATCATATATATGAAAAAGAAACAATTTTCTACATATTTTGGATATGTGGACACAAGAGAAGATGACATGTGCCAATAAGAATTTTCAGTTTAAAAAAAACAAAAATTGACTTTTCATTGTCTTCTCCAGTTTGGAAGGTAATAAGTTACAAAGTACAAACTAATTATGTGTGAAGCTACTAAGTCACCTTTAGAGATTCCTCTTGTTATAAGAGAAACTACTTAATTATTCCAACACTGTTACTTTCGGGCTTCAATTTTAAGTTATTATTTAATATATAAATTATCCTAATATACGGAGAAACCAATCCAGCGAAAAGCTTTGACGGGGAATTAGAATCTATTTTATGTAACGATAAGTAAACACATAGAGTTGAGGGGACTTGTGGTATGATGCAAAAATATATATTTGAAAGCCAATTGCTAAACAAATAAGTTGAAATTAAATTGTGGGATTTTTTTTTATTTTGAATTCATAATATTAAATATCATATCAAAATACAAGTCACAAATTCATAATTTGTTTTATAGTATTTTTTAAACTATAACAACAGAAAAACCCGCGCGTATGCGCGGGCATTGGTCTAGTAATAATAATAATGGCAGTTTTTTAAATAAATAAGCATAGCAAGGGTTTCACATCTTTTCTCCTTTTCTCCAAAATTGTGAGCTCCTTGCTCTCAAAAAGTTATCTGCCCACCTTTCCAAGATTGTGAAGATTGTGTGAGAAAACTTGAGAAGAGAAAATGAAAAGAAAACAAAAGAAGAGAGATGGAGTTGAGACTTCCCCTTAAAGTATCAAAAGTAATGTTCGATATGGAGAAAGTCGTGTGTAACCATGACTTTTTCTTGTAATCGAAGTTCACGACAACAACAACATCTTGAGAGTCGGCGAAGAACTCATTTTGCAGCAAGCGAGAAGGATGCTAAGATTATTTGAAAAAGACGAACTTGACCTGACCGAGTTTCAAAAACTCCATGAAGGTTCAAAGAAGAGTAATTTAGGTCGAATCTTCGTTTCTCCGTCTCTCTTTGAAGATATGGTAATATCTATTTAGCTGGGTAACATCAATTGTGATTGGGGTTAGGATTTCAGGTGATCGGGTCGGATTTTTGTAGGTACCGAATCTGGGACGTAAAACTCACACTTAGAAATTTGATAGTAGTTTAGGTATTAGGAAGAATTAGGTAAGATTCTCACAAGCACTCAAGAACTTAGGCAAAAGAATAAGCAAATATGGACTTTATATTGATAAAACAAGATTGAAGGTTACAAGGTATTTTTGGGAATACGAGAGCTCGAAGAGCGTACAAGATAGACTTAGGTTAAAAATGTGTTTAGCGAGTAAAAGATGATCTCTTCTGTTCGATGATCCCCTCCTCTTATGTTCCACCTTCTTCCGCGATCCTTGGGATTTCCTGTTGCACGTGTTCTGGATTTCTCGTTGATCTCGTTAAGATCTTTTGACCGGGTCGTGAGTTCGAGCTGATGCTCGATCCTAACTTGAAAACGGACGAAGATGGATTCGTGGGCTTATAGTGGAATGGGCCGAGCCAGAAGAGACTTTGTCGGACGGGCCTTAGTCAGGCCAAATTTAGGTGATAAATTAAGGCCCAACACCGATCGGATCTGGCTCTATCGGGTAGATTGAAGCTTATACCCATACGAATCAATTTCAGTTCGGTATCGGGTCAGGTCCATTCGGGTCCGGGTCTGTTCGGGTCCAAGGTCAGGGAACTGAATTGTACCCGATATATTTCTGTTATGTTTCGATTTCGGGTCCAAAATGCCCAAATATAGCTGAAATGTAATAAAAACCGAAAACTATATGAAACCTGGAATCAAACCGATTAAATCCAATCAAATTGAACCACTTTATTCAAATAAAATCGCACCAGATTAATTTAATCGAATGGAAGAAAGGTTAGAGACGATGTGGACGAGATCAACGGAGGGCACATAGGCATGGACGAGGTCAGATTTGCCATGGTCATCGATATCCAGAGCTAAGCGAGCAATACCTGATCTGGGTTACGGATCTGGGTTAAGAAGAGAGGAGTTTATTGGTAAAACCAGTTGGTGTGAATTTTATAGCCATGGTTGTGGAGGAGAGAAAGAAGAAGGAAGGCATGGTAAAGAAGAAGCTTGGACCATGAAAGTGAGGCCACTTGGAGGAGATGAAGAAGGAAAAAAAATACAACCAACGAAGAAATAAGAAGAAGGCAGCCATGATGAACAAATGAAGAGAAATTGATTCTTCGAGATGACGAGAAGAAAGATTTGGAGCAGATTTGATATTAAGGAAGAAGGAAGCCACATAGAGAAGAGGAAAAGCAGGAAAGCGTGTTTTGGTTTCACGTGAATCGGATATCCGATCGGGTATCGGTTCCTACCTCGAACCGACCCGATATCCACGTGTCTGAGATTATTTATCCATCAGATATATTGTGTTATATCCAAACAGAACCGGACCGGGTTTGTTCGGGACAGGTCCAATTCGGGTTTCGGGAAATAATCCCAGGCCTACTTGGGATAAGTCACTGATCGCGGGATCAGGTCTTCCCCTTTCCTATCCCTGATTCTGCAAGTGCACAGGTCAGAAGTAGTAAACGGGTATCGAACACAAGGACCAGATTGCACACTACAAGCTATGAGTTTGAGATCGAGCTAGGGCAAAAGTATAAGTTGGTTGAGTGCAGAGAAAGTAAAGCATGCAAGTAAAGAAAGTGAGATCAATAGGAGAGAAAGGGCTAAGCAATAGGATAGTCTTAAGATAAGCAATTCAAGAAGCATGAAATCAATCAATTAGGGTTACTGCAATTAGGTGCTAATCTAGAACTTGAAACACTATGGTATGATCATTCCACTGTCGAGGCTCCGACCCCTTTGTTAATCTACCTAGTCGCTAAACTTTTGGTATGTCCCTAGGTGATTAAATCAAGCATTAGTTCGATTAAGTTCAATTGTTCACAACCTACAAGTAAATCAACTGTCGCAGTCTAAAAGAGGTTGCCCACCAAATACTAGTTCAGGCGAATGATACAGCACTGTCGAGGCTCAAATCAACCAAGCATATGCTAATTGGCCAGATTAACAACAAGCATTAAGTATAAGCAAAGATGGAGATTATAAGTAAAACCCTAATTGTGATCAATCATCAAGCATACATGAATGCTATCCTTTGACTTCCTATCACTTAACAAGTAAACTACTCAGACATAGAGAAGGAACACGAATTCATATTCATAAGAACAGAGATTCGAATCCTCTCTAGAAAGAGAACAAGCAAGAACAAAGTAAAAGCAAGCAAAACTTTATTAAAGATGTAAAATAGATTGTGGTCTCTCTCCTTCTTGAGTTACAAGGCTAAAAAGAAGTATTTATAATGCTCTAAGTATGAAAAGCGGCTAAACCTAATCTAGCTAGGTCGGCGCCGGCTTTGGGCTTGAATTGTGCGGATTGGGCTTCAAAAACGGCTTCGGGTCGACCGCGGCGTTCGGACGGTCGGTCGGGACGATCGGCCGGACAGTCGGGTTGTTTGCGCCGGAACGGTCGTGGCCGGATGTTCTCGGTCGGCGTGTGGTCGGACGGATTGTGGAATGGTCGATGGTTCTCTCGGCCGGACGCGAGGTGTTTCTCCAAGCGTTCGTGCGTGGTATGCGAGTGAAGTTGCGCGGCCGCGAGGCGTTGTTCTCCGGTCGCGCGGCACGGGTCGTGCGCGGCTGGCGTGAGCGGTTGTGGCGTGGCCGACCGCGGGACAATGTTTCCCGGGTCGTGTTGTGATCGGCCGGTCGGTTTTGAATCTTGGCCGAGACTTCAGACGGACGGATACAAATCTGGCTTAGATCTTTGCTTGTCCCCAAGCATAGTAAAACCTTATAAAAAGCATAGTAAAACCATATAAAAAGCATGTAAAATAGAGGTATATCAACTCCCCCAGACTTAGATCTTTGCTTGTCCCCAAGCAAAAAGAATCTAAACTAGTGAAGAGGTTTTGAAAACGTGGAACTCCCTTGCTTCTTTGAAAATCCTGTGAAAGGTTCCTTTCCTGTATTCCACTAAGAACATAGTCAACATAAGGTTAGCTTCACATACACCCTGCAAGTTTAGCGAACAATACCAACCCAACTAGTCTCATCCAGCAATCCAAACTCTCTATTGCTAACCTCTTGCATAAATTTAAAGCGTGAGTTCTTTATCAAGGGAACATCGATCAATTGAACTTGTTCTTACCCACTTGATCTTCTCCAAGATTGTCTTTGAAGTGCAATGAGTTCTTTTCCTCTCTCTTTCTCACATCAGAACTTTGAAAGGTCAATTTCTCCCTACTTTTCTAGGGTATCATTTTATTTTTTCTATTGACCCTTCTTTCAACCACAGGATAAGTCTTTAGCTTGTTCCTTGTTTGACTAAGGTATTCCATAAGACATGAAGGTACAGACATATGCATTCCTCATGCTTACTTGTTTTCCTTGTGCTCTTTGAGCTTTTCTCATAAACATTACTTACCATTTGGGATGGGAGAGAGAGGAGAACTCTTTAGACAAATCTCATTGAAAATCAAGCAAGGAACTGTCGACATGTATGCCAATCCCCTTGACAAGAGTTATTAAGATTGATTAAGGGTGAGGTTAACTCTAGATTGCTTGGTTACCTTAGAAATTTCGCTGAGCTAGCATGTCGATCCACTGTAGGAGCTTCTGTTAGGCTTGTGCCTTCAGCTGATGTCTGCTCTAGGGTCATAGATTGTTAGCATAACACTATCAAATCTCAAAGCAAGTTCATTGTTCCGGACTGGTTTTGACTCAATAAAACAGAAGTTTTGAAAAAGTGGGTAGGAAAAACCAATTATAAGATCAAAACAACCATGAACAAACACATTAGTACCGACAATCCCCCCAGACTTAACTTGCACCGTCCCGGTGAAAGAAAATCCAATTAAGGGAGTTAAAGAAAGAGGTAATAAAGTGGTTGTGAATGTAAAAAGAAAGATGTAACCTGATTTGTGTTACTTGAAGAATGGTGAATGCAGTGGAATGATGGTAGTGATGGAATGCAAGTGTGGTGAGGTGGGATGGGTGAGATGCAGATGGAATGAGATGGGATGGTGTGTTGGGCGGCTTGAGAGGACATGGGCGAGCGTGGAGAGGTTCTGCTCGGCCATCTAAGTCGCGCCAACTATGAACATTCTTCTTGTGGTATATCTTCTTTACCATTGTGTGGTTCTTAGATTCCTGTATCCAAAACTCAAAACAAAACTAGACATTAACTAAAACTAATTGAAAAGAAAAGTAAAGAAAAACACCTTTCATGGGTTGCCTCCCATGCAGCGCTTCTTTTTAGTCATTAGCTTGACTGATAGGATCTCTTAGTTGGAGATGGGGTAAGGGCACGGCCTGAGACATAGTCTTTTAGTTCTTGTCTCATTGTGACCTTGAGTGTGGTCTGGTGGCTCTCTTGGGCGGCCTTGGGCAGTGATGAGGTAAGACAGCTTGTTTGGTGAGATGAATGGTATGGTCTTGTAAAAGACTGTCTTGTCAACATTGGCTAAGGACATTCGCCTGTTTGGAAGGTCCATGACAGCTCCAGCAGTGGCCAAAAAGGGTCGGCCTAGTATCAATGGTGTGTCACATCCTCCTTGATGTTCATGACATGAAAGTCCACCGGGATCTTGATATCTCCAATCTCTAGAAGAACATCAACAACAACTCCTCTTGGCTTGGCTATAGTATGGTTAGCAAGTCCAATACTAATTTGAGCAGGTTGCAAGCGTGTGATGCCAAGGAGTTTGGCGGTTTGGGTTGGCATGAGGTTTATGCAAGAGCCAGAATCGCATAGTGTTCTATCAAAGTAATGACCATTTACTTGACAGGGAATAGAGAATTGACCTGGGTCTTCAATCTTGTAGAGGGTCTTGAAGGTAGGCTGAACTTTAGCTTTCTCAAAAAGCTCTTTATGTCCTCAGGTGTCTCTTGCAGTTGTGGAAAAAGGTGGTGAATGGGTAGTGGCGCCAAGCTTGTTTGGAAAGACATGCTGGCTGGAAGAGTTTGGACAAACTGATTGAACTCAGCAAGCTTCTCTCTTGATATGGAATTGACATACCACTGGGTGGTGGTGATGATGGTGGTGATGGTGGTTGATTGACTGCATGAGGGGCAAGGGGAAATCGTGCCTTCTGAAAAAGTTGGTGTATCTCTTCTTTGTTTTCACTAGTTGTGAAAAAGAACTCCACTAGACCATGTTTATCCCAAGCTTCTTCAAAAGTGACATAGAATGGAAGTGATTTCACCTTAGCATTGAACTCTTTAAGCTTCATGGGGCTTATCTTGTTGGGATCAATGGGATCATACTGCCAAGTATCTTCTTCTTCAGTAGGTGGTGATGGTCTTTGCATTGCTTCCAATCTTGGAAGTCAGAAGCTTGACTTCTTGGTGAGAAACGAGGGTCTAGGGCTAGGTGTATCCATGCTCTGTTTTGGAGAAGCATTGATGTCGATGCTCTGCTCTTCATCTTCATCATTAGTTGTTCCTCATACTCTCTTTCTTCTTCTTCTTCACTGTCCTCATGGACTTGAGTAGTGCTTCTTCTTGTGATGGCATTGCAATAAAAGGGAGGGTGGTTGGGTGTTGGACTCCTCTCTCTCTTGTAATTGGCATGAGATGATCCTTCAAGGGCTTGTAGGCGGTTGTAGATTGATCCAAGATGCTTGCTATTGCCATAGCTAGTATCTTCAATTCTCATGCTCTTGTTCAGCAACTCTTGATATTTGGAAGCAGTGCCGGCCCGTGGTCATATGGCGCCTAAAGCCTACTAAATTTTTTGGCCCATCTAAAACCTGTAGAATAAATAAAAATGACAGAAAAAAAAAATATAAAGGAAGGGAACGTTGAAAGGGACTTGAACCGTGCACATGAGGGATATTATAGCAACACACAATACACTAGACTAAAGGAACTTCTGATAATTTGGCCCCCCTAAATTGTTTATATTATTTGGCGCCTAAAGCCCTTGCTTTACGGGCTTTAGCTATGGGCCGGCCCTGTTTGGAAGCAACATCAAGCTTAACTAGGGTCAGAGATCGATCATGATCCTCTCTTAAATTCTTAATGTCTTCATCAAGCTTGATCACTTGCTTGAATAGGACTTCAGATTTGTTTCCAAGACTCTCATGGATGAAATCGATTCTCCTCTCCATCTTCTTTGTACTCTCATCTTGATTTCTCAAGTACTCTTGAAGCATATCTTCAATCTTGGTTTGGCGTGCGGCTTGATAGCTCTCTCTTGGGAAAAGTGGTGTCTTATTTATGTCTGGTGATGATGGATGGTGTTGTGAATAGCTTGGGCGTGGTGGTGGGACATAAATGGGACCTTTAGCAAATCTGTAGAGGAAAGCTCCTTTGTAACCATTCCAAGTCTTGAAAGCATGTTGGGCGTTGAACTTAGCCCATTCTTTGGCTTGTCCAGCTAGTGATAGTTGGAAAAGTTGTATCTTCTTGGGGTTATCTCCAAGTCCATAGTCGTGGCAAAGCTGCTCAAAGTTGCATAGATGCTCCTTTGCACACTTTGAAGTAGAATTGTAGAAAGGGTTCCTCTCCACATGTTTGATTAGCTCTTCATTCAAAACTTCAGGATGGGGTGGTATACCTCCCCATTCTTCTTCTTCACGCTCTCTCTCTCCAGCTGATGAGAGTAGTGATGGTACTTGGATTTGAAAGGTGGCAACCTTGCAAATCTCTTCAAGAAAGCTTCTCTAAAATCGACCCATGACTCGATTGTAGAGAGTGGTTCATGCTGCGCCCAATCTAGTGTTGGTCCAGCTAGTGATGTGCTGAATAGGAATCACAAAGATTGTCAAAGTGATCTGTGTGCTCCAGCGCATACTCTGAAAACAGATCATGGAATTGATCTCTCTTCACGAACTCGATTAGCTCAGGGTCAATCTCCTCTTCTGGTGTGGTTAGAAGGTTTTCTTCTTGGTAGGATGCGGCTTGGCTAGACGTCTCCAGGTCGGCTGCTTCAAGTGATCTATAAGAATCACAAAGTGATCTCAAAGTGAAAAACTCCATAGGAATCACAAAGATTGTCAAAGTGATCTATGTGCTCCAGCGCATACTCTGAAAACAGATCATGGAATTGATCTCTCTTCACGAACTCAATTAGCTCAGGGTCAATCTCCTCTTCTGGTGTGGCTAGAAGGTGTTCTTCTTGGTAGGATGCGGCTTGGCTAGACGTCTCCAGGTCGGCTGCTTCAAGGTAGGGAAGAAGTTTCTTCTTTGTCTTCAAGGAAGATAGTTTTGGAGGACTATCCCAAGAAGGTGGTTGTAACACCCCCGACTCGATCTAAACACATAGACCAAACCGGTGAGCGTCACAATTTGCCGAGGTTTGCTGGATAGGCCGTCCCGGACGAAGAACACATCACAGTCCAGGTCAGCCCGTCCCGCGAGCTGGACCCTCTCGGCCAAGGCCTAAGGCTTTTCAACCCGTACCGAAGCCGAGAGTTGTATTAGCCCGGACAAAGCTAATATCAGATGAAACCAGTTGATATAGAAAATAAACTTTATTAATCTATATAAGGTTTCACAAAACATCGGAAATACATCACATTCGAGCCTAATGCCCAAAACCCACACTACATAAATTCAAAAGCGTTTATTTTACAAAGGCAAGACAAACTACGCTGGCGGCCTAACGTCCTTGCTCCAACTACTGGTTTCCTGCAAAAGAGAGTGGGGGGTGAGCGCTAATCGCTCAGTGAGTTGTAGCTCCCACTAACAAGCAATAATAATCCCAACCCAAAAACCCAAAATAACACACAACAAGCAATGTTGCTATAACCCCTAGACTGACCGCACAACAATCAAACAAGAACATGCACGATCAATCAGAGATTATAAACAACAACAATCAATCAATGGTTAACAAGCAATAAATAAACTTAACATCACACTTTCTCTTCTGCGCGTTCGGTACTTCCCGCGAACACCTATCTCACAGCCACACAGGCACGCGAGATAGAACATCACTACCCGAGTTCCATCTCCCAGACAGTCACATCCTGTTGGATCGCCGTTTCCACGGTTCACAACCCAAACGAGTTCTGTCTCCCAGATGGTCACGTCCCGGGCTGTCTATTCCATACTCGGCCATAGGCAGCAACCCCGTCTCTCCGAGTATTCTCATTAGTCAACACATTGACTACATGAGGTGGAATAGTACTCGGCCATAGGCTGCTATCCCGTCTCTCCGAGTCTTCCCACCTAGCCAGTCCATTTGCTAGGAAGGGGTACAAAAGAAGGCCGAACCGCCAACATCAACATCAAACAAGTAACCATGTAACCTCAGATCTAACAAACAAGCATCATAACATAGAACTACACAATCAAAGCAATCAATCAAATAATCAATCAATCAATCAAGCAATCTAGCATTCCCTAGCAAGCAATCAAACATCACCACAACTCACAGTGCTTTCGGCTGAACGGTTTCTAGCCTAGGTTTACTACTCTGGGTTTACCGCTGAACCGCCGGCTTGCCCTAAGCTTCTGCCCGAACGCTCCCTCTCCTCTTCTTCTTCTTCTTCTTCTCTTTCTTCTTCTTCTCCTCCTCCTCCTCTTTCTTCTTCTTCTGGGCGTCCTCCCTCTCACTTTATTTCTCTCTCTACTTTCTCTCTCTTTCTTTCTGATTTTTGGTGTGGTTTGGAAATGAGGACAAGGGGTCCTATTTATAGGCTGGGAAGTGAAGCAGGTGAATGATCTCCTCCACCAGAATGGCGCCACCTCTTCCCCTGTGTGGACCAATGGTGTTGAGGCACGCCTACAGCAGCTTCATCCATCGTTATCCACTCAGCTTGAATGGCACCTTTTCATTGGTCCATTTTCCAAGCTGCTGGGTAACTGAACCTGATTGGTCCATTCAAGATGATCATCACTTCCTTGATCCTATCTTCCTGGAATGAGTGGCTACACCCTATTGGCTCCTTCCTCAAGCTGCTGGGTGCTTAGACATGATTCGTCCAACACATTTTCGTCCATTATGAGCAGCTGAGTGCTCACACTTGATTGGTCCAGCACAATTTCGTCCTATGTAGCTGTTGGTGTCGCCTCCTTACTGGTTTAGACCATTCTTATCATCTCCAAGTACCTGGTGTCGTCATCCCATTGCTCCATCCGCCTCTTTCCTTTCGAGGAGGGTTTCGTACGTTTCCTCTTCCGGAGGGTTTCGTCCCCGTCGTGCTTGAGAATTAAAATTTCCTATCTTAATCCTTTCGTCAGTTCCATGCTTTTGAGCTTTCACTTAGCTGCTCGGAAATGTCCAGAAATTCCTTATCCCGGTTATACCGTTCTTGAAACAGCTTTATCTTCTCTTCTTCTTCAGAGTTGTTCATCCCATCCGGACCATTGGGACTGGGATCGTGCGGCAAAAATTCGGCTCTGATGCGGGATATTACATTCTCCCCCTCTTAAAAGAATTTTTCCCCGAATTCTAACCATGAAGCAACTCTCTCTTCTCCATATGGGTATCCATTACGGTTTCCTAAACTCTATTGGTTTATGGGAAGGATCCTAGGTTTGTTTCCATGGGTAAGGCTTCTAAGGATTTCCTAACCGAATATATCAATCACTCAAACACACAAACAAGCACTCAATCAATCACCCAATAAGAGAGTTAGCACCCATACTTACCTGCCCGGAGACCTTAAACGGGTCTTGAAGGTTTAGCTAAATCTATACCTAAAGAAAAGCATCTCTCAGACAGCTGCATCAACCATCAAGGGTAAATCCTAACCTGTCTTACTAATATGCAAGAACGTACCAGCTTCCTAATTGCCTTTGCGACTCATTTTGACTCGATAAAACGTTTTGAAAACTGAGTCCCATGAAGCATGATCATGAACCATGCTCTGATACCACCATTTGTAACACCCCCGACTCAATCTAAACACATAGACCAAACCGGTGAGCGTCACAATTTGCCGAGGTTTGCTGGATAGGCCATCCCGGACGAAGAACACATCACAGTCCAGGTCAGCCCGTCCCGCGAGCTCGACCCTCTCTGCCAAGGCCTAAGGCTTTTCAACCCGTGTGATGTGTGGCTACTGGTGGCCCACCATGTTCTGCGAGTCGGTGTCGACCAACACCACTTTGGTGTGGATCAACACAGGGTGCTGGTGTCGACCGATGATGCGGGATCAGGTTTTACCTATTCCTATCCCTGATTCTGCAAGTGCACAGGTCAGGTGTAGTAACGGGTTATCGAACACAAGGAGCAGATAAGTGCACTACAAGCTATGCAAGTCTAACTTAGCTAGGACAAAAGGATGAATTGGGGTTTTGGTATGCAAAAGAACTAAACTAAAAGAAAGCAATATGAAAGCGGTGTAAGTTCAATGTGGGAAAGACGCTAGGCAATAGGTAATTCGCAGAGATTCATATATGATAAGATTGATGATTGATTTATATCTATTTAGGGATATGGGATGTAAGATCCGTCTAGAACACCAAACACGATTGTAAAACCATTCCACTGTCGAGGCTCCGGTTCCTTTGTTAATCTACCTAGTCGCTAAACTTTTGGTATGTCCCTAGGTGATTAAATCAAGCATTAGATCGAGCAAGTTCGGATACAGTTCACTAGGTTAAGTAAATCAACTGTCGCAGTCTAAGAAACCTAGCTTGTCAAAGAATATGTCCGGCGAATGATACAACACTTTCGAGGCTCAAATCAACCTAAGATCGAATCACTAGATGTACGGTAAAGTGATTAGCATTAATTAAGTGTGAAAAACGAGACAAAGACTCTAATGATATCCCTAGTTAATCATCAAATCATAATCAACACATGAACTCTTTGAAACCCTAAAACCTAACTAGAAATCTACTCAAACATGGTGCAAGTAAACAAGCATAGATCTGAGATAGAAATCATATTAATATAAAGAGAAAAGGGTTCAGAAAGCTTCTCTATGTCGAGATACAAAGAAGGGATCTTCTCCCTAAGGAAAACAATGAGAAAGAAGTAAAACAATGGAAGATCCCTCTAAGGGGAGCTCCCTAGTGCGCCTCTCTCTTGTAGCTCTTCTCTTGTGACTCTCTATGCGGCTCTCCTTCTAAAGAGGCTAAAAAAGAGTATTTATAGTGCCCTAGGTCTTCACAAGTCGGTTTAGGTTAATTGGGCTGAGAATTGTCAAAACTGCATAAGTGGGCTTCTTGTTCGCGGAGATCGGGTCGAGCGCGGTCCTTTGCTTCCCGGGTCGCACGGTCTGGTCGGCCGTGATGTGATGATCTCGGTCGATCGTGGTCCATTGCCTCCCGGGTCGGACGGTGTGGTCGTGCGGTCGGATCGTCCTGGAGAAGGCCGAGCGAAGCCAATTCCCTTCCTGTCCGGCCGAGTGCGTTCGGCCGGCTGTTAACCAGTCTTCAGTACAAACGTGATATCTCCTAAATGGCTTATCCAAATTGCATACTTCCAACGGCATTGGAACACTAACTCATCTGGATATCTTGGTATCAAGTTTCATTGAAATCCATTGAGTTTAAGGGTCCAAGCCGCTGCTGCCCGTTTGATGTACTGATGCAGTCCGATAAAGCTCCCTCGTATATGTCTCAGGGAAATAGAGATATCTCCCAATCTACTCGGTCAAATTGAGTGATTCCAGTTGCGTTGCAAAGCTAACTCACGTATGCATCGCCTCGAACTGGATTTGATGAATTCCATTGAGTAGATTGTTTTAAGGCCCTTCTTAAGTTGATGCTACGTCCTGGAGCTGTCTTGAAGTCCAAATCCTGTGTTTTGCTCCAAAATGCATCTTTTGACCTGTTTAGACTCTAAGTACTATAAATCCATAAAAACTACCTTTTTAGATCAGAAAGCCATTAAAAACCTTAGAAAAGCATAGTAAAACCATATAAAAAGCATGTAAAATAGAGGTATATCAACTCCCCCAGACTTAGATCTTTGCTTGTCCCCAAGCAAAAGAATCTAAACTAGTGAAGAGGTTTTGAAAACGTGGAACTCCCTTGCTTCTTTGAAAATCCTGTGAAAGGTTCCTTTCCTGTATTCCACTAAGAACATAGTCAACATAAGGTTAGCTTCACATACACCCTGCAAGTTTAGCGAACAATACCAACCCAACTAGTCTCATCCAGCAATCCAAACTCTCTATTGCTAACCTCTTGCATAAATTTAAAGCGTGAGTTCTTTATCAAGGGAACATCGATCAATTGAACTTGTTCTTACCCACTTGATCTTCTCCAAGATTGTCTTTGAAGTGCAATGAGTTCTTTTCCTCTCTCTTTCTCACATCAGAACTTTGAAAGGTCAATTTCTCCCTACTTTTCTAGGGTATCATTTTATTTTTTCTATTGACCCTTCTTTCAACCACAGGATAAGTCTTTAGCTTGTTCCTTGTTTGACTAAGGTATTCCATAAGACATGAAGGTACAGACATATGCATTCCTCATGCTTACTTGTTTTCCTTGTGCTCTTTGAGCTTTTCTCATAAACATTACTTACCATTTGGGATGGGAGAGAGAGGAGAACTCTTTAGACAAATCTCATTGAAAATCAAGCAAGGAACTGTCGACATGTATGCCAATCCCCTTGACAAGAGTTATTAAGATTGATTAAGGGTGAGGTTAACTCTAGATTGCTTGGTTACCTTAGAAATTTCGCTGAGCTAGCATGTCGATCCACTGTAGGAGCTTCTGTTAGGCTTGTGCCTTCAGCTGATGTCTGCTCTAGGGTCATAGATTGTTAGCATAACACTATCAAATCTCAAAGCAAGTTCATAGTTTCCGGACTGGTTTTGACTCAATAAAACAGAAATTTTTGAAAAAGTGGGAAAGAGAATAAATATAAGATGAAGACAAGGCATGAACAAACACATTAGTACCAACAATCCCCCCAGACTTAACTTGCACCGTCCCGGTGAAAGCAAATCCGATTAAGGGAGGAAAAAGAAATATGTAATAATGTGTGAATGAATGAGAAGAAAGATATAACCTGATTAGACATTAAGTCCATGAAGAAACAACCGAGTGGTGGTATGTAGTTGACCTTTGTCCAGTTTCAGGGCTTGGTTCACTCCGGGTTGCGTTCTGGCCGAGATGGGACATTTCGGTCGACCGGAGGGTAGTGCTATGGACTACAGCTAAAACTATAATGAATTCCTCGACCCATATTGAAATTTCATCGACCAACCTCATATTTGATGGCCTCTGGTGAAGTTTGAGAGCATTCGAGCGAGTGGACTGAGAGATCCTTCACAAAGTGGTCAATATGGCTCCGGGAAGAGGTTTCTTGGCCATCCTTGAGTTTGGCTCGTTCGTTTTGTGATCTTCCTTTGGAAATGTGATAGTGAAGCTCCAGGAAGTCATTTCCATCCGGAGTTCGCGCCTATGCCGTGATTTGGTTTTGTCGGCCATTTGGTTGCACCGCGGACGACCGGATGGGGCTCTTCTGTATATCTCCTGAACCGTGAACATTTCACCGTCCTATCTTTTGGTTTTGCCGACCAAATTTGATTTTATGGTCTCCTGTGAAGTTTGGTGGACTTCGAACATATGGTTGAGGAGTTGGCCGAGATTGATTCTCCATGCATGTGCCATGGCCGAGAGAAATAGGCCGGATGGAATTTCTTCAAATCCACTCGGGCCAATTGAGATTTTCTTCGACCAAAGTGATTTTCTAACTCTTATTATCATTCCCATGTGGTGCGCGCCTTGTTCCTTGGGATTGGGTATGTTCCTCCTTTGAAACCTTCCTTAAACCTCCATAGGTATGATGGTTGTGGTCGGCTATAGCATTTCTTCTTGATATCCTTCCTGTCAAGTAATTTAATCCTTGCAAAATACTTGAAATCACTGATTAGATAGTTCTTAGATTGAGACCCTCAAGTAACCAGCTTGAAGTTCACAATCCAAGAGATTAAGGTAAAAACTATAAACATATTTTTGGGTCTTGGTTAGTGATCCCAAACTTCAAATTATAGTTTAGTCTATGTGAATTCATTGCATCATATAAGTTTGACAAGTAGAGATATATTTCATTCAATAACCATTGAAGTTTTAAAGCGATTTAGACCATGAAATGTAACTAATGAAGTGCAATGGTTCAAATGCTCATGAATAGAGATTAATAGTGGTCATGAATGAAATATTGGAGAAGAATTTACTTACCTGTAGTGGAGATTTCGCCTTGAACAAGGGTGGGACTTTGGGTGGGACACTTTCATGGTTTTGTCTCCTTTCTTCATTTTTCGAGGTTTCTTCTCAAATTTCATGCTAGATTCTCAAATCTCTGTATCCAAAACTTCAAAAACAAAAAAAAACCATTAAACTAAAACAAAAAGTAAAAAGGGAAAAGAAAACACCTTATGGGTTGCCTCCCATATAGCGCTTGTTTAAAGTCTTTTAGCTTGACTCTTTCTCTTTCTAATTGACCAATTGATCAAATAGAAGAGTTGAGGCTCCTTTAGCTTCTCTACATTCTGGACCTGACGGTTTGAAACTCCTCCTATGGATATCTTGAAGGTCTTGAATGTAGTTGCAAGAAACAATACCACCAGTAAAGAGTTTCCTCTTCTTGTGCAGCCCATCCTTGAAGGGTTCTTTGTTTTCCTTATTCTGGAAATCAAAGCTGAACTTAGAGAAGCATCTTGAAGTTCTTATAGGCTGTGGTGTGGCATCAATCACGTCCTCCTTGTACTCCCTTGGTGTCAAAATCTTGCTTGAGACACTTGAAACCTTAATGCAGTTTGCCTTTGCCGGTATGGCAATTTCCTTAGATATGATGAGAGGGGCTGCTGATATGACGTCTATCAACTGCTCCTGGTCATTATAAGGCTCTGATAGTGGTTCCTCTCTAGCGCACACATCTGCAGAATGAGAGCTCTTGATAGGAACCGCCGGATAGGACATGGCTTTACTGATTTTGGAGAGAGAGATTCTTTGCTTCTGAAGATCCAAGATTGCTCCATTGGCTTCAAGGAATGATGAACCAAAACTCAATGGCTTGTCACGGTCGTGTTTCATCTCTAATATATGGAAATCAGCCTTAAAGACGTGATCTCCAATGGATAGTGTAAGATTCGAGATGAAACCATGGAAGAGAGTATAAGGGTCATCTTTAAACCGCATTGGTATCTTGGAGGGATCCCTGATTTCAATCCCAATCTTCTTGGCTATTCCTTTGTTCATGATGTTGATGTGAGATCTT